TATTTAATAGTGCAGCAATCAAGAAATACATACACCATAGAATGAACGCAGATATCTATAATATCACAAGGACAGATTCTTGTCAAGAAATTGTTACTTAATAGTTTTTGTCATGCTCTCCTCAAAGTTTTACACCTGTATTACCTTACCTCTTTGACAACTTGTGAATAGTCTATATCCTTACAGACAGAACCTTTTCTTTTCACTTTCTGAGTCTGGATTGGATTAGACAGTGTGGGTAGACTAATGCTACCAGTTGATTCAAACACTGATCTCCTCTCTGTCATTATGAATTCACTTTTAAACCGAATTGTCCTTTGCACCTTCTTAACACATTCTGATTGCACATGGTGGTTTTAGTATTTTTCACCTATGGTTCTGAGACAGACTGCTGGTCTCTGTTGTACCGATGATTGAGTTATACACATAACTTTGTATAGTTTTACTTTAAAACAGAAGTTAATCCTACTAACAGTGTTACCAGTGCAGTCAGTAACACAAACCGTGAGAACAGATTTTGTAATCAGACCATCTCACTATTCTAGCATTTGATTGCACTGTATCTCCAATAGCAGAAAATATTTAAAACTTGACACCACATTATGAGGTACGCAGTCTGTGATCAGATGAGAGGCTCTATCTCCAGATTAAACTTTAAATGTCTGCAGTGTACCTCAGTCCCATTCCAAATCAATATAAGCACACACGCCTACTACAGGAAGAACAATACAACATGAACAGGCCGTAATGGTAATGTAATGTTTAGGTCAAGACTACACAACACAACAAAAAATGATAAGAATCATATAAAATTACCAACGACTTGAAAATATGTTTACAAAATACAGCTTTACCACAAAGAACACAAAAACTTCCTGTGATGTTATTCTGGATAACAGTATTAATTATATTGTGTGTTTGAAGGTTATTTTGGATGTAAGACACATGATATGTTTTCTTAATATTACATGTGATTTCAATATTTTCTGATTTACGTTTTGGACAATAAAATAACTAAGGGTGTACTATTCATCAGTACAGTTATATTGGCATGCCTGTCAATGTGTACTCAGTATAAAGATGACCCCCTAACACATTGGTTTACAGGGTTTAATAAAGTTATAAACTTCTAACTTACAGGTCATACAAGGTCACATGAACCTCTAATTCACAAATTCTGATGAACACAGGTCACATCGGGTTAAAAGATTCTCTAACACACACAGATCATACAGGATCAAATGAACCTTAGCTTTAACTAATACAGGTCATATGAACCTCTCTCTAGTGTAATAGTTTCACATGTCAGAAAACTGTCCAATCTCTACAGGTCACACATATACATGTATTATAACCATTACAGATACAAAGTCAAATGGTATTAATTCATCAGTGTAATCAGAAGTACATCTGGCCTGTCAAATGGTACTGGTTCTAACAGGTAAGCATCTACAAAGACATACTCTAGGGATAAAGAAATGCAGGGTGACACTATTTGCAATATCTTGCGAACGCGTTGTTCAAAACCAATGAAAATCAGTCAAGCAACACTCTAGGTTACAGTGCCGGGGTCCTGTATTGAATGTTGTATTATTGTATTGCTTGACGATGTCTTCCAGGGAAAGCAGGAAATAGGAAAATCTCATGCACAGCAGTGTTGTGACATTGAGAGTTACACTGCTTGTCATACCATTAGGTAGTCTTCACAGAGACACATTATTTTCCGATATTTTGATTAATTTCTGATAGAATTAAACAATGACATGGCTGACGTAAGTTCAGAAGGGTCAGGTCATTGCTATGAGTATGCAAGGTCAAAGGCAAATACAGGTTGCCAGATATTTCGGTGTCCATATTGGCACTTTAGAACGTCTTGTTAGATGTATAAGGGAAACTGTGCGGGTTGCTGACAGACCTACGTCTGGGTAACCATGTGTACCGTCACAACACTCAGGACAGGTTTATTCGTCTCGTGCATTTGTGCAATCAGCACTTTACTGCCACTGAATCTGCCCTTCATACCATTGGTACTCATAACCATGCAGAAACTGTTAGCAGGAAGATGGTCAGCAGGTATGTCACAAGTTTGCAGGTCTGCCCCTTACCATTGCTCATCACCATCATTGTATGGCTTGGGTGGCGGCACATGCCCCCAGAATATTCCCATTCAGGCAATGGAGAGGGGTCTTGTTTACAGATGAGTCATTGTACACCCTCTTTCGAGCAGACGGTCAATGTCGGGTATACCAATGTTGTGGAGAATGTTTTGCTGACTGCTGCATAGTAGAGATGGATAGGTTTGGAAGTGGATCGGTTATGGTGTGGGGAGGAAGCACACATGGAATTAAATCACTACTGGTTGTGGTAGCAAGTAATAGAACAGCCACTAGGTATAGAGATGAGGTCCTCCAACCCCAAGTTGTCCTATTATTGCAGCAAAACAACCTCACATTCCAGCAGGATAATGCTTGTCCCCATGAAGTGAGGATCTGTTGCGACTTTCTCACTAACATCAATATCCACCCACTGGACTGGCCACCATACAGTCACGACCTATCCCCTATTGAGCACTTGTGGGACCAGCTGGATAGACAGGTTCAACTCCCCCGGTTATGCTGGCCCAACTGAGAGCAACCCTCTTGGAAGAATGGGCCAACATCCCAATGTGGAGGATAGACCCACTCATAAACTCCATGCCTAGGAGAATCAGGGCTGTGGAGAGAGCAAAGGGGGGACATACCCAGTATTAACTAGCCAGCTCCCACAAGAAGTCAATTTCGACTTCAGATTACAGAGTTCTCTTTCAATTCCCTTCAATTACTCCTAAATCACTTTTACCCTGCATTTCTTTATCCCTTGAGAATATTTTTATAGCAGATTGATGCAGTATCTGATAATAAAGTATATTGCATCACTCTGAAACAATGCGCCAAACTAAAATTGAAGTAGAGTTGGAATGCAAACATCTTGAGATCTGAAAGACCTTGCAGTTACGTAATGATTTCACCACTGCACCAAATCAATATCAAAGATCTAAGATAAGTGGTAAGAACTTATTTTACTCAGAAGAACAGTTGATCAATACCAACATTATATGATGCAGTGATCAGGATGACTGCTTTAAAGTTTTCAACAATGCAATAGTAAGCATATAAATCTATTTGTATATTTTTTCTTTTTCAAATGCTAGAGGACACTTTGAATAAAAATACAAGGCCCAATCCTTTCCTAATCCCTACTAGAGATTCTTTTTGACAATCTGTGAAAATCTTCAGACCTGATGTCATTTGTTTTAAACTACATGTATGCAAACAATGATTTTCAAAATATGTCCTATTGTATGATACCGTTATTTCCTCTGTAGAAATATAGCTTTAATAACTGATCTGTTAGCATACATGACCCTACCTCAACAGATTGCTGCTGGAGAGTTACATGAAATTATTAGTTTTTATAATGGAGATGTATGGTAAAACCAAAAGTAACTTCTTGCTTACTGTCACGCATGTGCTCGAATGAGATATTAGGCCTAAATGCCTGGACAGTCATCTTACTACATAGGCAAAGAAGCAATGTAAATAATTTTCAATCTTCTTTTCACTCTGAAATGAAATACTGTGTATCAAAATTTGGTACACGATGTCATCATCAAGAAGATAGCAAGAATATGGCTTTGCAGTTTTAAATTAAATAAGTAATCACTTTCTATATACATATAGGTAACATGGAGGTTATTAATAGAATCATGAACCTTAAGAATCATTGGTGCATTTGTTTCGGACCCCTTCAGAATAATTTTTCGCTAGCTATGCTATGTTGATGAAATGCCATCAAACAAATACATAAATGACTTGAAATGTGTTCATACTATAAGATATATTTAAAAACTGACCTGTGAAAGTCCACTATTTTTCTAAAAAAATATCACAGAAATTGTTTCAAATCTGCTCACCTGAAATGATCAACATGTGTATGGCACATGTGATTGCATTAAAATGTATGTCTCTGATGACATCACCGATCACAGAGATGCTTGAGTTAGCTTAGTGTGACCCAGAAATACACATGTACACGAAATCATTATTTGAATAGGAATGACATTTTGATGAAAATAAAAATCAAAATACATTCATGGTGCGAAAGTGGTAGATATCTGTGTTTATGTGTGCACCTTTTCTAAAGAGTTCGATCAAACGTCTTATTTTTTTTTATCTTTTTTCTCCTCAAATGAGCTATATTTCATGGTAAACATCTTTCTTATAACACTATTTATTATAAACTATTTAAATAAAGTTGATTTTTCATCTCTCGGTCTACAACTCCCTAGTTAAATAAAATCTGAAATGAATCATCAAAAGTGATAATTTATACATCATCATGTTTTCAATATATAAGTTTGGACTTCCATAGCAAAAAAATTGTAAGATGGTGCGGTCTATTATTATTCATGGTCGATTTTCATTCATATGATAGACGACAACTAAAAATTGGCATCTGAGGATGAATTCATGGCTTATTTCATCATATCTAAGAGGAAGTTTGACATGTAAAAATCGAGCATTGTTAAAAAAACCAAATTTGCCAATGAAATATATACTCGTAATATTTTATAGTGATTAGTGTAAATAAGTTTTTTTTTTATTATTTTCGGAAGCGTGACATGTTACAGCAACCAAAAGTATCCGGGTGCAAGGTCATGAGGGTCACGAAGGTCAATAGTTCATGTTATACGGCTGGACAAAATGGCAGTTCCGAAATACATAACGGTGCGGAACCGATGTCAACACAATACATTAAACATAATGGTCACCTGCCTATATTTTTCGTTTCGGGAACCTTTTAGTTTCGGGAATTGGAAGTCACGAACCTGTTACACACATACTGAGTATCTGCTATCATAAATATCAAAGCTTCGATAACGCACGACGAATATGTTAGACCTACAATGCTCAGTAGTGTTACTTTCAATTGAACTTTCAGAAAGGTGTACATGTTCTTACCTTCAAAAGGATTTGTCCAACTTCTTCTGGTCTTGTTTCTACCTCTGTCATCTTGAAACAATATTTTGGTTAATACTCTTTAAAATAACCAATGCATTCAATTTCACTTGTAATGCAATATGACAAAATAACACTACATATCTAAATCCACGAACAACTATGAGTCTAAAAACCGCCAGCCATGCGCTGTTTCTCCAGCAACACATCAAACAACACAAAGTTATGACGTAGTACACATTTCCGGTTTAATAATGTCTTCCTATGCGCTTTTCACATCATGCTGCAACGATTTCAAACCTGATGAATTGATTCGACGTACGTTTTTTCACTTAACATAAAACGTTGAATGTAGCGTATAGCCGAAGTTAATTCAATAAGTTCAATTAGTCATCAGAATTATTAAGATGAACGGAAACTGTTAGGACAGTAGCTGTAAGCTGAACAAGACGTTTCGGCCAAGAAATTAGTAATGTACCGAAATGACTTTACTTTGACACGGAAACCCGGACACCGACCTGAAGTTGACTAGAAATTATAGCAGGCATTTAAGAATTGGGCTTTGTCACTGAGTATGTTTGAATGATATATTAATTATATCCTGGTAATGTATATCATATGCATTTCAAGCAATTTGGGCATCTCTGGAAATAAACATGTAACGGATGCATCATGATCAGTGATCATGTTAAAGCTATGATCTCCGGTAAACAACAGTATCCTGTTCAGGTTTTTCGTTGGTTATTTCTAGAACAGTGTCCTTTTAAGATTAAATGAAGTTCTATTGTATAATTTAAATGCATTTCCTGAAAATAAATGGTGTCGTTTCCAATTTCTAATTCTTTAAAATGCTGAGAGATAGCTTAAACTCGGACTTTTCTGTTGCCCAAGTAAACAACAGTAACCTTTTGTATCAGATAAACAACAGATGTCTTGTGTATGAGAATCAAATTATAGATAGCATTATGATCTGTATATTTGTTAACATTTTTTAAACAAAAAATATCTGGCATCCCATGTACGGACCTCATATAAGAGGAACCCTGGGTTTGTTACTGGTATATATTTGCATGTGTAAAAAAATTTTTGCTGGTTATTGGTGAACTTAACACTGGTTTTTCTTTAAATTTCAGAAATATTGAATATTGACAACTTACCATCAGCCAGCCACTTGATTGAGGATATATTGGGATACGACTGGCACATAGATACCAAATACTATACTGCAGATATTCAGTTGTGCTGTACAGCAAGAAGAACTATTGGTGATGAAAGTTTTGCTGAGAATGTCCATGCTTTTGTGGTCTATTTTGATGCGGAGGAGGTAAGACTTATGAAAAATCCTCTGGCCTTTTCTTACTCTATTATCCAGCCTGATACACACAAAAGTATTTTAATATTTGCAACACAGTGTATATGTTGAAGTGATATGTGAATGTATTGTAGTCATAAAAAGAATAACAATGCTCTGAAAATTTGATAAGCAAGTCTTGTCCATACATTGAAATTTGTCAGAACAATCTGGGTAATTTTTAACTATTTGCCAGTCAAAATTTGAGCATGATATGTTTCATGTGCTGTACATACTGTCCATTCACCTGAACTTGTGATACAGGCCCATTGGGTCTCTTGTGATACTATTATTTTGCGATTGGCTCTGATGTAATAGGAATCATGCAGGAATGGATACACTAATCATAAAGAATAAATCTTTAGTATAAATTCACCATTGCATTTAAACCTCATCACTCACTTCCACTGGTTTCAGGGTTTTAACCAAATTTTGGACATTTTAACATATCTTCAGATGAGAATGCTTTATTTCATTGTGTGTTATTGTTGTTATGTCATAGTTTGATATCAAATGCATCACCATGTCATCACAATGTATGATACTCTAGCTTTCTTTTGGATTTCCTCTCTGTTACAGAGCAAGACTTTTGAGCTGGCCAAGTCCTGGCTTCCCTACCTAAAGCAGATAGAACCAGCAATACAAATCCTTGTTTGCCATTCCTGTTCAGAGAGCACCAGTATGTTTTCTCATTCCACACTGAAAATCAGCAAGTTCTAGTTCAACTAACTAGTTCAATCTTGCCTTAGTTCATTATTAAGGAAGAGTTGATGATTTTTCTATGTTCTTTTAATGTTCAGAAAATATTTCTTATAATGTTATAAATATATTTAATCAAGCTATTATTTGTGATGGAATTCATGAACACTGCCCAGAGAATTTCAGCTAGACTTGACAATCCAAAAACTCTTTAGAAACCAGTGCCCGGTTGTTCAAAACTGTCATTAAGCTTATGACGTTGTTAAACTATGGTTAGCATGTTGCTAAAATTTAGCAATGTCGTCAACTGTTGTTCCAAAAAAAAATATCACTTAAGGACTCACTGATTATTGGCTAACTTTAATCATTCATGTACCCATGGTTAAGTATTTAACGGGGTGTTAAATATTACTGCTTTGGTGCTTGCTGTTGTGCGTCCTCAGAGGAAACAGTGTGTCTTCCACCATCAGACAATTCTAGACTGATCGTTAAACGAACCATGAATTGAGGAAGAGGTGTAGATTTGGATGCCATGCTTTTTATTTCATCACACACCTCCTCAAAGAAGATCTAGAGAGAAGAACTCAAAAAAAAACATGCACTCTCAGATAATTATAATGATATGGTCCCACGGATGTAGACAGAGTGAATTACATGTTGTAGTTGTAGAACAGAATTCTTTTATGTATATATGAATGTCCAGTGTATAAAAAATATATATTTGATAGTCAGTGTTTTTGTAACCCTGGTAAAATACTAGCCGCAACATACCAATCGGCTAGAGAGAACATCTCTTTAGCCCGATTGGTTGAGCGTCAGACTAGTAAGCCAGGGGTCCCGGGTTCGATTCCTAGCGGAGGCATTGAGATGAAAAATGACCTCTGTTACATTTTCATTACATGATATATATACAATCAAATATATATGTCATAATATGAAATGTACATTAATTTAGATTAGTTTTCTTCAGGTGTTAAAAAGATCACTGCACAAGAATGGTGCGTCGATAATAATTTTGAGCTGGTGGAGTTATGCCCTCTGGAAGAGAGTGACAGTGAAGGTATACATTTATATTTTGTACCTTTTTATTCTGAAATAAGTTCTAATCAGTCTGGCTTTCACTAAAGTAGAGTTGTGGATTAAGTGATCTTGTAAGATTTGACAATGAAAGTGAGTTTCAGAACAATTTTATAATATATTTGGCAACAATGAATCTATGCATGATAAGTGATATAGTTATCACTCTCAAGTTGTGCCATCGAATCACATTTATTTTAATTTTTTTTATTACTGGTATTACCCATTTAACAAATCTTTCAATAACAATGCCTCATGTTGGTGGTAGAGTGAAATAGATTCCCATTTGATATGCTGGTCAGGTTGATAACTATTTTCTAATTCACAGATGACTTCCAAGAAACAACAGGAACAAAAAGGATAATTCAGGCATTACAGGCCCACACCTGGCCTGATCTTGTGATGAAAGGTTTGTGTTGCTATCCACATCTACACAATATCAGCATTTCTAGAGTCAAGATGAAATAGATGTAGCTACACCTAGGTAGAACCAGGGTAAGAAGCCATTCTAGTGTATCTGTGTCTTGGAAGATTAATGGTACAAGGTTAGTTAGTCTATAGTAACTATACCTGGTAGAACCAGGTTATGAGATCTGTCTAGTTTTTATGAGCTTTACAGTTAAGTCAAATCCATCTGTAAGTATTTCTTAATTACCTCTGATATGTTATTAGCATACGGTTTCCTCAAGGTAGGTTTACACTGTAGGGACAGTGTCTATTCTATCATCATCCATATATTCTGTGAACAAATTGCCACCCTGGGAGACTCTAGGCCACCTATTGCTCTAGTGATGTATTAGTTAGAAATGGTATCTTGGAAGCTGAGAAATCCATGACTTCTTTAACTTTCTGCAGCTTACAAATGATTCAGCTAAACTTTTCATTAGTTTTGTTAAACGAACCTATGCTTACATGATAGGTATCAGTAAGGTAAAATGTTAGGCAAATTATAATGTTTTTATGATCATGCACACTTCAAGTCTTTGCTCTTAAAACCTGTCTCTCCTATGTTTATATCACATCTTCCAATCAACTTTTAGTAGTAACTTATGAAAATGAAGTAATTAATGTTTATATCTTGAAGTCGTATTTTTAATTCAGAACGCCCAAGTATTCGTAGTTCCTACATGACAGAATTGATGAAAGAGGAATCCTCAAAGAAGTTACAAGATGTTGAGAAGCCTCTAGACCAGGATGCTGAAGAGACTACAGAAAATAGTAGAATAGATGGTACAGAAATTAATGGAGAGCCTGAGAGTGGTAGTGGAGTTGGGAATAGTACTGCCTGTTGTGGGTACACTCCAGCTGCTACGACAGGCAAATCAAAGAAAACATCTGATAATGTTATAAGTAAGATTGTAGTAAGGGAATCCCCCTGGTAACTAGAATTGTCTACCCTTAATGTTGTCTTCAAAGTTTCTACTTTATCATCTGAATTCAATTTATATATAAGTAAACAATCAGAGTGCGTAAATTCTTTGTAGCAGTGACATGAGAATTGGTACAGCAGTGGCCAAACACCGTCTTGAGAGTTTTAATGGTAGTGTCAAAACAGTGGCTTGAATTTTGTATAGCGGGGACCAGTGGCTTGGGAATTGGTATAATATTGACCAAACAATGTTGGGATGGAGAGATGTTACATATATTACATATGTAACACTCTTTATTATACTTCTTAGTATCATCTTGTGCAAGAAATAGAGGATGTTACACAAGTTTCCCATTTATATGAGATGTATCAACAAGCCTGATGTATAAAACAAGACTTAGAAGTTTTCATGTTTCTAGGTGTCTTTCAATGTAAAAGGAAAAGTTGTTTCATAACTCTCATGTGAAACAAATGTAAGATTCTGTTTACCTTGAGAAAGTCAGAGTAAACTTGTTTATCAAGAAAGGTCGCAAAAATTATTGGAGTTATGATAAAACAGATCTTTGTGAACATACGGAATGTATGATACTGTTTGGAGTTTTTAACTCACAAGGTTCAAAGGACCGACAAGCTTCTGCCACACTACAGCCATAGTCTGCCAACTTTTTCCCTAAAAATTGCTACCAGTCGTAAAGTACTTACAGGATTTTGACTAAATTTGGTCAGAAACATCCTTACGAGAAGTCAAACAAATATTATATAAATTGTGAGTCTCTGCTCATTGTGACCTGACGGGCAGGGTCCAAAAGGGGGAAATTTACAATCCTATTTCTCCTGTGGGAACGATTGGATTTTGCTCAAGTTTGGTCTAAAGTATTGCTGGTTGAATGGGAATCAATGCTTTCTAAATGGTGGGTCTCAGCACCCTTGGGCGGGAGGAGCAGGGTCTAATTTTGGAAGTAGAAGAAATTCTTTGAAATCCTTCTCCTGTGGTTGGAAGAATTTTATTTTTTGTTGTTAAGATTTGGTCTGAAGCTTTCCTGAGTGAAAAGGAATCAATTTTGTATGAACTATGGATCTCGGCTCCTGGCCTTACAGGGGAAAATGCCAAATTTGGTCTCATGCTTTGTTGGGTGAAGGGAATCTATGTTGTGTAAACAGTAGGTCTTGCCACCGTGGAGCAGAAGAGGAGGGGCCCAATTATGGAAATAGGGGAAATTCTTTTAGGTCCCACTCCTCCTATAGGAATAATTGGATTTTGCCCAAATTTGGTTTGAAGCTTTCTAGGGTGAAGGGGAATCACTTTTGTATAAATTTTTGGTCTTGCAACCTTGGGGTAGGCAAGGTGAGGCCCAATATGGGATATGGAGGTAGATCTTTAAAAACTTTCTTCTTCTGTAGGAATATCAGGATTCTGTCCTGATTTTATCTGAAGCATTCTTGGGTATGAGATTTTGTATAAATGGTGTTGCTGCCCTTCTGGGAGCAGAGGGGTGGGGCTTAAGGAAAGAATCAATATAAATATTTTCCTTAGATTGGATGAAGCAATTTCAGCCAAACAAAGCCAGGTGAGCAATCCAGGCCCAATTGGCCTCTTGTGTTGTTTTAGTTCTAAAGAGCTTTGGTAGGACACAATCTTCTAGAATTATTTTTCATCAGTTTTTGAACTCCTATCAAATGCATGTGTTGAAGCATGTCTGTGTTCTGTTATAGATTCCATGTTAGGGATGGAAGACCTTGCTCTCTTTGAAGCTGTTGGAGCAGATGATCCTGGTGGAGAATCTTTTGAGAAGCTGTTTGCAAATTTCCGTCTTATGAAAGGTAAGGTATATATTCATTGTTAGGTAATTTTTTGTGTAAAGATTTAGCTTTTAAAATGTATAGAAGTAGTGTTATCAAATTATCTTTGGATAATTGCACAGTATTTAGAATTTGGTTTTTCCAACTTTTTCAGAGAAAGCTGAATCCTTACCACCAGAAGAAAGAAAGATATATGCTGAACAGGTAAGAATGAGCATAAATTGTCCGTTTTATTTCATATGGAAAATTTTATACATTGTGTTTGAAAGTAAAATTGATTTGTCTGCTGTTTAAAAGCCTATTTAAACATTTCATTTTTTCAATTGAAATGTTGTATTGATAAAGTTATCAAAGGGATTAAACAACAGGCTGAAAGCCTATATTAGTCAATGAAACACTAAAACATTTAACAATAAGTTGGTTGTAATGATATTCTTGTATAGCTACAGCAAACCATAGCCTATCATATAAAAATTAATACATATGCCTGTTTCCATTGTACTGTCATCTTATCATTAATGAAACACTTCTAATAGTCATACAATAGGAATTACCTCACAACATTATATTAAATATAAAATGGACTTGACAAGTAAATGTGAAATGACACACCTCATAAATCTGTAAGAAAACACCCTTTTTTGTCAGGTTGCTACATCATTTTGGCATGCTATAGGGGGGGACGATAGCGAAGAGGAACTTGACCTACAGCAGTAGCCTCCTGGCAAGAAAAATGGCTCCTTTCTAACTTCATTGTCAGGCATAAATATTTCCATAATTATTCAGAGGTTGCAAATATATCCAGTTTATTTTCTGAAAACTTGTATGTGAGTTGGTGCTTTACATTTGAAATGTACATCCTTAGAACTGTTTTTGTAATGTTTTGATTAATTTATGGACATATGATATCTTGGAATCAAGAATAGAAAGGCTGATGGATCAAACGAAAACAATATCATGATAATATAAGATTAGGAAGGTTGTGACTGATTGGGTATGAAATGGCTGCAAGTTGCTAAATAGCTTCATTTGTAGTTTCAAAATAACTCCTTCTGTATTTTATGAAGTATCTTTCTGCAGTGCTCTATAGAAATTCTATTGCAGAAATACATTGTCGAAGGCCTGTAAGGGAGCTTCTGTCTGAGATGGTTTAGTGCTGTCAGGGAGAGGCTATCTGATGCAGTGTTGAAGGGACTGTGATGCAGTGTAGATATGATCTGATCTTGGAGATGGTGTAGAAGGGAGCTACTCCCTGAGACAGTGTAGAACAGATGGTGTAGACATGCTGTCCTGGAGTTACTCTCTGATATGGTGTAGAAGGGTGCTGTTGGCCTAGATGGTGTAGACATGTTGTCCTTGAGTTACTCTCTGATATGGTATAGAAGGGACTGTTCTCCTAGGTAGTGTAGGCATACTGTCCTGGAGTTACTCTCTGATATGGTGTAGAAGGGAGCTGTTCTCCTAGATGGTGTAGACATGCTGTCCTTGAGTCACTCTGATATGGTGTAGAAGGGAGCTGTTTTCCTAGATGGTGTAGACATGCTGTCCTTGAGTCACTCTCTGATATGGTGTAGAAGGGAGCTGTTGGCCTAGATGGTGTAGACATGCTGTCCTGGAGTTACTCTCTGATATGGTGTAGAAGGGAGCTGTTGGCCTAGATGGTGTAGACATGTTGTCCTTGAGTTACTCTCTGATATGGTATAGAAGGGACTGTTCTCCTAGGTAGTGTAGGCATACTGTCCTGGAGTTACTCTCTGATATGGTGTAGAAGGGAGCTGTTCTCCTAGATGGTGTAGACATGCTGTCCTTGAGTCACTCTGATATGGTGTAGAAGGGAGCTGTTTTCCTAGATGGTGTAGACATGCTGTCCTTGAGTCACTCTCTGATATGGTGTAGAAGGGAGCTGTTGGCCTAGATGGTGTAGACATGCTGTCCTGGAGTTACTCTCTAAGATGGTATAGAAGGGAGCTGTTGGCCTAGATGGTGTAGACATGCTGTCCTGGAGTTACTCTCTAAGATGGTATAGAAGGGACTGTTTTCCTAGATGGTGTAGACATGCTGTCTTGAAGTTGATCTCTGATATGGTATAGAAGGGACTGCTTTCCTAGATGGTGTAGACATGCTGTCCTTGAGTTACTCTCTGATATGGTGTAGAAGGGACTGCTTTCCTAGATGGTGTAGACATGCTGTCCTTGAGTTACTCTCTGATATGGTATAGAAGGGAGCTGTTCTCCTAGATGGTGTAGACATGCTGTCCTTGAGTTACTCTCTGATATGGTGTAGAAGGGAGCTGTTCTCCTAGATGGTGTAGACATGCTGTCCTTGAGTTACTCTCTGATATGGTATAGAAGGGACTGTTTTCCTAGATGGTGTAGACATGCTGTCTTGAAGTTGATCTCTGATATGGTGTAGAAGGGAGCTGTTTTCCTAGATGGTGTAGACATGCTGTCCTTGAGTTACTCTCTGATATGGTGTAGAAGGGAGCTGTTCTCCTAGATGGTGTAGACATGCTGTCCTTGAGTTACTCTCTGATATGGTATAGAAGGGACTGTTTTCCTAGATGGTGTAGACATGCTGTCCTTGAGTTAGTCTCTAAGATGATGTAGAAGGGAGCTGTTCTCCTAGATGGTGTAGACATGCTGTCCTTGAGTTACTCTCTGATATGGTGTAGAAGGGAGCTGTTCTCCTAGATGGTGTAGACATGCTGTCCTTGAGTTACTCTCTGATATGGTATAGAAGGGACTGTTTTCCTAGATGGTGTAGACATGCTGTCCTTGAGTTACTCTCTGATATGGTGTAGAAGGGAGCTGTTCTCCTAGATGGTGTAGACATGCTGTCCTGGAGTTACTCTCTGAGATGGTATAGAAGGGAGCTGTTCTTCTAGATGGTGTAGACATGCTGTCCTTGAGTTACTCTCTAAGATGATGTAGAGGGGAGCTGTTCTAGATGGTGTAGACATGCTGTCCTGGAGTTACTCTCTGATATGGTATAGAAGGGAGCTGTTCTCCTAGATGGTGTAGACATGCTGTCCTGGAGTTACTCTCTGAGATGGTATAGAAGGGAGCTGTTCTCCTAGATGGTGTAGACATGCTGTCCTTGAGTTAGTCTCTAAGATGATGTAGAAGGGAGCTGTTCTCCTAGATGGTGTAGACATGCTGTCCTGGAGTTACTCTCTGATATGGTGTAGAAGGGAGCTGTTCTCCTAGATGGTGTAGACATGCTGTCCTTGAGTTACTCTCTGATATGGTATAGAAGGGAGCTGTTGGCCTAGATGGTGTAGACATGCTGTCCTTGAGTTACTCTCTAAGATGATGTAGAGGGGAGCTTCTTCCTTAGTTAGTGTAGAAGTGCTAATAGAGTATTGCTCTATGATACAGTGTTCAGAATGCTACTCTCTTACTCTCTTGTGGAAGTGCAATAGGTGTTACATTTTGTTTTACAATGTATGTGATATATGTAAACTAGATGAATATTGCAGATTGTCCTTTTTACAACTGTAAGCCATTCCAACTCAGAAAAGGAGAGAAACAATGTCGTATTATAAAAAAAACAATCAGGTATTAATGTGTGTAGGTATTAATAGTATGTATAATGTAATACATATGTAGTTACAGTTATAAGTATACACATCCAGGAATGTATATCTATAATCGGTATGGAATTTTGACACTTTGGTCAATAACACACATCATAATCAGTATTCAGTTATGTTGAACATACAAGCTAGACTTGTTTATTTCAAAACCTCTTTTCAAGTCTGTGAATCGTTAATAACTAAACTATTGATCAAGCTGTAAATCGTCAGTATTCATGTAATGGTTGATATTGTTGAAGATTGTGGTGATTGTTACTCCGGCATATCACTGCATTCACATACACACATAAAATAATACAGTATTTTGTATGTATTGTAAAAGTATAAAATTCTGTATGTTTATTTTAGTTAGTGATTTATGTTTAAATTGATATTTTTGTGTGAATGTATGAACCTAATATTGTAAGGCTGGTTATTCTCTTGTGTAGATATATTTGAATCAAGCTCTCACTATGAACTACTGTATATGTTTTATTTGGTGCTTATTTCCGATCGTTTATTTGTCCCTCCTCCACATCCTTCATCTTGTCAATGAACATTCCAACTCTAACTGTTACACGACATTTGACAGTTCAGACTTCTTGTGTTTGTGAAATTTAGTCATCTTTTTGATTCAGTCAATATTTTGGTATTTTTAGTCAATCTGAATATGTACACATAAGCTTTGTGACAATGTGTGATATTGGACCTTCAAAATGAAACACATATACTGCAATAATGTCGGTAGATTTATAGAATATTTTTCAGTTTAGATTTTTTTGTTGTTACTTATTGATTTTAAAAATAGATAAAAATATTGGTACTGTTAATCTACGGAATGCACTGAAGACAGACAACATATCGCCCAACCCTCAAAACAATTACTGTGATAACATGCTATCTTTCAGTTAAATATAATGGTTGTCAGCTAGTAAATAGGAATAATATTGTATGTTTTTGGTGAGCTTGATAAGAATAAAAAATCAAAACAGATAACATGTTCAGACTTACTTTCCTCGATCATTGCAACACATCCGATCTACATCATCAACCCAGTCTAAATAACAATGTACAAGTTATAAAGAGACATCACATGATCTTGAGAGTACTTCATAAAGGTTTGCATTGTAAGGTCATTGTTACTCTGTGGAAATTTGTCAAATATGACTAACGACATGGGAATGATGGCTGTTGTGTCTCAGATGTGTTCTAGTTATGTGAAAACTATGATATATACAGTATCAGCAAACATACCCAAGTGAACGTACTAACAAAAACCTGTATACATACACATCCATACTAACTCTGAAGTCAAATAGAACAGTTTTTCTACAACATTTTAATTTTGTCAAGTCACTTCATAACAAGAGGCCTAATGGGCTGTCAGCGCTCACCAGATATATATATATCAGTGAAATATCATGCCCCAAGGCTTATTAGTTCATGGGAAGAAGTCGTTATTAGGATTTAGAAAATTTGACCCTTGTGACCTTGAATATAGGTCAAGGTCAGGCTTCATGCTAGGAACATACAAGACAAATATTATTCCTCTAGGCCTAATAGCTCATGAGAAGTCGTTTAAAGGTTTGAACAAATCTGACCCCTGTGACCTTGAATATTGGTCAAGTCATTTCTTTTCGCATCTTTGTCAAGCTTCATCCTAGGAACATACCAGCCAAATATCAAAACATTTGGTCCATTGGTTACCGAGAAGAAGTTGTATTAAGGAAAAAGTTGATGCCAGATGATGGACACCAGACATCGCCCCACGGCATAAGCTCACTTGTGAAAATACACAAGTGCTAGGTGAGCAAATAAGGTAACTATGAAGTTGAACATTGATGGGCAATGCAACATATTTTTTAACTGTGTAACGTTTTTTTAATCAGTGAAATAAAAGTTCTACAAGAAATTTTGATCAATGAAATTTCTTCTCTTTCCCTGATATACAGTACAAAGCAGAGCACAAATCATACTGACTGTTTATTGCATAATAAATCATATACATTAACATTGCTGAGTTTTACCACTCAAAACATCAAACATGTTTGTTACAGAGTAAACATAATGTTGATAAACATATACAGCCTCATGCTCGAGATTCCATTTCATGTCAATTTAATCTGAAGTGAACACCTTCTGACAAGTTTTTTTAAACCAAAACCAAATGGGGACAAATGCAAGACCTTTTCTATCACATTAGGTTTTGGAAATGTTGAAGAAAAAAATTCTGTTACATGGCTCACCTGATGTTCTTTTCTTGGTGATGTCTATGTATGTGTACACCAATTCAGTATCTGTTATAACTTCACAATAGTCATTACCAGTAGTTGATAGGCATAAATATTTAATACAAGTATTCTTTAAACAAAATAATTATCATGTCATACATTGTATACAATGTGTTTTTCTGACACAAATTTTAGTCAATCTGATAAAAATCAAGTGTTACATTGTATAGTTATATTCTAGTACCACACAACTACATTGATGTTCAGGTGTATTGAGAAGTAGACCAAGCCATCTAACAGCTGATTTTTTTATCAGATTACTAACTAGTTATTTAGATTATCATCATTTACAAATATTCTTCACTTTATTCATTATTCATGTGACCCCGGAGCCCTGGTTCATACATATACTGGAGGCCTTGATATTACATGAAATTGTTATATATAATTACAAAGATAACTTAAAGAGAAAATCATGTAAACTCAAGGTAAAAATGAGACTTTTGTCATAGATAATTTTTCTGTCAATTTGTAAAGAATATAAATATCTACTTTAACATGAAATACCAAATAAAAAGTTTCAGTGCTCTGAGTGTAGGTGAGAGAGTCTGGTCAAACATTTTCTTTGTTTTAAGTTAAATGTAAAAATGTAGGTCACAACAGTGTTGGAAATAGAGCCCATACAAGACAAAGCACCAAAGGACAGAAAGGAAAAATCAAACCTATAGTCCCCACTTCCCCAATTTCCAGTGGGAGAAGATACAAGGTCACCAAATGTAAGTCTGGTGTTGAAATGTTCACAAGACTCATTTAACATGCACATAAAAAATCAGATAGGAATGATAAAACCTGTCACAAAATAATGTGAGAAATGAAACTTACAGAAGTTAAGGAAGTGATAAGTGATCAGTCACAAGATAGACGAAATTCATTACCATTGTGGAAAATGATCAGTCACACGATTGATGAAACATTTAACGGTCACAGGAGTGACAAGGAAATAAGTCACAGGTAGGACGAATTCTTTAACAGTCATGAGTGACTAGAGTGATCAGTTATAGGAGGGATGAAACCTTTAACAGTCACAGGAGTGACATGTCAGCAGTCACGAGGGATGAAATCAGAGCAGTTCCACAAAAATCAAACCAATAGATCAATTCAGACATATATAACCAGATACCAAACATTAAACATTTATTATGAAACTAATTACCTCCATACCTACAAGTATTGAGTAATGTAAGAACTCTTGGTTCCTTGAATATAAAGACCAAGGGTATCAATAGCATAATATGTACTATATCTTTAGTCGTGATCTTAGCTCCCATAGAGAAGGGCCAGAGTTTAACAATCCTTGTGACAATGTTGTGTTCATTTTCAGCAAGCAATGTAATTTATTGGATGTATTTTATGCCATCAGAAGCTAGAAAAAATCACTGTTATATGACTGATTTTATCTCTTCATTATCAGCCATTGCATGCATGTGGAGAAGCTATTCCTATGGTAGGACCCCAACACATGGCTAGCCCTTGCAGCATGAGCTTGTCAAATAGTTCATGTCCAGCAACTGTAAATGGTTTTAGGTTGAGGGACTAAGGGGCAGGCACAGATTCTTTTCTAAGGTTCTAAGCACATTAATTCCACTGCATAATTTTCTTAATTATATGTTTAGCTACTTCATGAGAAGGGAATTCTGTTCTCTCGAAACACCATCAAAACCAAATCATACCAGCTACTAATTTCATACATTCAATCCATATATATGTTTATTTAACAAAGTATACATTTACTTTCCTACCTTTGAAACAAAAACCGGGTAAGTACAGCACCAGGTGATCAGTTCCAATGAACAATACACAATAATAGAGAAATTATGGTTTCCTTAAAAACAAAATGTAATAACCTTGTAACCATTAAACCCTATATTAATGAAATATTTCTATGGTGAAATAACATCAGTTTCACTGTACATGAGTTGTGTTAAGGCAGAACAAGGTATATAGTGATCAGGTCATCATCACAGCCAAAATGTGCATTCAGAAAATAGGATGACGATGACGACAAGGACAATAGATTCGATGGATCAAGCCACAATGTTGTCTTAAATGGGACACTTTTCATGATTTTCTTAAATATCATTATCACCAGAAACAAATAGTGACATCATACGAGCCTAAGTAAAATGACTGACCTTTGAGACTTTCCAAATTCTGAAAGGTCTTTTATGGAGTTTCCAATTACAAAGAATCTCCAGCTGCATCTTGTAGAGGGCAAACATAAGATAAAACAATAAATATATATTAAATTCCATACATACTAATACAATACTTTTATATGTCATCAGTCTTTCTCATTTTAGATGGACTGCAGTCACCAGAATAATTATCTCCCCCTATATTGCTCACAAGTGGGATAACTTCACTCATTTCATGACTAGAGTTGTAAGTGCTGCTGTTGACTTCACTCTGGTTCACTTTGAAATTGTCAATAACTGAGAAAACATTGCTCATATCAGTGTCATTACCCACTGATCCATCAGTGGCTGGAGTGACATTACTGTTTTTGTGTGAGTTTACATGGTCTTGCTGAGTAATGATCTTGCTCATCACATCACTGCCTGCAGAGGTTGATGATATTCCGTTTTCCTGTGTGAGGTCCGAGTTTGATATTGTGGCAGGTGTGGTCTTGGTTTTTCTGATAGGGGATCCATTGACAGATGTTGGTGTGGCTGCAAAATAACAGTTACGTTTTATACTTATAAAAGACAAAGACTGTTATCCCCTTTTAGCAGAATGGAAATTCATTATTCTAACTTTGTAACATTAACGAAATTACCGAATCAATGCTAAATTCAATTATCAATACATGTTATTGTTCAAATCTCGAGAAATAGCTACCTGCACACTTTTTTTTTACACTTTGATTAAAGTTATCCCAATATGAATCTATTTCATGTAAATGTAACAATACTGTTGAGAGTTTTTTTCTATCATAGGCCTAAATTCATCTTAAACCCAGTAAATAAAGATGATTGATTACCAGGAATTTTAAACACAGCATTTCCTTTGTTACGTTTTTCCATAGCTAGTCTTTTATTCCTCTCCATTCTCTCCACCTGTTCAGGAGTCAGGCCCTGTAATCAAAAACAATCAGCACAAATATTTACATCCCATATTTCAGATAAATTTGCTTTGACAATCGCTGATAGCATTCTACTTTGTGATAGATATTATTATTCAACACAATTCTTCCAACTGCATTATGAAATTACTTATTTCTGTATACAGAACACAAAAAGAGGCAAAACAGACCTTACTCCATAGCTTCAGAATCTCTTTTGAATTAAGTTCATTTTATTTATATAACCTTAAAAGTTGTGTAGATAATTGAATTTATTTTAAAGATATAAAGTGGTCAGCCCTTCATTCAAGAATGTTACTTAAGAATCTGAAGATTAACACCCTGTAAAAGGTAATTTCGAGTAACTGTGCAAGCGAGTAAACCTCATTCATTTTGTAATACCATCAAGTGAGTACACGTACATTTACTGTTCAATCCTGTGTCTTGTGTAATGTGAAAGTACCATGTGAGTACAAAGCTGATATGTTTCATAAAATGAAGCCAACAGACTTTAATAGTCAAAACCTATTGCTTTTGTTGTTGTAACATATGTAACAGAAGTAATGTTATTAACAAAGTGTTAGTAACTCAAACTACATCCTACATGTAATGCAAATCCTCCAATTAAGCTACCATCCCATAAGATGATCAAGTTTGATTTTTCACAGTGGAAAGTAAACAAATTATGCTTGAAAACATGATTTTTTATAAAAGTAAATTGTACCGCACCTTATTGGGAAAAGTAAGACTCTAGGGGTCATGAAATTCATGTGTGCTACAGATTGTGCGCGTCTTTGACAGTCCTATAGAAATACACACCATTGCCAGACTGCAGCTGCCATTGCTACTGGGTGTGTGAGGGGTGGAGGGGGTGTGGCTGTTGTCTGTGTTGTGGGATGAGGGCGTGTCTGACTGGGACAAAGCTGTCATGAGATGTGACGTTTTCACAGGTGTAGGTCTGTTCTTCATTGCCTCTTCTTCCTCGCGGATCATTTCATCCCAAACATCTTCAGCATCTCGATCTAAGCCAGGCTTAAACACAAAAATATAGTCATATTTACAAGATTTCATTGGAAAATTCTTATTGAAGGTTCTTAGTACAGTAACATTATCATTTTTTTCCATTTCATAAACATTTCAAAATCTTAAGCATAAAGTAAAAATGATAATGTTCCAAAACGTTCACCTTTATGTCTCCCAGAACTCAATGTCACAGACATCAAACTAATGAATGGTTGACAGGGACTGTATTCTATCTACATAAAAGATCACATACTTGTGTACCACCATCCTGACCAATGATTGACAGGGATATCCTCTTTATAAATAAGATCACATCCTTGTGTATCACCATTCTGACCAATAATTGACAGGGATATCCTCTTTATAAATAAGATCACATCCTTGTGTATCACAATTCTGACCAATGATTGACAGGGATATCCTCTTTATAAATAAGATCACATCCTTGTGTATCACAATTCTGACCAATGATTGACAGGGATATCCTCTTTATAAATAAGATCACATCCTTGTGTATCACCATTCTGACCAATGATTGACAGGGATGTACTCTTTATAAATAAGATCACATCCTTGTGTATCACCATTCTGACCAATGATTGACAGGGATATACTCTTTATAAATAAGATCATATCCTTGTGTATCACCATTCTGACCAATGATTGACAGGGATGTACTCTTTATAAATAAGATCACATCCTACTATTTATAAATAAGATCACATCCTTGTGTACCACTATTCTGACCAATGATTGACAGGGATGTACTATTTATAAATGAGATCACATACTTGTGTACCACTATTCTGGTTTGTTCCACTGGTCATTCCATCCTCATCTTCTTCGTCAGCCTCCTGGACAAAGTCACTGGACAGAATTGGCATGTCAAGTCTCATTTTCTTTATACATGACTGGAAATACAAAGATATCATTAATGTCTTGAATTTATAACAAAGCTATAACTTAACAAATTTATGTATATAACACAAAAGTTTCCCTACATCTTCTCTATCGTGTACTTTTCTGCCTTACATCATTACATCAACAAGGACATAGTCATCAAGATCCTCTGCCCATGGTCATTTGTAAAATATATACATTCAAAGTGAGCAACATGGAAAACTAAAGTATTGAAACCGTTTATTCTTTACATTGTTTACTGTGTACATCCTGTATGTTTTAACTGTGTAGATCCTGTATGTTTTAACTGTGTAGATTCTGTAAGTTTTAACTTTGTACATCCTGTAAGTTTTAACTGTGTACATCCGGTATGTTTTAACTGTGTAAATCCTGTATGTTTTAACTGCATACATCCTGTATGTTTTAACTGTGTACATCCTGTAAGTTTTAGCTGTGAACATCCTGTAAGTTTTAACTGTGTACATCCTGTAAGTTTTAACTGTGTACATCCTGTAAGTTTTAACTGTGTACATCCTGTATGTTTTAACTGTGTACATCCTGTATGTTTTAACTGTGTACATCCTGTATGTTTTAACTGTGTTCATCCTGTATGTTTTAACCGTGTACATCCTGTAAGTTTTAACTGTGTACATCCTGTATGTTTTAACTGTGTACATCCTGTAAGTTTTAACTGTGTACATCCTGTATGTTTTAACTGTATACATCCTGTAAGTTTTAACTGTGTACATCCTGTATGTTTTAACTGTGTAAATCCTGTAAGTTTTAACCGTGTACATCCTGTATGTTTTAACTATGTACATCCTGTATGTTTTAACTGTATACATCCTGTATGATTTAACTATGTACTAACACAATTAACTGTTACATTACCTGTACTTCCTTTTTGGTACCCAGTCTTTCTATCCTTTCCAAAACTTCATCAAATGGCATTTTAGGAAAGAGTCTGTGAGCCCAATGTTCTAGGTACTTCATAATTACTCCTAAGTCTTTAGCCTGTGCAGAATGAGGTATGTTTTTGATTACACTTTGCTGTGTTGCAGTTCCATAAAGAGCAGCCATCTTACATAATAACACATCATACATCCCTTTGGTTCAACACTTAATGTTGCTGGTAATGAGACAATCCTTTTTTCCCTTTCAAATTGCTGCTTCCACTAATACCATGTTCTGGATCACAAATACCAGCCTTAACATCTTTAGAAATACTTACCAAAGAAATGTATCTTTAGATTAAACTGAAACCTTAATATAGGAATATTCACCTTGTCCTACTAATACTAAATCTATATTGTCATTCTATTGGTGGTATCACCATGCTTTTTGTCCCCAAATAACCAGTCAAGCGGTATCAATTTATTCTTATGAATCCACTGGTTAATCCAGAACATGGAGGATACTAACCATTGTGGAAATGAGGAAATTTTTCACCAATTTTGGGAAATTAGATAATTCAGCTAGTCCTTCTTGCCAGAATTCAAAAGAGGGATATAGTTAAAATCTATGACACATGAAGTTTATATAAATAAAATATGACACATGAAGTTTATATAAATAAAATCTGATTTCATAATGTGAAAATATATTACGCAAAAATATACTTATTAACTCTGTTGGGAAAATATCCCCATGTCTTCAGTATATTTTTTGAATGGGGAATCTGTTTATATTCAGTGGGGAAAACACAATAAGGGGAATATTACCCTTTCTTGGTAGTAACATTTGTCTAGATTAATCCCTGAAATCCAATATCATGGACATTACCCTGCCAAATATTTTTGATTCAATTTACCAAATCTCATGACTTTGTTTTATAATACTAACTTTTACATTACATTAAATCTTGTAAATGAACTTTTGATTTTTGTTACTAACTCTATGATCATTGTTTTATCATACAATGTACAAACCTCATGACAATTTTATTACTGAAACCAACATTATGAACTTTGTTTACTGATACTAACCTCATGACCTTTGCCCTTAAACTTGACTCCCTGGAATGTTTTGGGAAGAATAGGAATTCCTCTTTCACCACACAATCTGCAAAGGTAAAGCAAAACTGTGACTACAAAGCAAGTGTGTATTGTACTGATGAAGTACTTGACTGTCAAGGTTTGTACTCGAATGAAAGTTACATACCATACTTACTCAAGTGTTTATCCAACCAACCCAGGTGCAAATTGTACTGACCAAGGTATGTATTGGACATGCACAGTTGTGTTGACTGAGGTGTGTATTGTACTGACTGAGGTGTGTATTGTACTGACAGGTGTGTATTGTACTGACTGAGGTGTGTGTTGTACTGACTGAGGTGTGTTATGTACTGACTGAGGTGTGTATTGTACTGACTGAGTTGTGTATTGTACTGACTGAGTAGTGTATGGTTATGACTGAGTTGTGTATTGTACTGACTGAGGTGTGTATTGTACCGACTGAGGTGTGTATTGTACCGACTGAGGTGTGCATTGTACATACTGAGGTGTGTATTGTACTGACTGAGGTGTGTATTGTACCGACTGAGGTGTGTGTTGTACTGACTGAGGTGTGTATTGTACTGTACTGACTGAGGTGTGTATTGTACTGACTGAGGTGTGTATTGTACTGACTGAGGTGTGTATTGTACCGACTGAGGTGTGTGTTGTACTGACTGAGGTGTGTATTGTACTGTACTGACTGAGGTGTGTATTGTACTGACTGAGGTGTGTATTGTACTGACTGAGGTGTGTATTGTACCGACTGAGGTGTGTGTTGTACTGACTGAGGTGTGTATTGTACTGTACTGACTGAGGTGTGTATTGTACTGACTGAGGTGTGTATTGTACTGACTGAGGTGTGTATTGTACCGACTGAGGTGTGTGTTGTACTGACTGAGGTGTGTATTGTACTGACTGAGGTGTGTATTGTACTGACTGAGGTGTGTATTGTACCGACTGAGGTGTGCATTGTACATACTGAGGTGTGTATTGTACTGACTGAGGTGTGTATTGTACTGACTGAGGTGTGTATTGTACCGACTGAGGTGTGTATTGTACTGACTGAGGTGTGTATTGTACTGTACTGACTGAGGTGTGTGTTGTACCGACTGAGGTGTGTATTGTACTGACTGAGGTGTGTATTGTACTGACTGAGGTGTGTATTGTACTGACTGAGGTGTGTATTGTACCGACTGAGGTGTGCATTGTACATACTGAGGTGTGTATTGTACTGACTGAGGTGTGTATTGTACTGACTGAGGTGTGTATTGTACCGACTGAGGTGTGTATTGTACTGACTGAGGTGTGTATTGTACTGTACTGACTGAGGTGTGTATTGTACCGACTGAGGTGTGTATTGTACTGACTGAGGTGTGTATTGTACTGACTGAGGTGTCTATTGTACTGACTGAGGTGTCTATTGTACTGACTGAGGTGTGTATTGTACTGTACTGAGGTGTGTATTGTACTGACTGAGGTGTGTATTGTACTGTACTGAGGTGTGTATTGTACTGACTGAGGTGTGTATTGTACTGACTGAGGTGTGTATTGTACCGACTGAGGTGTGTGTTGTACCGACTGAGGTGTGTATTGTACCGACTGAGGTGTGTATTGTACTGACTGAGGTGTCTATTGTACTGACTGAGGTGTCTATTGTACTGACTGAGGTGTGTATTGTACTGACTGAGTAGTGTATGGTTATGACTGAGGTGTGTATTGAACTAAGGTAAGTAAAATTCTGACTCAGTATTGTGTTTGGCTAAGGTGTGTATTGTACCCACTGGGATACTTTCCAATATTCCTAGATGCCATTTCCTGCATTTTAGGCTATTCTGAGCTAAAAAGATTGAACCTTGAAACATTATGTCTTTTTTTTGTTTAGTTTTTCCCTGCTTTTTTCCCCATCAATGCTAATATTAGGCTACAGCCATTGCACCCTAAGAATAAACAGACACATGGAAATTAATTCATTTATACCCCTCCCCATCATCAATATCAGCACTCTTGGGCTTTTGGATTTTGAGAAGAATTCATTTAAAATTTTTAACATATTTGACCCCTGTGGCATTGAAAGCGGGTCAAGGTCATTTATATTAACAAACTTGGAAGCCTTTCATCTCATCATGCTACAGGCCCAATATTAGCACCCTGGGTTTTTTGTTTATTGAGAAGAAGTTGTTCAAACATTTTAACATACCTCAGGCATTTAGTTCTTCATCCCGTTCACCTACATACTCAATATCAGTACCCTGAGCCTTTTTGTTTATTTAGGAGAAGTCATTTGAATGGATAGTTTACGCACAGCGGACAGTACATGATGATGGACAAAATATGATGGCTATGAGTCATCTTGACCATTCGGGTCAGATCACCTAATAAATATCAACTATATATCAATTTCACTTGCTCGCTTATGAAATTCTGCTAAGTACCCCATATGTAAACATTTTTTAAGTTACAGTAATATTTTGTCATTATATGAAGTAAAGAGAAAATTAATATACTCTGCTGTAGCTACTGGTCAATGGTCCCTGTGTATACTTGTGAGTCACTGTACCCTAACACTTCAAAATAGCCAGCGGTCAACATAACTGTACACTATATATACACCTTCACCTTAAGGCATTTGATCAGCCTACTTTCTAGACTTATGTAGTAGATATTAAAAAGTACATGCTTACTCAGTTTCTACATTTACAATATCAGGATCTTTCATCACAGATCAAAGAGGTTACATGTACATCATTACTATTTCCCGATGATATTACAATATCAGAAAGACTGAGGTCAGTAGAACTGGCCGTCAATTCTTAAACTTGTGGTGATCAATCTAATTAATTCCAAGGCTGAAGTAAAACATTGTATACGTAGAATGTCTTTGCTCAGTTTCCACACATACAAAATCAATGTAAAGATATGCTTCTTACTGCCTCAGAAAGATATGTCCAGTTTCCAAACAGAATGTGAAAAATGGCCCAGTTTCCATAAAAACTCTGACAAATGACTTGGCTCTCCTACAGACTCGAAAAAAATCCCACTTTCTACAGAGTGAGGAGAGAAGTCCAGTTACCTGATAGGGTGTGAAGATATATTTAGCTTTTATACATTGTGACGATAGACCAATTTTTTATATAGACAGTGATGAATAACCAAGTTTTGATACAGACTGTGATGATAAACCCATTTTCTGTGCACAGTGCGAAGACAAAGTTTTTATACAGAATGTAAGAACCAGATAACTGCTTTTGGAACATTGAGCTTGGAGTAACTTTGGAACATGAAAATTGTTTCAGTATTTGTAAAGTTTCTCAATGCTGTTAGAGTTTCTATCATTGCCTGATCTATGTCCCGCTAACACAAGGAAATCCTGTACTAAACACATAATCCTAGTCAGAGCAGTCATGTGGATAACTCGCTGTATCTTGTGGAAATCCATCCAACCCTTCTGGAAAAGTAGCAATTTTGAAGAAAAGTCGAGAGCTGGAAAGATGACAGACACTGCATATATATATAAGTTCACTGATCTGTTGGACTAATGATACACTAATCTGTTGGACTATGATACACTGATCTGTTGGACTAATGATACACTGATCTGTTGGACTAATGATACACTGATCTGTTGGACTAATGATACACTGATCTGTTGGACTAATGATACACTGATCTGTTGGACTAATGATATACTGATCTGTTGGACTAATGATACACTGATCTGTTGGACTAATGATACACTGATCTGTTGGACTAATGATACACTGATCTGTTGGACTAATGATACACTGATCTGTTGGACTAATGATACACTGATCTGTTGGACTAATGATACACTGATCTGTTGGACTATGATACACTGATCTGTTGGACTAATGATACACTGATCTGTTGGACTAATGATATACTGATCTGTTGGACTAATGATATACTGATCTGTTGGACTAATGATATACTGATCTGTTGGACTATGATACACTGATCTGTTGGACTAATGATACACTGATCTGTTGGACTATGATACACTGATCTGTTGGACTATGATACACTGATCTGTTGGACTAATGATACACTGATCTGTTGGACTATGATACACTGATCTGTTGGACTAATGATACACTAATCTGTTGGACTAATGATACACTGATCTGTTGGACTAATGATACACTGATCTGTTGGACTATGATACACTGATCTGTTGGACTATGATACACTGATCTGTTGGACTATGATACACTGATCTGTTGGACTAATGATACACTGATCTGTTGGACTATGATACACTGATCTGTTGGACTATGATACACTGATCTGTTGGACTAATGATACACTGATCTGTTGGACTATGATACACTGATCTGTTGGACTATGATACACTGATCTGTTGGACTAATGATACACTGATCTGTTGGACTATGATACACTGATCTGTTGGATTAATGATATACTGATCTGTTGGACTAATGATACACTGATCTGTTGGACTATGATACACTGATCTGTTGGACTAATGATACACTGATCTGTTGGACTATGATACACTGATCTGTTGGATTAATGATACACTAATCTGTTGGACTAATGATACACTGATCTGTTGGACTATGATACACTGATCTGTTGGACTATGATACACTGATCTGTTGGACTATGATACACTGATCTGTTGGACTAATGATACACTGATCTGTTGGACTAATGATACACTGATCTGTTGGACTATGATACACTGATCTGTTGGACTAATGATACACTAATCTGTTGGACTATGATACACTGATCTGTTGGACTAATGATACACTGATCTGTTGGACTAATGATACACTGATCTGTTGGACTAATGATATACTGATCTGTTGGACTATGATACACTGATCTGTTGGACTATGATACACTGATCTGTTGGACTAATGATAAACTGATCTGTTGGACTATGATACACTGATCTGTTGGACTAATGATACACTAATCTGTTGGACTAATGATACACTGATCTGTTGGACTATGATACACTGATCTGTTGGACTAATGATACACTGATCTGTTGGACTATGATACACTAATCTGTTGGACTATGATACACTGATCTGTTGGACTAATGATACACTGATCTGTTGGACTAATGATACACTGATCTGTTGGACTAATGATACACTGATCTGTTGGACTATGATACACTGATCTGTTGGACTATGATACACTGATCTGTTGGACTATGATACACTGATCTGTTGGACTAATGATACACTGATCTGTTGGACTAATGATACACTGATCTGTTGGACTATGATACACTAATCTGTTGGACTATGATACACTGATCTGTTGGACTTATGATACACTGATCTGTTGGACTATGATACACTGATCTGTTGGACTAATGATATACTTGTTAAGTACAACTATCAGAGAACCAACCTTGTAGCGTCCAGTTTTGGCATCGGTTTTCTAACTACTTTTTTAGCTGCTCCTTTGGATAAATCTTTCAGCTTTGAAAGAACTTCACTATTTTCTGCAAAACAAAGAGAAAACAACTTAAAGAAAAATTATCACAAATACACTATTGAGAATCAGAACAGAGTTCATTTAATGAAAATGAATGTCACTGAATATCAATGAACTCAATGGATTTTTCTCAACACTTATTTCTAATTCAATTCATTAATGAATTCTTCTCAACATTTATTTTCTAACTCTATCTATTGAAGTTACAAAATTCCCGATCTCCGTGATCCATCTTTAGGCCAGTGACTCATCAAATCATTCGATGACTTAGATAAATCTACAACTTGTCCTGACAACATACAAATTGAAGATTCTATGGCAAAGAAAGTGATCATTGGCAACCAACACAATCTCACTCAAGTAGGGAAGTGGGTAGGATGATTAGGACAATGGAACCATAATGCTTACTGGAATTTCCACAGAATTACAATGAGACAGATGGACGTGTATATATTTTTTTCATTTCAGCGAGTTTCTGGAAAGTTGAAATGAAAAATTTGTGATACATTTCATAAACTGCATATGAAACAAAAACAAATTGAAGATCCATTTTATCACAGGAACTCGTTAACTTTGCAAATATCACAGAAAACATGGTTTCCTATGTCTCTTGAAGACATCTTCATTCCTATTACTGGTCTCCATTATTAATGAAATATCAATGAAATCGGAGGGTGTGATTTAATCATCTGCAGATATTACAATAGTTAGTGTGTAAAATATTACAGGTACATTCACTAAATACCACACCAATCTTCTGTAGTAAATATAATCCACTGATGTAACATGTTATACCTGCATCGTCCCCATTCTCATCATCATGCTGAGCCATACTCCCATCTTCCTCTGGTAGGTCTTGCAATGGACCCACAGATGGAAAATCCTCATCATGGTCTTCAAAAATGTCCTCCATATTCAAGTCGACTGTCTCCATGTTTGACGTTCTGTAATCTGAAATGAGAAATCACTGATGTTTATTCTCCAGTGGTTATCTGACTTTTCAATCTCTTAATCTCTTTTGGATTCCAAAATAGGAATAAAATAAAACACATTTCTGTAATTCAATATTCCAACACAAGTGCAACAAGTCACCCATTTTGGGTATCACAAATCAACACAACAAGTTCCACACAATCATTCCCTATGGTAAAAATGAAATTCTGTGGTGCTAAAACAAAAGAATATGGAACTGCTGGAAAATCTTTATATATATAAAAGAATAAATATCTGAACACTCTGGAATCTGAGAAAATCTCCATGTAAACAAGCCTTAACAAGATTTTCAAGATGACTGCCACAACGACAAATGTGAATGGAACATGGACACAATTGCCAGGACCATTTGTAAACCATAGACACCTTAATAATCAAAACCAGGATTTTATACATCTGTCCACTCAGGTGTTGGGATAACTAGACATTTAACAATGCCAAATACCAAGAATTTTGTTAGTACATTATGAAATATGACCATGCATTGTCCTACTCAGTTACAAAGGACCTGTCATTTGCCAATCAGAAACTTTCCTCTGAATAAAAAAAAAAAACAAAATTTATTTTCAGCAAGACTGCCACAATGAACAGCAAGAATACAGCACAGGTCTCTAAGGGTCATCTGTGGACGTGATTGTACAACTAATTACCTGGTTGTGAAAATTCTTATCTTGATATCAGACATTTTGTCAAGATGACAAAGCATGGTGGATATCCTAGATGTTACAAGGAGTAGATAATTATTTCAGTTTGTTTTGTTCGCACTTCAAATATGGAATGAATTTCTATGTCCATGTGCGATATGGTAGGTTTGTTTGTGAAATTCTGCCATTTATATCTAATAATCAAAAGTGCCATACCAAGATAATTAAATGTTTCATGTCCTTCAGTACATCCATACTTTAGATCACACTCAAGCTCTTTCTGAATCTATTGTCATGTAAAATAAATAATTCATATAAATTTTCACCAATGTATGCAGATCATGTAGATCCCCTGGGTTGCTTGGCCATATATTCTTCCAGTCATACCAAATCACTTTAACAAGCATACCTGATTATTTTACAATATAATTGGCTGTTTATGTGGTCAAGATTTTGTTATAAATCAGATTGTAGGGACTGTTTCTTACTCTGCCTCACATCAAAAGACATACTAGAATTACAAAGCCTTTTAATGAATCTTCTTTTGATGTCAACAAAAGGTCTAGGCCAAACTGACTGGACATTGATGATACACAGTCATTAAACAGTACGATAGTTTTAGTAATGAGGCAACAATTTTGCATCTCCTGAATCTATAAAAAAAATTCATTATTCTGTATGGGTTAACTAACGGAAACAAAATGAAGACCATTTTGGTAACATTTCCAATTGCACACCATACAACATAGTTTTCAGTGAAAAACCATGACATTTCTAGAGGTTATCTCTTATTTAAAGGATTGATATTAATTATTTCAACAATCGTGAGGTCATCACACTGGGTTTCTGGATATATTTAAAATGTTCTAGATAGGATTAAAAAACATGTAGGGCATTGTCCCATAAAAGGACATTTTTATGAATGAAATAATTATTCAAGGGAATTTCTAAATGGAGTCAATGATATACAATATATCTTGGAAAAATCAATGTTTTCTGAAGAGAACAGGCTTTGTATAGGAAAGTTCACAGCGTTTAGTACCCATGCTGACAACCATGACTACAAACACCCATCTACAACAGGGCTTCAGATACAAGGAATTAGTACACAGGATAATCCACACCATATCTATTATTATGCTGAAGTTGGAAAATTTTCCTGTAGGATGTCTCAAACATAACTTAAGCAAGTTCAGGATACACGACCACCGTGTCTCACCTATATATATAGAGGTATATCAGAACTAATTCCTAATATATATATATACAACGTACAAGAAAATTCTAGAGCAACAGAATGGTGATCTACTGCACCTATCAGATCAAAAGGCAGATATATATATATATACAGTGCTTCTATAATTATCCTTCAGTAAGCCCCTGACCCAACACACAACAGCTATATATTTACGTAGGCCAGGCATATGACTACATAAATCAGGTTTAAATTTACTTTCACTTTTGCTTTATATGTATATTAAGCATCATTAAAAACTTGGGCCTCAATGATCATCTGTGTTAACGTATGAACAAGTAACCTTAGGCCTTATTGATCATATGTTTGTTTATGAACAAGAAACCTTAGGCCTTAATGATCATATGTTGATGTATGAACAAGTAACCATAGGCAATAAAAATCATATGTTTATGTATGAACAAGTAACCTTAGGCCTGAATGATCATCTGTTTGTATATGAACAAGAAACTTTAGGCCTTAATGATCATCAAACACCACATGGAATATCCATTTGAAACAAATTGACAGAACCATTTGGGCAAGACATGTCCCTTAACATTTCTACAACAGGAGATGAACCAAATTCATTTATTAAAGAAATAATTGCCTGTCCCTAATGGTGCTTCAGACTAAATTTGCCTGAAATCTTTTCATGCATTAAAAAGGAGGAGTATTTAAAAGCAGATTTTAGCTAATTTTTCTTCAGGGGCCAAATCAACTTCATCAAATGCCTTCTTCCACTTGTGTTTCAGACACCTGCACTCCGACATTTAAGAAGAGCATTTTAAAGCAAAATTTCAGTTAACTTCTCCTTTAGGGCCCTGGCTTCGTATCCCCAGGGGTTGAATAATTTTCATTTACGCAAGAAATGATTGCTCCTTCTGAATGAGAAAATTTGCTTAAAACTGAATCTTAATCAGTAAAGAAGGAGCAGGAGAGGACAATGACAAAGCATGATGGCACTAGGTCTTGACCCTAATAAATCACCTATATGTCTATTTCACATGATGATTGTTTACAGGGATTGCTATCTGTACAGCATGGCTATGTGTATCTTTACTTTCAGTAATATATGGTAATGGGATTGCGACCTTAATATCCAGGAATTCAGTCCCAAGAGGCATAAGCAATATTCACTCAGAACATCAACAGCTATACAAGTCTATGCTTATTAATTATAAATCATAATATTCTTATGACCCTGAAAGCCATTATGAGAGTTTTATAGAAAGTTTATAGCAATATTCTAGAAAACAAGGCTTTGCCAGTAACAGCCTTTATTAGCATTTGATTCTGCAGTCAGGTCGACTTTGTCCAAATGATCTGATTTGCACTGCTGTTATACATAAAATTTCAAAGTCAAGATATCCAGATTTGGCAGATGATATTGTTTGAATGTTTTTATTTGTCTGGTACCTGTTGGCAGTAGGTCAAGGTTATTATTATGAAGAAAACTAGGACACCCAATCCATGATATCTAGACATCAAAATATGATTACATGTGATTTTCTTGAGCCTGAAGAAGAAGATGTTCATGCCAATGTATCTGTCTTAGACACTATTCACATGGACATGGATTTACAAGATGTATCTGTCTTTGACACTATTCACACGAACATGGATTTACAAGATGAAATGTTACAGAGGTAAAGATATATCTAACAACAAATACTCAGGCCTCTGAGTAACATAAAAACTGACAGTTAACAAAAACAAAACTTCCAAATACATTGCCATGATAGATGGTTTAAACATCAACAGCTGAAATTGTATTTAAAACTAGTTTTGTAAGACTTAATTTGAATTGAAATGTTTGATCTAAATTTAAGAACCTCAACATCAGCGCAGAATACAACATAATAACATACAGTAGCTAGTTTCCTGTATAGAAATTATATGAGGCCTGTATTAGGACATGGTGGGTCAGCTTGACCCGTGGTCAGCTGTACCCAATACACCTAGGTAGAGTGTGTTTATCTATTTTCCTATCAACATGTTCACAAAGCCAGTTTGTAGAAGCAGGATGGCAAAGCTTCCTGTTTATATAAAATGTATGCCAAGCCAAGGCAATTTAGGTCAACAACAAGACTGCTGTATTATCTAATGCAATGGTATGTATATATACACTGGGCCACAGGGGATTCCTTAGTAGATATTTGCTACTATGACTGATAGTATACCTTCAGTTATTTAACACATACTTACTTATCACCTCCACTCACTCAACACCTCCACTAACTCAACACCTACACTCACTCAACACCTACACTCACTCAACACCTACACTCACTACAAACCTACATTTACACTACAATACACTTACACAACACCTACACTTACTCAATGCCTACCAATGCACTTGCACAACACCTACACTCACTCAACACCTGCCAATACACTTACTCAACAATTGAACTCACTCAAAATATACACTTACTCAACAATTACTTTCACTCAACAACTTCACTTATTGAACACCTACACTTACTCAATGCCTGCCAATACACTTATTGAACACCAACACTTAATCAATGCCTGCCAATACTTACACAACACCTACACTTACTCAATGCCTGCCAATGCACTCATCAACAACACTCACTCAACACCTACAACATCTACATCTTATGACGATCTAAGGGTCAATTTCTCAGCTGATGGTCCATTTGACAAGAATTTTAATAATGCTTCTTAAATCTCCCACTCTGACTTGGGGTCTGACTTATGAAGCACTATTGCAATCCTAATGTGGAAGACTGTCAGAGTATCCACAGAAAACAGACAGGGTCTGAGTATCCACAGAAAACATACAGGGTCAGAGTATTCACAAAAAACATACAAGGTCGGCTTATCCACAAGAAACATACAGGGTCAGAGTATTCACAGAATACCTACAGGGTCAGAGTATTCACAGAAAACATACAGGGTCTGAGTATTCACAGAAAACAGACAGGGTCTGAGTATTCACAGAAAACAGACAGGGTCTGAGTATTCACAGAAAACATACAGGGTCAGAGTATTCACAGAAAACATACAGGGTTGGCTTATCCACAAGAAACATACAGGGTCAGAGTATTCACAGAATACCTACAGGGTGAGAGTATCCACAGAAAACATACAGGGTCAGAGTATCCACAGAAAACATACAGGGTCAGAGTATCCACAGAAAACATACAGAGTCAGAGTATTCACAGAAAACATACAGAGTCAGAGTATTCACAGAAAACATACAGGGTCTGAGTATTCACAGAAAACATACAGGGTCTGAGTATCCACAGAAAACATACAGGGTCAGAGTATCCACAGAAAACATACAGGGTCTGAGTATCCACAGAAAACATACAGGGTCAGAGTATCCACAGAAAACATACAGGGTCAGAGTATCCACAGAAAACATACAGAGTCAGAGTATTCACAGAAAACATACAGGGTCTGAGTATTCACAGAAAACATACAGAGTCAGAGTATTCACAGAAAACATAGAGTCAGAGTGTCCACAGAAAACATACAGGGTCAGAGTATTCACAGAATACCTACAGGATCAGAGTATCCACAGAAAACCTACAGGGTCAGAGTATCCACAGAAAACCTACAGGATCAGAGTATCCACAGAAAACATACAGAGTCAGAGTATTCACAGAAAACATACAGAGTCAGAGTATCCACAGAAAACATACAGGGTCTGAGTATCCACAGAAAACATACAGAGTCAGAGTATTCACAGAAAACATACAGGGTCTGAGTATCCACAGAAAACATACAGGGTCAGAGTATTCACAGAAAACATACAGGGTCTGAGTATCCACAGAAAACATACAGAGTCAGAGTATTCACAGAAAACATACAGGGTCTGAGTATCCACAGAAAACATACAGGGTCAGAGTATTCACAGAAAACATACAGGGTCTGAGTATTCACAGAAAACATACAGGGTCAGAGTATTCACAGAAAACATACAGGGTCTGAGTATCCACAGAAAACATACAGAGTCAGAGTATTCACAGAAAACATACAGGGTCAGAGTATTCACAGAAAACATACAGGGTCAGAGTATCCACAGAAAACATACAGAGTCAGAGTATTCACAGAAAACATACAGGGTCTGAGTATTCACAGAAAACATACAGAGTCAGAGTATTCACAGAAAACATACAGGGTCTGAGTATCCACAGAAAACATACAGGGTCAGAGTATCCACAGAAAACATACAGAGTCAGAGTATTCACAGAAAACATACAGGGTCTGAGTATTCACAGAAAACATACAGAGTCAGAGTATTCACAGAAAACATAGAGTCAGAGTGTCCACAGAATACCTACAGGATCAGAGTATCCACAGAAAACCTACAGGGTCAGAGTATCCACAGAAAACCTACAGGGTCAGAGTATTCACAGAAAACATACAGGGTCAAATAAGTGACCTCATACTTTTTCAAGTCCAGTTCGGAATTCAAATCTTTGTAAATTTTGTAGTACACAAAAGGCAAGTATATTATGCACTATTTGGCTAAATATCTGTATAGCAATCAGCTTCAGAGATGTATGTCTGTGGCTAGACTTTCTACTCATGCAATAAATAAAAGTTTCTTGGGTAACAAATTCAACTTTATATCTAATGAACTGTTTAAAACATTCAGTCATTGCAATGTCATTGTTGTGGTTCATTTTATCATAAAATTTATCGTTGTCAGTATATACCATGTGAATGATGTGTATTAACCATGCACAGAAAATTAGGACCAAATGGTATCTGGAGAGACATAATGATCCAATGATTCTGACTAATTGTTTGCATCAATCACTTGTTCCTTACAATTCACAGCCATGTATATGTAGGTAAGGAGTGCAAACTTTGATTTGGAAAACTAAGGAAAGAACGCACTTTATCAACATAATATTTATATTTATGAACATTATCTACATAGCATTAATCTGAGTAATATTACAAAATTACTTTCTCACAAAAATGATCAGATGTCAAATTCCATTTAATACTGTTACATGGTATCTGGTTCTCTACAAGATATTGCCAGTGTTTGATGATATACATCTAGACGTCTACTACAGCATATTTGTGGATTGTGAATTTGGAGACAATCCCTCCATCCTTGAAATCAGTTTCCAAGTCAGTATGTGATGTGGGTGATGTAAGAAATGTCTAATAGGAGCATACCATCTGATGTGAATTTTATTCAATAGAAGTATACCATCTGATGTGAATTTTATTCAATAGAAGTATACCATCTGATGTGAATTTTATTCAATAATAGGAGCATACCATCTGATGTGAATTTTATTCAATAGAAGTATACCATCTGATGTGAATTTTATTCAATAGAAGTATACCATCTGATGTGAATTTTATTCAATAATAGGAGCATACCATCTGATGTGAATTTTATTCAATAGAAGTATACCATCTGATGTGAATTTTATTCAATAGAAGTATACCATCTGATGTGAATTTTATTCAATAATAGGAGCATACCATCTGATGTGAATTTTATTCAATAGAAGTATACCATCTGATGTGAATTTTATTCAATAGGAGCATACCATCTGATGTGAATTTTATTCAATAGAAGTATACCATCTGATGTGAATTTTATTCAATAGAAGTATACCACCTGATGTGAATTTTCTTCAATAATAGGAGCATACCATCTATCTAGATAAGTTTAGGGATCCCCAGACACATTACAGTTGACACCAGGCTTATATCATAGAATTACATAATATTAAACAGAACCAGTAATAGCACACTCTTACAGTATCTTATAAATATTTTCCACTTAATATATTTTACAATGAAAATCAATTACAGTCAATTTTTTAATACATTTTCAAGCCTCTGTTTTTATAAACTTTGTTGCTATTTTTACAACTATTGCCCTGAGGAATCTAATTCACCATCGCTTGAATAGTACACTTATTACATAATTATCTGTTATTACACATGTGCAATATGATGGTATGATGGTGGAGCTATGATTAGCTAGAGGTTCTCATTGTTGCCACGGAGATGTCATTATTTTGTGGCATCATATTCTGAGTAAGAATACTTCTCAATTTTGACTTTCAGTAAAAAAAAAAGCTGTTTTCATGAATGTAAGGAAAAGTTAAAAAGAATCTTGTATTTATTTCCTTTTCATAAAAGATCTACTAAATCTGTTACATGTTTTTCAAACATTTTACCTTCCCAGAGGCTCTGAAAAATAAGAAATTCTCAAGACTTGTTTATTATCATACATTAGTGGAAAGGCAAGAAAATCTTGTATAAAATGTAAAACAAAACAACATTCAGTGTTGATAGCGAAAAACTACAATAGAATTTGTAATACTGATATAAGAACATAGGATCATAGTGTACACTGAACAGCCTTCACTACTATGCTAAAGTATACACAAGCGAGATGTCCAGTGTGTGTTACCGATACATGTCATTTCATCTGCAAACAAAGTGACATGTCAAACATTCTGTACCTAAAGTGACCTGTACACATATCACCAAACAACAGACAATATATGTTAATTAACTTTGTAGCCTGTGTTAGTGACAACCTCTATAGCTATAGTACAGACATCAGCACAGAATCAGTAATTAAGGCAGATGTAGATAATTACCAAAGAACTTACCTGTACAGTCTAGTTTGTCAGAATGGCATGAACAGCACTAACAGGTCAACGTGATCTGCTAACTCTATATAGGTGTGTACACATTTGAAGAAATTAATTAAATACACACCACAAAATCAATATGAGTCTGACCTCACTACAGGATAAACTGACCACTGTCTGTACTTTACAACAGGAGGTGACCACACCAGGTTAGATCAATAAACACATGCTGGACATTTATCACTGCAGAGGATATTAACAAAGAATCATACTAGGCATACACATTGGACAGGGTACTGCACACAGGGCCATATATCAGTGCAGGGGATACCAGGCAAAGGATCAAACTGGACGCTAACACTGGTGGGGATACTGCACACAGGGCTATACATAACCGCAGGGGATACTAGACTAAGGATCAAACTGGACGCTAACACTGGTGGGGATACTGGACACAGGGCTATACATCACTGCAGGGGATACCAGGCAAAGGATCAAACTGGCCGCTAACACTGGTGGGGATACTAGACACAGGGCTATACATCACTGCAGGGGATACTAGACTAAGGATCAAACTGGACGCTAACACTGGTGGGGATATTGGACATATGGTCAATCATCAGTGCAGGGGATAGCAGGCAAAGGATCAAACTGGACGCTAACACTGGTGGGGATACTGGACACAGGGCTATACATCACTGCAGGGGATACTAGACAAAGGATCAATCTGGATACCCAACACTTAAGGGGATAATGTAGATAGGAATGAACTGGACGCAAAACACTTGAGGTGATAATGTAGATAGGAATGAACTGGACACTAAACACTTGAGGGGATAATGTGGATAGGAATGAACTGGACACCAAACACTTGAGGGGATAATGTAGATAGGAATGAACTTGACACTAAACACTTTAGGGGATAATGTAGATAGGAATGAACTGGACACCAAACACTTGAGGGGTTAATGTAGATAGGAATGAACTGGACACTAAACACTTGAGGGGATAATGTAGATAGGAATGAATTGGACACTAAACACTTGAGGGGATAATGTAGATAGTAATGAATTGGACACTAAACACTTGAGAGGATATTTGATGCCATAATTCAACAGCAAAAAGTAAAATGCAAGGAGGTGTGGTTTATGGTCAATTTTTATTCACCTGACAAACAACAAGATAATGCCAAATGAAGTTGGATGAATGGATTACTTTATTATATCTGGGAGGATGTTTAATATACAAGTAAATTTTAAAATGTGCTTTCAGTAAAATGCACAAATTTGTCAATGAAACTTATATTCTTTGCACTAAAGTTTCAAACCCTAAGATTTGTATATCAAAAGCTATGCTATGTGGATGATTGCATACCAAAGATACATACATTTACTTAAATGTGTTCATACTCTGATATCCACGTAACATTACAAAATCACAGAGATGCTCAAGTTAGTTGGCAATGACACAAAATTGCCCAAATAGTACACAACACAACCATTTCAATGTAGAAATTTTCAAAATAAAATCATGTGAAAAGATGTTTATTTGTGTTGGTGCGAGCACCTTTTTATAGGGTTGGTTTAAATTTTTTTCTTTGATATTTTTTCTCCAATGAGCCAAATAATTTCTAATTAAATGTTTTTATATCAAAACAGTTCAAAAATATGTTTTTTTTTCATTTATCTATCTACAACTCACTAATTCATGAAAGTAGAAAAGAGTTATAAGAAATTATTATTTCTGAAATTGATGTTTTCAAATGACATATAAGATTTGCATGTTTGGAATTAGAAAAAGAGCTAAGGAAGAAAAAAGTACACAAGGATGCTGATTACCAGTGAAATATATTCCCAGCTTTCAAAACATTTTATGGGAATGGATTTCATCAAAAGTTTTTTTTTCTGCAAGTGTTATGTTACAGCAACGAAAACCTTTGGGGTACAATATCACACAGGTCAATAGTTCACATGACACATTTCAACAAAATGTCCACTCCAAACAGCAATCAGGAACTGTTGTCTGAACCTCATTTCACAGAATCTTCAGTCTATTATAACTATAAGTATAATACTTTAAGACCTCTTCAACTTCAACAGGAGCCATTGGTATCTCAGCGAGTTGTACATGCCTGATAAGTAAGTTCTCCTTTTGGTCTTGCTGGTTTAATCTTAAAACTTTCAAAACTGAAGATGAAACACTTATCTTCATAATGTTCCTTATGTCTTGATGCACATGCTGTTATTTTGCAGAACTTTTTTATTGGTACAGCTAGCAGTCTGGACTAAACTTCAGTGGATAATCTTTCCAGATTTGATTTGAACATGTTTATATACTTCAGAGTTTAAAACATATGTTGATTATACATTCACAACTCTAGCTGCCAAGGAATCTGTATCTCAGTTTTGTTTGAACTTTCCTTAACTTTTTGTACCTCACAATATAACAAATAGCAAAATGTCAGAGCTACAACAATGTAGTTGGCACATGCAATAACCCTCCCAACACTTGACTGGGATTATCAGTGCTGTATATAATTGTGTGAAAGAACATATACAGAGAAAAACATACAACTGTCAAGTGCCCTGGCCAGGATTCAAACCCTTGTCTCTGACGTGATAAATGACCAATTGAGCCAAAGAAGCAGCAGTTGAGGGAACCGCTGCATCCTTTACTGCAACTGTCAAATACTGTACAGTGCTGTACTATAGGGCCAATCAAAGTCTATCCATACCAACATATTCTCCATACCACACCAACTGCCAAAAGGTACCAACCCCCAAAATGGACATAATGAACCTATCACCAACTGAATCCAGCTCAAGAAATCCAACAATTTCAGATTCTGCTACCACTACCTACATTTTCACCAGAATATCAGATGAGGATGTGGCTCATTTTCAAGCATGCAGAACTTATAATCTTTGTCAATGTAACTTAACTAATTATATTGCTAATGTATTGCCATTAGCACATGACAATTGTTATAACATGTACATCACCATAGAACTATAATTTAAATCTCTGCTATGTAAATAACTATACCTTTGTCCTGATGACAGATAGCCTTGCTAGCCAAAACATATACCTACCATACATATTTTCCATACATTACTAGAGCTGGGTACCACGAAAAATAAAGTACCGTGGTATACCACGGTATTTAGTCCAGTACCGCGGTACGTATCACGATATACCACAGATATACAATGTATCACAAACTGAAGGAATTATTAACACTTACCCTGTTCATACTTCATCAAATGTTTTAAACACATTGAAACAAGACTCTGACAAGCCAGATCAAATTAAAGAGTTATTTAATATAACAGTTTTTTTCAGCATGAAACATTAAAGTAATAAACAAATTAATATCAGACTAGAGAACGCCATCTTGTCTCTATTCACTGTGAGACTGCGGAGCTTGTTTCCATAGTGACTAGACTTGAAGTCTTACCGGTCGCCGACCTGTGATTTTCATCACGCTCGTTTCATGTCAAATTTTTATGTACCAGATTGACCAGTAAAACTGATTGCTGTGTGTCCGCATTTATTGAAAAGCATCTCGGACCTGAACTTGTATCTAGACAAGCTACATGTCATGACATAAGCGACGACTCAGACTGAGAAGACCTATCCTAGATAGTAGATCTTTGTCCCGTCCGTCAGCAAAACTGATGTTAACTCAAATCAGAAAAGACTTCAATTTAATCGTGTCACACACACACATCCCATTGATTATCTAGGTCTATGGAGTGTATTACAGAACCCTTGATTACTAGAAATAGATCAATGACATTGTTACTATTTTTAGAATACTGGTATCGACCTCCTGTACCGCAGTACGTGCCGTCAATTTTTTTTACCACGGTATACTGGTATACCGGTAATACCGCTCACCTCTATACATTACCAATTGCCGGCACAGACCAACCCGTGAAAAAGGCAAAAATGAACAATCACACATTGTATCCAACTCCAAAGATCCAACCATTACAGATATTATTACTACCAACACTATCACCTCAATCTCAGACGATAATGTGGCTCATTTCCGAGCATGCAGAATTTATATGTAAACTCTGTCAACACAATGTACCTATAATGTTGCCATTGTATTGTAAATACCATGTGATATGGACAATTGTAATTATGTCATGGCTGAGCTGTCATTTTAATCTTTGCTATTCAAATATTGGAATATTAATCATTTACTCATTTGACATATTCCAATCCTTGGTACCCCTTTTTTTAATGTAACCAAAAAAGTAAAATATTTCACATGCCATATCTCTGTCAAGTGTTAGCTGTTCATTATCATATAATTTCATGCAAATTTCTTTTCAATATTCATTATAAGGAACATAAACAGCTCAAAGTATTGAAACTGTCAACTTTTCATTTAAAAAAACGGTCGAATATGGCAACTAAAAATCCGGATGCAAGATAAGACCACACTAAACAAGTTATAAGGTCAGCGAGCCTTTCTTAAACACAGCAGTCCGGTACAGTAGCGATTTCGAAAATACATTACAGTTTGTGTTAGCATGTATCATACATGCTTTGCAGATATTGATCATTCTGTCTAAAACGCCCCAACTTAAAGCAAAGAAACTGATCGATTGAAACTAATGAAAGGATAGTTTTAAATACTTACACTCAATGCAGTGATGTGGCTTAAATTCGTAGGTTTCAACTACAATTGTAACGTCAATCTTGATTTTCGCGGTAACTTCGCCGGAAGTTATGGAGTCGGAAGTGGAAATTGATAAAATGAAAGTGAAACTAGGCATACACCAGATCTTATAAACTAATAGTTTATGCCATCGACGATCTTTAACCATTTGTGACTTTTATAGTTTAAAAAAGAAAAAGATAAATTATTGAAGGATTATTTATAAGCGATAAAATCACAGAAATAATCTTTCTCTACAGAATTGAGTATATTTCCCACAATTCAAAAGGTGATGGGGACCGGAAGCAGTCTAGATACACATCGACCTAAAACTGCAGCCATGGCATCTGTCTCTGTATGCAACAGGACCATCCATGGAAAGTCGGAGCGAATGAAACTAAATCTCATGAATCTAAAAGGGAAAGTTTCAATAATGAAAAATGAAATCTCCAGGATTATCAACTTACCTTCTCAGGACTTCGGTAACATTCTTCTGTCCATTGTTTACAAAATTATAAGTAACTGTTCACTAAGGACGCTACTAGTGTATTCTAACATCGAGCAGGCCTGATTTTACTGTTTATAATGTGAATAGCTGTTAGTCTTTAAGTGGTTAAAAGATAACTATTTCGTGTGTATAATAAGTATCTCTTTGTTATTTTCCCGTAGTTGTTTTGAGAAAATAACAATGACCATTTTGAGGTATCAAAATGAAGTTCAGTCACATGTACTGTACACATTGACCGGTCTCATGCAGATACCCGTGGTAAAAGTGTTTAAATAAACTGCTGCTGAATCTGTAATGGAGAGTATCAGTGGATGATTAAAACAGGTAGAATGAGTGTTGGTATATTTAACTCTCGATGGTGGCCAGATGTATGTCAATGGTTATTTCATCTAGTCATTGCTGATATTGTTGCTGTTTGAAGATGTAATTCTGAGTTTTGTGCTCAAGGAGGCAGTATCAGCCAATTTTTGGAGTATCATACATAGAAAAAATATCTCAGTAACACCGTTAGATAGCATTTTAAGTGTGAGTTCTGTGTCAGTAGCATCACCAAAAAGCCATTTATCGTCTCTGTGACCAGAGGTGCATCCTAAAAGTAACATCAACATTAAGGTCACTGGTGTATCCTCATCTGGAGTATGGCAACCTAGTAGGGGACATATATAAAGTCACTGTAAAGTGTTAAAACATCATCAGTGGTGCTGCTTTAAAGATTACAGACAAAATGCCAGACTACTGTGCTCTAAAAGACCCATCATGAGGAAATAGTTACAATTGCATACAAGTATCCTGTCCCTACCATACCACAATTTAAGCAAAAATATTTAAATTAACTCATGTAAGACATCTCACACATAAGAATAATTGTTTTCACACACAAACAAAGTTTACTCCTGAAATATAAAGGTCTAAATCCCTGTCCTCTGTCAGAACATACATCTTTTCATCTTTACTAATCTATGTGTCTTACCTTTTATATTGCCACGCACAACCTAAATTTCAATCAGCTGAAGTGCATGTAGGTCTTTACTCTTTAGAAGTGGGAAGCATTCACTTCTTCTTTTAGGGACACATCATGTGCTTGTTAAAGCTTTCCTGTGGTCAGAGTCAAGTCAGGAGTTAACTTCTCATATTGTTTATATTGTTAGGTCATAGGAACATTAGAACAGAAGTCAAACTCTTTTCCATTCCACTTCTTCCCCTGTTTACCTCCCATTGCTTTACTCTTCTCACTTTCCTTTCTTTTCTCATCTGCTGAAAGGCTGTAATAGCCAACTAAAACCAGTTAAAAGTTACCCAAGACAGAAACTCATTCTCACCAGCCAGAACCAGTTAGGCAGCCTATACTTGCCATTTCATCCCTCACCCCTGTAAATATATAGTGTGATTTCCACATTCCAGATCTGGTGTACTGTGGACAGAGATTGGATGATGACAAACAGATGGAACAGTATGGCCTAAAAAATGGTTCAACAGTGTTTGCTCTGAAGAGACACATTCAGTATTCTGTCAATGACGCAGGTAATAATGTACCTTATAAGACAATTATGTATCAAATTTCAATAATATTGTACAAAGGAAACAATGGCCAAGGTTTATTTTTTCTTTTTGCTTTTTCATAGACTACTTAGCCTGGTGTTAAATTTATATATAACACATATGTTAGCTTTTTTATCTTTAACTTCCCTATACATTAGCAAAAAGGCGAGATGAGCAAAAGTGGGACAGTGATAAGTTTGCGTTTATACAGTAACACAAAAATGTTCTGGCATCATATTTACTTTAAAGGATGTATTTTACACAACCAAACATAACACTGAACTGTAATATTTGTCTGCTGGTGATAGTAGAATAGTAACCCAAAATATAAGAAACCAAAGTTTACAATAACAGCAAACATACAATCATGGGAAAAGATTACTTGTTAAACTATCCTTTTGTAGAGTACTAGTTAAACTAACCATTTATGTTTTGCAGAGCAAATGTCTCCAGTAGCTGTGAAGAATTTGGTAGCAACATTGAGGTCGGCTCTGCTTAATCCAGCTTATAGAACAACAGTATGTTGAAATTATTTCAGTAAAGGGCAGATTTTCATGAATATTCAAGAATATTTTGTGGTTCATTTTTAGCATTATGCACTAGAAACTAATCGTTTTGGGATGGAAGCAGAATATGCTAAATGAAATTACCATTTTACCACAGCAGCTGCCTGCATGGAAAACACTAGTAAGCACTAGAATTGTTATGTAAAAATATGATGACGCTATTAGCAGTTTTATGTATGTTGTTTACATACCAAATATTGTGGATGAGCAATTTGTCATTGTGCTTATTTGCCTTAATAGATAACACACTGAAACTAAGTCATTTACAGATTATATATCAACTGTTTTACTTTTCAGGTTGAAAGAATATTGAATGAACCTGATGCCATGGAGAATGTAATTGCGGCCACCCCTGGATTAGACAAGGATCCTGTTGCTTTAGGTAAATCATGTTACAAGAAGATGCTTCCAATAACATATATGTATGTTTAACTGATGACTGCTTGATAGACCCGAAATACCCCTTTAGGTATACTGTGCTCCAGTCCATTTCAGGATAAAGGATAACCCCCTCATGTCTGCTGAACACTGATTTCTTCAGTGAAAGCAGATATAAACACATAACCAACAAAGAACCTTCCAATGTTTTGATGTGTAACCTTTCTGTGTGCTATAACCTGCCTGGTTCTACTTTTCCTCTAGATTATAGCATTGAAATCTGTAAATCACTAGAAATATTTAAAGAATCAACATTAAGAAAAATGAGATCAGTTTATGTAGATTCAAGGAGATTTGGAACAAGGTTGATGTTGACTGTTTGTTTCCTTACAGCAATGTTACAAGACCAGGAACTCTTAGCTATACTAGCTCATCCTGATAACATACAAAAGTAAGTAAGATGTGTGCCACTGGACTACTATAGCCCTACTAACATAGAACAGTAATTAGCTGTGTGATCAAAATAAACAAGAAGCAGATACTTTTCATTATTGTGAAATTTGACTCACTGATCAGATTTAGCTTCTACATACAATATTGATGATGATTTAATATGTATGTTCAAAGATTTTGAAGTACAATATACATGAAGTATTTTGTTAAACAGAATTGTAGAGAAGCACCCTTCCTTTGGTCAAGCTGCCACACTTATAGCTGCAGAAGTCAGCAAGGAAGGAAGGTTGGAAGACTCTGACCACACAGCAACAGGTAAGTCTTAATGTCACAGAGATAGCACTTCAATTATTACTAAGTATCCTTCTTTGAACCAATCTTTGAATTTAATGCCAACTTGAATTTTGTCAATAGGTGCTAGTCATGTTTGCTTTGTCATGGTCCCACTGCCTTTGATGAAATATCTAAAGTCAGTCAAAACAACTTTTATGTTAAAAAAGATAACTGCTAAATATACCAGCAAACCAAATGAAACAACTTTAAAGCAGTGGTCCTTACATGGTTTCTACCCTGAGCATTTCTTTTTAGCCAGCTATCATCAGGTGGTGGGTTAGTCAAATCGTTCTGTGTCCATGGTCCATCATCCGTTCGTCTGTAAACAAATTTTGTTATCTCTATTTCTTGAGAAGTACTGGATGGATCTTTCTCAAATTGCATATGTAGGTTCCCCTTGTCTCTAGTTGTACCCATGTAATTTTAGGACTGATAAAAAAAAGAGTGTGACAGGCAGCCATCTTGGGTTTTTTCATTGAAGTTTGTTATCAATGTTTCTTTAAAAGTAAGAGATGGATCTCTCTCAAATTTCATCTGTAGGTTCCCCTTGGTCTTTATTTGTGCCAATCTAATTTTGGGATTGATCAGAAATACAAAATGGCCGACAGATGGTCATCTTGGATCTTAACTTAAAGAAGTTTGTTATTGCTTTTTCTTGAAGTACTGAAGGGATTTTTCTTTAATGTCATATGTAGGTTCCCCTTTGTCATTAGTTTTGCACATTTGATTTTTGGTCTGATCAGAAAAATGAATTGGCAAAAAGGCAGCCATCTTTGATTTTGACTTTGACTATTTCGACTATTTCCTTGAGAACTACTCTATAGATCTTCCTCAAATTACATGTATAGGTTCCTTTAGGTCCTTTGTTGTGCCTGTTAGAGTTTGAGATCAGAAGAACAAAATGATGGATAGGATGCCATCTTGGATTTTGCCTAGTAAAGATTGTTATATCTATTTCTTAAGAATACTGAATGGATGTCTCTCAAATTTCATACATATGTTCCCTTTGGTCTCTCCTTGTTTGATTTTGGGACTGATCAGAAGAAATAAAATGGCTTCCAGATGGCCATTATGTGTTTGGCAGTTAAAGATTATTGTTGCTATTTTCGCAAAGGAATGTTCAAATGTCTTAATATTAAAAGCAAAATCGGAGAAAAGAAGGGAAAAGATCCAGCTTTCAAAGATCAAACAATGTTGGATGCCAAGATCCTTCTGGGATTTCTTGTTTTCTGTTGAGATCGCTTTACATATTGCTGTCGTAGCTCATGATAGGCTGATTTTATTCTCTCAATACTTACAGCTTATTGATGGAATAAATATTTATCAGTTGTGAAGAATATTGATTTTTGATATCCAGTAATGATTTCTTTCATGAGCTTTCTTTTCTTTCTGCACCCAACTAGATAAAGAAAATAAAACAGAAAATTCAGGCAACACTTTCTTTATATCGTTAAGATCTGAACAATAGAGAAAAGATATGTCCTGAATTATAAGGTGTTATTGTTAGGCAAAAGAATTATTTTCAAAATACAACAAAATATCAATAATTGTAATGTCAGTAATTGATGTATATCAGTTGCCTTAGTGTCACAATGTGTCAATATCAATGACAGCCCTATCTACAATACCATGCTTGTATCATCATAACATATCTGTATTGTACAGGAACCTATTCCCTAGATCAGATGTCAGATGATGAAGACATGCCAAACAATCGACCAGAACCATCTGTAAGTAGGCATGAGTTTTATTGGCTGAACAAATAAATTGTAGGAGCTGTCTCTCTGTAATGAGTATTATCATTGTTCTCAAATTCTCTTTCATGTGATTGATAATGAAGGGCTCTCCTTTTCCACAGGTAGGATGGTAACAATGCATGAGTGGCAGAATTGTAGACGTCGTGTTTTTTTGTTCAAAGTTTTCTGAATAATAAATGACTGGATAGGAAGATATGTATTCCCTACCTAATTGTATCCAGATAAAAGCATTTATATTGGTATGGCACAGAAAACTGAGTAAAATCCTGACAGCAGATAAAGGGGAGATAACATCAACCAAATTATCTAATACAAATAAAAGGCTAGAAAGAAATCATTGATTAAAATCTTTAGTCATTACATTGACATTCTAGTCAGCAGGCACTGTTACACATTTTGTAAACTTGTGCAACCATACGTAATCTATGAGGAACAAAAAATTGAATTGATGATTGATTGAGTAAAATGTGATAGGCATACATGATCAATTACTGTTTTGCTTAATTTCAATGACTTGCATTGTATTTGAAAACAAACAATGATTTATCACTTATACTATTGTATGCTTGCCACAGATACACGGTATATTATCATTATTGATGATATAGATCAAATGAAAAGCAATTGTTTGCTTGTTAGTACCTTTATATAGATATACTACAGACACAGGTACACAAAATAAATACCAAGAATGTAGTATAGGTCAGTAGTATATAGAAATATCTCTGCTGATCATGTGTCAGGTGATTTACCTTGTGTATTGTAGATGATAGGAGGACAAGCCATCACAGCTTCCCAACTATCTGCTGCTCTGGCAGCTGCTACTGGTAGCCCTTCTCAGCCACCTCCAAACCAGGTAGGTTTCTTAGACATTTAAAGTAAAATCCTTCTGATTTCATCATATTTCATTGAAGCATTGGTTGTACATTTGTGTATATATATATACCGTAAATATTCGCGTATAGTGCGCACTTTTTTAAGCTGAAACTGTCGTGTCAAAAAGGGGGTGCGCACTATACGCAGGTACATGCCATTCCGGGGGTTATCATTCCCGAGTTCTGCATCCGCCATATTGGCTTACCTCCCTTCACATAGTTATATGTAAAAGTCGTCGGTACATTATATATACACAAGTGTATAAACATAAAAATTACATCTGTTCTAACTTCTCAGTACATGTTTCATACATAGATTTATGGTGTACAAGTATCTATACGTGCTTACAAAAGCCTCTAGATACCTGTATGCTGTAGCTAGTTTGACACCATCATTTGCTATTCTTTGATGTGGTCACCTCTTCAGAATTCTATTCAACAGATTTTGAAACTATGATCTTTCTATTGATGTGTTCACCTCTTTAGAATTTGTATCAACCTATTATGATATTCTGATACAGTCAAACCTGTCTATAAAGCCACTCAAGAGAATAGAGAAAACTGGCCTTTACACACAGGTGGTCTTTATATAGAGGTTCAATAACTATGACTTGCATTACATAGGGAACTGAAAAGTGGTTTTTACCAAGAGATGGCCTTTGTATAAAGGTGGCCTTCAAAGGCAGGTTTGACGGTATTTCAATATTTCTCTTAAATTTTCTGATGTCTTTAAGATTTGCTATTCAACTTTTTGAATTTATTCAACCAACCTATTATTTGATATGTTCACCTTTTTGGAGTTTGATATCAAATAAAAATGTATTATTTCAAGGCCATCCCCCCTCCAGCCTACAACTCCGCACAAAGACCTGCAGGTTCATCAGGCATCACACAGGATTTTTTCCAGCAGGCAATTCAGCAGGCTACCACAGCTACTCAGGTAAATATCACATCACCCACCACCTACCCTGTCCTAGTCTATTTGTCCTTCACCATCATTTACACACTTACTGGAAAAATTGATTATCATATATCCAGTTGTTTTCATGACAATATTGTCGCTATTTCACAGGGAATAAACATGTTAGCAAGAATTTGATATGTAAAATAATAAGACACACATCAAACATGTAAATATTACCTGTGATATTATAAAACTGTATCTAAAGACTATTATTGGTACTGTCACTAGCCAGCTCAGTTTTGTCTATATATTCAGGGATATTTCAGAAAATACTCTTCTTTGATACAGATTAAATGCTATGTTGGTACAGATTACTTATATAGGCATCAGTCTTTACTATTTGTATGAATCATACTGGTGATCAACTGGTAAATCAGCAATCATGTATCGGAAACTCAAACTCTACATTGGATATTTGCAAAAATTGAATGCACTCTTACATCCAGACCACAAACTTTTAATTCCTTGAATTTGATTCTCTGGTTTTAAATAAAAATTACGCAAATTTTGACCCAAGAAAGTAACTACTTATGTGATAAAGTAACAAGAGTGTTAATGCTTTACTCCATTATAATGATTCTTGTGCATTTATACAATGTTCATTGTTATTTTTAGATCTTATTTCATCCTCACAAATACAATGAAAAGGTCTTTAAAGACAAAATAACATGGTACTTGACTGGATGTAGGCTAAACTCAGTACATGTTATTGTAAATTAATTATTTACATCGCTCACGAGTCAGTGTCTGAGCAGATAGAAGGTTACGTATTAACAGATCTTTAGTTGGATTGACTGACCACTCTTAATAGGGTTACACCTTCTGGTTACCCCCAAGTTATCTTTCCTTGGGTATTCATGTCAGTAAGAAAAAGGATGAGAGGTTAAGATATGTTCAGATGTCTTTGAATCTTTGACTTATTTAGTACATCTGATATTCAATGAGAAGTATGACATATGTCAAATGTTGTTTCCAGAGTCAGATCCAGCAGCTAAGGGACATGGGAATCATGGATGAGGCCTTGGCAAGACGTGCTCTACAAGCAACAGGAGGGGACATTCATGCTGCACTCGACCTCATCTTTGGAGATGGACATTTCTGAACTTTTTAATGAAACTCAGCAATATCTAGAAGAGCCATCACTGGAAATCATTCTAGATTATTTTTCGCATAGACTTAAATATGGTATTTTTCATTTTGAATATCCTGTATAGATCAAATTCTATGAAAGAAAAACCACGTTGTTGAAGAGTTTTATTCTGTGTAATACATGGACTTCAGTTCAGAGCTACAACAGCTTGGTTTGTGTGATATAAAGTGGTGATTTAAAATTTCCTGGTATGTATTTTTATTGATTTAATATCAATTTTGTACCTTTGTGGTATCAAATAGTATTAGTGAGATTGAACAAAAGACATGACAATGTTTGTGCAATAAAATGTTGTAAAAGTTATAACAAATGATTTGCTTTGTCCTAAGGAAAAATGTTATTCATGCTCTATACAAGAATACTAGAAACCTTATGCCACATCATTTAACAAGTTTTGCTGACTTCACATTATTGATCTTTCAGCAGACAAAATACTAGTTTATCTTGCTTCAGTTGTGGTTGATGAGGATACAGGTCTCCTCGTTTATACCCCTAAACATTAAAATTTTTGTTGCCGACATAACTAGCTACTCAAGCAGAACTTTTATCTAACTTGAATATCATGATCACATCCCAACATCAAAATTTGATATTGCAAATGATTTAGGATCCATTTTTTTCCAAATTATGTTTTCAAATGATTATTTTAAAAAAAAATTCAAAGATTTAGGACCTCTTGAGGAAAAACTTACATAAAAAGAAACTTGCAATCAACCTTTCTCGATGTTATATCTTTGAGAATCGTTGAAAAAAATCACATGACTCTGCAACAGGACCTGATGATATTCACTGTCAGTTCCTAAAACATCTACCAGAGTCATCATTAGAAAAACTTCTTGATATTTTTTATTATATTTTTAGATCAGGTAATGTCCCAAAGTTATGGAAAATGGCAACTGTGATTCCTATCCCAGAACAGGGTAAAGACAGGACAAATCCCTCCAGTTATCACTCAGGAGTTGCATTTGTAAAATTCTAGAGCGGATGATGAATTCGAGATTAATTTGGTATCTGGAATCCATTCACATAATATCAGCCCTACAAAGCAGTTTAAGATGTAAGTGAGGTACCAACGATCATTTAGGTAGACATGAAACCTTTGTGCATGAGGCTATTTTAAAGAAGGAGCACTTGATTGCTGTTTTCTTCGATTTGGAAAAGGCTTAGGACACAAATTGGAAATATGGCAAAATGAAAGATCTGCATGATATAGGTATTAGAGGTAATCTACCAAATTTTCTATCAGATAGTGTATTTCTAGTCAGGAAATGGGTGTATCACGAGGTAGCATTCTCTTGGTTACACTTTTTGGACTTAAAGTTAACAGTATTGTCAAAACATCTCCTTCAATGGAGGGCACTCTTTATGTCATTGACTTCATTATATGCTATAAGCATATGGATACCATCAAAAGACAGCTACAACAATGTTTGAATCAACTCTATATTTGGAAAAATGAAAATGGATTTTGATTTTCACAATCAAAAACAGTTTGTATGCATTTTTGTCAAATTCGGAAACAACAGGACAATCCAAATCTATCTCTTGGTAGTGTACCTGTTCCGGTTGTTAGACAATCCGAATCTATCTCTTGGTAGTGTACCTGTTCCGGTTGTTAAGCAATCCAAATTCTTGGGTGTAATGTTCAACAGGAAATTGTCCTTAATCTATCGTTATTCTTTACCTGAGTACCTGATTGTGTTCGAACTACAATTCCTTTCAACAACTAAATACAAGGAGGAGGTGTACAACACGAGCTTTGTATGTTTAGAATACTTTGTATATACGTAAATCATGCATCTGCTCCTACTCCACGCAACCTAAACTGTTCATCAAACCTGTTATGACACAATTTGGGCTGCTCGAACGTTTGTGTTACTGATCATTTACTTAAAAAGAATTATTTTAGGTCTGTGATGATGATGGTTTTACATTTCTTGGTCAAAAGTGTTAAATATCTGTAATAAAATCTACCGAGAAATTATATGTAATAAACACTTCTTTGCTTCTAACATCATAACACAGAACCTCTTGACATTTATTGACATAAACTGCTATTCAAACCAAATCTTTCAAAAGAATTTAGGTAAACGTGTACCAGTTTTCTATCATAGATTTTCCAAAAGGTCATCAATATTGAATGTACATTTGTATGTCGTATTCTTGACTCCCGTAATCATCTTGTGATAATTTATCTGCCCTTTATGAATTACAAAGTCTAAATATCCAAGCCATTTTTGCATGTACTACATGTGTGTATTACATCTCCACGTAAAGTACACAGCGAAAGTGAAAGTCACTTCCTGAAGTCCACGACCTATTGAAAATATCCTAATCGTGATAATTAAGAACTTTACCTATTTAATTCTTAACAAGGTAAAATAATATAAAAATGATGGTTGAAATCCTAAGTTTAGAGCTGGTTGGAATTTGTCTATTACAGATAGTGCTTAATTCGTGGCAAGATAATTGAGAATAAACTGTATGCTTTAGTTTGTTTGGATGTGAGCTGTGGAATGATACGAACACAGAAAAACTAATGTTAGAAAGGGCGCAGTGTTTCATTGTTAAATTCATTCAGGGATTCAGTACCCGAACCAGAACTGATATGTGTACCGACCTCCTTGGTTGGACGAGTATAGAAAGGTATAGAGATACTAGAAAGTTGTTATTTTTCGGTAAATTTTGTAGATTGGATAAGAGGACACTATCGTCACGTATACTATTTACAAGATTTTAACTGCAAATCTAGATGAAGAAAATAATTTTAGGCATGTTCGGTGTATGATCTCTATAGTATAGTTATTCCTTATCTACCGCTACTGACCTCTATAGAATAGTTATTCCTTATCTACCGCTACTGATCTCTATAGTATAGTTTTCCTTATCTACCGCTACTGACCTCTATAGTATAGTTTTCCTTATCTACCGCTACTGACCTCTATAGAATAGTTATTCCTTATCTACCGCTACTGATCTCTATAGTATAGTTATTCCTTATCTACCGCTACTGATCTCTATAGAATAGTTATTCCTTATCTACCGCTACTGATCTCTATAGTATAGTTATTCCTTATCTACCGCTACTGACCTCTATAGAATAGTTATTCCTTATCTACCGCTACTGATCTCTATAGTATAGTTATTCCTTATCTACCGCTACTGACCTCTATAGTATAGTTATTCCTTATCTACTGCTACTGACCTTATCTACCGCTATATCTCTATATAGTTATTCCTTATCTACCGCTACTGATCTCTATAGTATAGTTATTCCTTATCTACCGCTACTGACCTCTATAGTATAGTTATTCCTTATCTACTGCTACTGATCTCTATAGTATAGTTATTCCTTATCTACCGCTACTGATCTCTATAGTATAGTTTTCCTTATCTACCGCTACTGACATCTATAGTATAGTTTTCCTTATCTACCGCTACTGATCTCTATAGAATAGTTATTCCTTATCTACCGCTACTGACCTCTATAGTATAGTTATTCCTTATCTACCGCTACTGATCTCTATAGTATAGTTTTCCTTATCTACCGCTCCTGATCTCTATAGTATAGTTTTCCTTATCTACCGCTACTGATCTCTATAGTATAGTTTTCCTTATCTACCGCTACTGATCTCTATAGAATAGTTTTCCTTATCTACCGCTACTGACCTCTATAGTATAGTTTTCCTTATCTACCGCTACTGATCTCTATAGAATAGTTATTCCTTATCTACCGCTACTGACCTCTATAGTATAGTTTTCCTTATCTACCGCTACTGACCTCTATAGTATAGTTTTCCTTATCTACCGCTACTGACCTCTATAGAATAGTTATTCCTTATCTACCGCTACTGACCTCTATAGTATAGTTATTCCTTATCTACCGCTACTGATCTCTATAGTATAGTTTTCCTTATCTACCGCTACTGACCTCTATAGTATAGTTTTCCTTATCTACCCGATCTCTAGAATAGTTATTCCTTATCTACCGACTGACCTCTATAGTATAGTTATTCCTTATCTACCGCTACTGATCTCTATAGTATAGTTTTCCTTATCTACCGCTACTGACTATAGTATAGTTTTCCTATAGTATAGTTTTCCTTATCTACCGCTACTGACCTCTATAGAATAGTTATTCCTTATCTACCGCTACTGATCTCTATAGTATAGTTATTCCTTATCTACCGCTACTGATCTCTATAGAATAGTTATTCCTTATCTACCGCTACTGATCTCTATAGTATAGTTATTCCTTATCTACCGCTACTGACCTCTATAGTATAGTTATTCCTTATCTACCGCTACTGATCTCTATAGAATAGTTATTCCTTATCTACCGCTACTGATCTCTAAAGAATAGTTATTCCTTATCTACCGCTACTGACCTCTAAAGGATCGTTATTCCTTATCTACCGCTACTGATCTCTATGGAATAGTTATTCCTTATCTACCGCTACTGATCTCTATAGTATAGTTATTCCTTATCTACCGCTACTGACCTCTATAGTATAGTTATTCCTTATCTACCGCTACTGATCTCTATAGTATAGTTTTCCTTATCTACCGCTACTGATCTCTATAGTATAGTTTTCCTTATCTACCGCTACTGACCTCTATAGTATAGTTTTCCTTATCTACCGCTACTGACCACCTCTAAAGGATCGTTATTCCTTATCTACCGCTACTGATCTCTATAGTATAGTTATTCCTTATCTACCGCTACTGACCTCTATAGTATAGTTATTCCTTATCTACCGCTACTGACCTCTATAGTATAGTTATTCCTTATCTACCGCTACTGATCTCTATAGTAATTCCTTATCTACCGCTACTGACCTCTATATAGTTATTCCTTATCTACCGCTACTGATCTCTATAGTATAGTTATTCCTTATTACCGCTACTGATCTCTATAGTATAGTTATTCCTTATCTACCGCTACTGACCTCTATAGTATAGTTATTCCTTATCTACCGCTACTGACCTCTATAGTATAGTTATTCCTTATCTACCGCTACTGATCTCTATAGAATAGTTATTCCTTATCTACCGCTACTGACCTCTATAGAATAGTTATTCCTTATCTACCGCTACTGATCTCTAAAGGATCGTTATTCCTTATCTACCGCTACTGACCTCTATAGTATAGTTATTCCTTATCTACCGCTACTGATCTCTATAGAATAGTTATTCCTTATCTACCGCTACTGATCTCTATAGTATAGTTATTCCTTATCTACCGCTACTGATCTCTATAGTATAGTTATTCCTTATCTACCGCTACTGATCTCTATAGTATAGTTATTCCTTATCTACCGCTACTGATCTCTATAGTATAGTTTTCCTTATCTACCGCTACTGACCTCTATAGTATAGTTTTCCTTATCTACCGCTACTGATCTCTATAGAATAGTTATTCCTTATCTACCGCTACTGATCTCTATAGAATAGTTATTCCTTATCTACCGCTACTGACCTCTATAGTATAGTTTTCCTTATCTACCGCTACTGATCTCTATAGAATAGTTTTCCTTATCTACCGCTACTGACCTCTATAGTATAGTTTTCCTTATCTACCGCTACTGACCTCTATAGAATAGTTTTCCTTATCTACCGCTACTGATCTCTATAGTATAGTTATTCCTTAGAATAGTTATTCCTTATCTACCGCTAGATCTCTATAGTATAGTTTTCCTTATCTACCGCTACTGATCTCTATAGAATAGTTTTCCTTATCTACCGCTACTGATCTCTATAGTATAGTTTTCCTTATCTACCGCTACTGACCTCTATAGTATAGTTTTCCTTATCTACCGCTACTGATCTCTATAGTATAGTTTTCCTTATCTACCGCTACTGATCTCTATAGTATAGTTTTCCTTATCTACCGCTACTGATCTCTATAGTATTCCTTATCTACCGCTACTGATCTCTATAGTATAGTTTTCCTTATCTACCGCTACTGATCTCTATAGAATAGTTTTCCTTATCTACCGCTACTGATCTCTATAGTATAGTATAGTTTTCCTTATCTACCGCTACTGATCTCTATAGTATAGTTTTCCTTATCTACCGCTACTGATCTCTATAGTATAGTTTTCCTTATCTACCGCTACTGATCTCTATAGAATAGTTTTCCTTATCTACCGCTACTGACCTCTATAGTATAGTTTTCCTTATCTACCGCTACTGATCTCTATAGTATAGTTATTCCATATCTACTGCTACTGACCTCTATAGTATAGTTATTCCTTATCTACCGCTACTGATCTCTATAGTATAGTTATTCCTTATCTACCGCTACTGATCTCTATAGAATAGTTATTCCTTATCTACCGCTACTGATCTCTATATAATAGTTATTCCTTATCTACCGCTACTGATCTCTATATAATAGTTATTCCTTATCTACCGCTACTGATCTCTATAGTATAGTTATTCCTTATCTACCGCTACTGATCTCTATAGTATAGTTATTCCTTATCTACCGCTACTGACCTCTATAGTATAGTTATTCCTTATCTACCGCTACTGATCTCTATAGTATAGTTTTCCTTATCTACCACTGCTGATCTCTATACGATAGTTGTCCCTTGGTTCATAAAGGCATGGCTTTCCAAAAGGTTGGTGAGTTACGGGATATGAAATTATGAAATTTCTGTTTTGGTAATTTCATAAAGGATTATTTCAAAACATCTCACTAGGCATTACAGCTGGCGTGACATGACGTGACATCATTGAGAGATAATTCTTGATATTTAGTCATTCAAAATTTCATTCATGTGTGGGCTCGTCACTTCCCAAACGGAAGTATGAAATAACATGTTTTCCGTTAATAAATCCTCTATTCATTCGTTGTTTATTGTCTGTATACATTGAAAGATATATGAATATTTTATGATGTGTTTACATTATTGAATGAAAACAATCCACACACCAGTTGAAACTCGTTGTCTCGAAATCGCTTGAGTCTAAATACCGTTTGAGTCGAAGTCCCGAATTTTTTCCTTCAATGTCTTTGTAATTTTGGTTGGGATGACTCGAAATTCGATGTATGTCATTCATTCAAAAACAAAGTTCCAACAGAAACGTTGCAAGATGTCTTGTTGGCATCGACTCCTCCAAAAATTATCAAGTGGGCAAGGTTGGATTTTCTGTTTTGTTTTAATCATCGGGAAATGAAAAGAAAAAAAATGACGAATCAGAAAGCTACATATTGCGTATAAACAACAGAAAATTAATTGTACCACCATGAAACTAAAAAAACATTTCTAGCAAAGGTTAAGTAAAATAAATAAATAAATAAATACCCCGGATGTTATCATCTTACAACTGATATCCTTGCTCAACTCTAGGCAAGAGCGCTGGCTTTATATTTGAGAGTTTCTTGAAAGCCGTAGATCGATCCCAGTCACATGTTTGTCATGATAACTTATATAACATACCGCTCTTCTTCCATTGTCTTATCGGGATCACCTTATCAGCACTGAGATTAGAACACACCAATAGGTCAACATTTTCTCCCTATGATCCTGTAGACGTGTGAAAGGTGAGGGATTTCTACTTTTATTTTCAGCTTTTGTACTTTTTCATGAAATGGTTTATGTAATGTTCAGCTAAGTTTTACGTCCAAGTTATATACATCTGAGTGTCGTTATATTTATAACAATTGACTTCTTACAACGCAGGCTTGTTGTAACGAAAGATATGTGCCAGGTGAATATAACATCTTGTTCTGTAGATTAACTGTAAATATATCAAAACATTTCAACTATTTATTTTTTCACTTCAGGATAAAAATGGCAGTCACTTCTGTGACTTCAGTTTTGGTGTGTGTATTTAGTGTGACTTTGGCCAATTACTACCTCAAACCTCTGTCCTATACCAAACTACCGACCAAGTCAACCCCTACAGAAACCTTTCAGTTATTTGGTGGCACGGCTGAGGAGGGAGCATACGATCCAGTGAAGAAAATGTTGTATGTTGTGGGTAAGTGTAGTATTAATCAAAGTACTGTAAGAACTGGGGTCACAAACGACAGAGAGTTTTTAACTGTGATTGATGTGAATGCTGTATATGCAGTAAATGTTACACAAAATCAAAAATGTGAAGTTACAAGGATAAAATTGAAATCATGTACATGTAACTGGATTTCTGGAATATGCATAAAATATTCATTATATCACAAAGATTAGATATTGTTAATTCGTTGGCTCTTGCTCAGACCATTGCGATTAGATGATGATGATGATGATGATGATGATGATGATGATGATGATGATAAAATGATTGAACCAATTGCTTTGTTATCAGTAGACTGGGCAGAACTTTTTATGAAAGTTTCCACAATCTATGAATGACTATGTGGAAAATCTGTTTCTGTAGTTTTCCTATGACATAGAGAAAGTTTTATGGTTCTGTTTTCTGATTCTTATCACTTGATCTTAGTCCTGATACAACACCAAGGTGTAGGTTAACTGAGTCTTTGTTAGTCACGCGTCGTCCGTTAACTTTGATATTTTTACATTCTTCTCAAGAACCGCCGAGCTGATTCGAATCAAACATGGTCATTGGCATCAATATCCGAATGGACAAAATTCATCCTCCATATTCTCTGGGGTTTACGGCGAGGTTAAAATACTGTGAAAATCTAAGTTAAGTACTTATGGTTATGATGGGAATGAGTAGCTCAAGCAATCGCCAAAATTGTGGTCTGTTGATGTACCATTTAGTCTCCAGGGAAGGAGGATTTGTGGTCTGTTGATGTACCATTTAGTCTCCAGGGAAGGAGGATTTGTGGTCTGTTGATTTACCATTTAGTCTCCAGGGATGTTGTCTGTTGATGTACCATTTAGTCTCCAGGGAAGGAGGATTTGTGGTCTGTTGATGTACCATTTAGTCTCCAGGGATGGAGGATTTGTGGTCTGTTGATGTACCATTTAGTCTCGAGGGATGGAGGATTTGTGGTATGTTGATGTACCATTTAGTCTCCAGGGAAGGAGGATTTGTGGTCTGTTGATGTACCATTTAGTCTCCAGGGAAGGAGGATTTGTGGTCTGTTGATGTACCATTTAGTCACCAGGGATGTTGTCTGTTGATGTACCATTTAGTCTCCAGGGAAGGAGGATTTGTGGTCTGTTGATGTACCATTTAGTCTCCAAGGATGTTGTCTGTTGATGTACCATTTAGTCTCCAGGGAAGGAGGATTTGTGGTCTGTTGATGTACCATTTAGTCTCCAGGGATGGAGGATTTGTGGTATGTTGATGTACCATTTAGTCTCCAGGGAAGGAGGATTTGTGGTCTGTTGATGTATCATTTAGTCTCCAGGGATGGAGGATTTGTGGTATGTTGATGTACCATTTAGTCTCGAGGGAAGGAGGATTTGTGGTCTGTTGATGTACCATTTAGTCTCCAGGGAAGGAGGATTTGTGGTCTGTTGATGTACCATTTAGTCTCCAGGGAAGGAGGATTTGTGGTCTGTTGATGTACCATTTAGTCTCCAGGGATGTTGTCTGTTGATGTACCATTTAGTCTCCAGGGAAGGAGGATTTGTGGTCTGTTGGTGTACCATTTAGTCTCCAGGGATGGAGGATTTGTGGTATGTTGATGTACCATTTAGTCTCCAGGGAAGGAGGATTTGTGGTCTGTTGATGTACCATTTAGTCTCCAGGGAAGGAGGATTTGTGGTCTGTTGATGTACCATTTAGTCTCCAGGGATGTTGTCTGTTGATGTACCATTTAGTCTCCAGGGATGGAGGATTTGTGGTCTGTTGATGTACCATTTAGTCTCCAAGGATGTTGTCTGTTGATGTACCATTTAGTCTCCAGGGAAGGAGGATTTGTGGTCTGTTGATGTACCATTTAGTATCCAAGGATGGAGGATTTGTGGTCTGTTGATGTACCATTTAGTCTCCAGGGATGGAGGATTTGTGGTCTGTTGATGTACCATTTAGTCTCCAGGGATGTTGTCTGTTGATGTACCATTTAGTCTCCAGGGAAGGAGGATTTGTGGTCTGTTGATGTACCATTTAGTCCCCAAGGATGTTGTCTGTTGATGTACCATTTAGCCTCCAGGGAAGGAGGATTTGTGGTCTGTTGATGTACCATTTAGTCTCCAGGGATGGAGGATTTGTGGTCTGTTGATGTACCATTTAGTCTCCAGGGAAGGAGGATTTGTGGTCTGTTGATGTATCATTTAGTCTCCAGGGATGGAGGATTTGTGGTATGTTGATGTACCATTTAGTCTCCAGGGAAGGAGGATTTGTGGTCTGTTGATGTACCATTTAGTCTCCAGGGAAGGAGGATTTGTGGTCTGTTGATGTACCATTTAGTCTCCAGGGGTGGAGGATTTGTGGTCTGTTGATGTACCATTTAGTCTCCAGGGATGTTGTCTGTTGATGTACCATTTAGTCTCCAGGGAAGGAGGATTTGTGGTCTGTTGGTGTACCATTTAGTCTCCAGGGATGGAGGATTTGTGGTATGTTGATGTACCATTTAGTCTCCAGGGAAGGAGGATTTGTGGTCTGTTGATGTACCATTTAGTCTCCAGGGAAGGAGGATTTGTGGTCTGTTGATGTACCATTTAGTCTCCAGGGATGTTGTCTGTTGATGTACCATTTAGTCTCCAGGGATGGAGGATTTGTGGTCTGTTGATGTACCATTTAGTCCCCAAGGATGTTGTCTGTTGATGTACCATTTAGTCTCCAGGGAAGGAGGATTTGTGGTCTGTTGATGTACCATTTAGTATCCAAGGATGGAGGATTTGTGGTCTGTTGATGTACCATTTAGTCTCCAGGGATGGAGGATTTGTGGTCTGTTGATGTACCATTTAGTCTCCAGGGATGGAGGATTCGTGGTCTGTTGATGTACCATTTAGCCTCCAGAAACCAAAATACTGAAACAGATATAACATTCCAATTTGTTCGAAAACAGTCAACGTCTCGATAGGTATATGTATTTGAAAAATTAATGCAAATATATTGTTCGCCGAGTTTTAAGATCGTCTTGTCAAAGGCAATCAAAACTTTTCTCTAAAATCTTTATTTTTTGTAACAGTATAGAGAATGATGTAAATTTTGTAGTTTCAAGTCACTGAACCAAAAGTTCGGCGACACATAGCAGTAAACGGTCGTATTTTGATTTCGAATTTTCCCGATAAGTCGACTTGTCGAATAAGACTTCGTAAAACGATATTGTCATGACAACTCGTGTTAAAATGACAATTTGCCGCGATAAATATTCATGGCAGCACAACAAGTCGATGACCGTTACATGCCAATTGGAAACCACAAAAATATGGACGCCAATATTAATATGTTTCCTATTTCTATCGTAATGATGAACACGAACAAAGTCAGCAGTATTTACCTTTAACATATTCCTAAATCTTATAAAATGTGTCGAAGACAAAAGTCCGCCACAGCAATATATTCCTGTTGACTAACCCTACTTAACCTGAGTCGTCTGCTCTGATTCAGGAGAAACATCAAGATTGTTACATATCCTTGACGTATCCGACCCTGTTAACCCCGTACGGGTTTTCACGCATCAGTTTACTACCATAGAGGGCAGACCACGTGACATCGCAATATGCGGCGATGACATGGCAGTTGCCCTTACTTCCGATATCAGAGATGTGTACGAGGGACACGTGCAATTCTTCAAAACGTTCACCAAAGGTGATAGCTTCTTGCATTACAACGGAAGTCGTCTCCCAGGTAAAATCCTTTTGATATATCATTATTCCATTTCTACGTCCTCTCACTGATATGAAAGATGAAATTTGGTTGCGGGATATTCAGTTTAATTCACTATGCTTTTTTTTTTTTTTTTAATTGTTCAATATTTAAATGGAGGTTGTCGTCGATGAAGCAAAAGCGGCTAACATTTCCGGAAAACTTGTTTTATTCTGCTTTTTCATTGATCCCTTCGTAAATCCATTTTGTCCTGTTCATGGTCTGCCCTCGTCGTTTGAATTTTCTTGTTGTTTATATACATATTCTATAATGGAGATATCAAACTAAGTTTAATTAGATGAAAACAACAATATGTCTTCATGTGATTTTATACCAGCCGAATTTTACTTTGCTTTTAATGTTATAAAATGTTGGTTGCAATTATTTGGAGAAAATCCTTTGAAGAACGAAATTATAAGAAACATAGCAAGAAAAAAGATTTATTTTATTAGTGTCAATTATATTGATCTTATAATATAATCATTACCAGTCCCAGCTTTATTCTATTTCAAAACTTTAGAACTGTTGATTTAGGTCATCTAACCCTAGGTCATACTGACCTATAGAGATCGTTGCTTGTCCGGCGTCATGCGCCGTTCGTCGACGTTCTCCAGCGAACACGATACAGTAACTTGAGTAACCATGAACCGATGTTGATTAAACTTCTTATGCAGCCATGTATCAATAACATTTTAGATGATTTCTACAATGGGGATCAATTCGATGATTATTTACAGAGTTATGGCCCATTAAAGCGTAAATACCATTTGTCTTAGTGCACACCATCATTGACAGATGTTGATGAAACTTCGTATGCAGCCTTATATCAATAAGATCACAGAGGAGTTCCACAATAAGACTGATTCATCTTATCGATCTCTGATGGTTAAGTACGGTTGAGAGTATTCAGGGGACCGTTTAGGCACTTGGGGATCTTTTTATTTGTTTTAACTATTTGTGGTTTTATCTTACTTTATCTATACGAATCGAACGAAGCATAAAATTATGGACAAATTACGATATATATCACACCAAGTGGGATCGTTTCCTGACATGTTAACCTATACTCCGGATTGTGCCGCGGTCCTTGTGGCCAATGAGGGAAAACCTGGCCGTGACATCACCAACACGTTTCAAGATCCCCCTGGCACTGTCCAGATTATCCGCAAACCAAGGACTGGCAGCCCATCAGAACAGAATGTAAACTTCGACAAATTCAACTCTCGGTAAACAACTTATATATTTCTGGGGTATTTTTTCCGGGCTTACTCTCTAGATGTACGTCCGATTATAACAAAAAACAATGGATATAAATGTGTTTTTCACTTCTTGATCTGTAACTTCCGCAAACTGAATCTGAATGAGAGAGGTATCAGTGAAATTCGATGTACGTCCGATTATAACAAAAAACAATGGATGTAAATGTGTTTTTCACTTCTTGATCTGTAACTTCCGCAAACTGAATCTGAATGAGAGAGGTATCAGTGAAATTCGATGTACGTCCGATTATAACAAAAAACAATGGATGTAAATGTGTTTTTCACTTCTTGATCTGTAACTTCCGCAAACTGAATCTGAATGAGAGAGGTATCAGTGAAATTTGATGTACGTCCGATTATAACAAAAAAAATGGATATAAATGTGTTTTTTTAACTTCCGCAAACTGAATCTGAATTTACATAACAAAGAATACCAACTCATGAATATCATAATCCAGACTTAAATTCGATAAAGCTAAAACAATATCAACATTGGATATCGATTCAACTGTGATATGTAAACACCAAATGTTGGGGATGCAGGATTGTTTCTATCCAGAAATGGAAAATTCACAATAGGGCAATTCAAATGGAGGAAAGCTGTCCTTACTGGTTTCGTTGTAGGAAATTATCGAAATAATCGGCTGATATAGAAGAGTCTGTGGTGACCTTAGCTTCCGCTTCTGATGGGTATATACGATGGACGTGGTCAACAATACTCTTGGTATTTAAGACGCCATCGATATATCTGTGAAAATGAGGTTTATGGATATGACAGCTGAAATAATCACTGAAGGCGCTCGTATTTCAGTATTATAAGTGTTAACTTTTGAAAATGTTACTGATAGGAACTCCTGCTGTTCACACAGGGAAACATCAGAATCGTAAAATGTTTAACATCCGTGTGGTTAACTATGGAATTTTCGAAATAATATATTGTCCAGTGTTACCATATAATTGCTTTATTTCGCGGAGCTCATTTTTCACGTTGGCTCCAGTCAGTTTGGGCTCGTTCTCGGGCAGTTAATTTTTCGTATGAACTGGTACCTATGTATAAGGCGCAACCAATATTTCATAGACATTCATTTACTGCAGAAAAGTTTGCCGGGTTTTTAATTTCTTAATCGACCGCGAATGTAGCGAAATGAAATCCCGCGAATATAACTTACTATACAGTATTAATTTTACTCTTAGGAGTACAAAATTATGGTAAGGTACATTAGCAAACACACTTTTTGTTCCATGGGCACTACAATAATTGGATTTCTAAGAAACCTGACAGAAACTAAACGCATTTGCAACAACATGACTTTTCAGTCGATTATTGCTAGAAAGTATGCATTTAATGGTGGATAAGGATTGGAATGTTCGACTTCTGAAATGTCACATTTTCTCTAGTGGTGGAGAAAATGACATTGAAGATGAAAGTTATTATTCAAAGGTACGACGTCCGCATTCCGGCGCGTTATATACCTACCAGCACGTGGCCCCTTCCTAACGCAGTCACAGTCTCGCAAGGGCTGGAACCCGAGTATATTGCAGTGACCCCTGACTCCAGATACGCCTTCATCACACTACAGGTAATGTATGTCTATCCAGCTTCATCATTGTCACTGTACCATGAACATTCTCTCTGTCGCGAAGTAGTATTATTTTTCAATACTTCTTTGTCCCCAATATCTTAGTCAGACCCAAACTGAGTTACAATGAAACAAAACTGACTTTTGTATTTTTTGTTTGTTCATTTTATCGTGCATATTCCAAAGTAATATATAGTTTTAACTGAGTATATCCCAAAATGATATATATATACATTTACCATGTATAACCTAAATAATATATATGTATACTTTAACCACAGTTATCCCAAATTTATCTGTATACTTTAACCACAGATATCCCAAAATGATATGTATACTTTAACCACAGATATCCCAAATTTATATGTATACTTCAAACTGTAGATATGTTTTTACTGTAGGCTTCACACTGATGTATATATTTTTACGAACTAGGGAGAATACAAAACAAGTCCATATATTACAATATCAACATTGATCTTCCGTGACATCAAACAGTTCCTGCTTTTCTATAGTTCCATTCCCTTGAATTAGCTTTTGTTTACTTGCTGCCACGGTTGGCACCGTTGTATTAGTGTTTTAAGGAATTATCAATTCATTGGATTTGCTGACATTTGTTTGTAAACATTGACACTTGATTTGGGGAGAGAAGCTCGTCAACATTTACATATTCATACGCGGTGAACTTTGTCATGTTCTACGCTAAGTTACTGAAGTAAAAATACTTACTCGCGCTTAACATATCGAATTCGAAATACTCGCAATTGTAAACAATGATATATATATATATATAGATATATCGTCGTTTAATAAAACAATAGAAAATGCAAATTGGTATAGAATACTTACTTCCCCCTAATAAAGGTTTTCTATAAAAAGAGGAGAATAATCATCGACTTCATTAACTATGACCTCATGAAAACGTGCAAGATTGTTGTTCCGAGCAACATATTCTCTCTTTTATTTAATTCCAACAGGAAAACAATGCCATTGCTAAATTATCACTGAGTGATGGGATAATGACAGATTTATGGCCTTTGACCCCGAAAGAATGGAGGGACATTGGAATTGATTCCACAGACAGAGATGGAGGTACATTGAACAGAAATATTTACATTTCATCAAGTTTTGATGTTGTAAAATATCATTTGGATCTGCTTTCAAATCTTCATGAAGATTAAACAGAAAGACATGATGATATTGACAATATGCATGTATCCATATGAGGTTCATTGAAGACCTAGGAGAATAATGCATATCATAGATACCGGAAAACCATACAAGGAAAAAATATCACAAGGGTACACGAGATCATTTGTTTGTCATGAATGTCAATAAAATCTGTTCAGAAATAAGTTTACTAGTTTATTGCTGTGACGCCAAAGCATCACCTCTAACGTCATCACGATAAAATAAAAACGCAAATTTATGGCAAGTTGTTATCGTTCTATGAGGTCTTTATCACGTGGTCAATTTGAAATTTTAACAATGCTACTTCTCCGTCAATTCGTTCTCCAGGTATTCACCTCCGGCAATACCCATGGGTTAGTTTACAACAGCCGGATGCGGCCAAGGTATTCACAATCGGCAGAAAGACCTTTCTCTTTACTCTCGACGAGGGTGCACCAACAACATATACAAGCAGTGTCCACGGCTTCAATTGGGCAGACCATGCCAAGTCAGACGCTCTGATAAGAGGTATTTTCGCCTAGCTTACGGATAGAAAGGAAACGGGGAGTATAAATGTAATACAAAAGCTGAGACAATTTTATTAGATAAACATCTCCCGCTAATCACTTCACGATATGATGTCACGATACAGCTCTGTGATAGTATATACCGAATGTCATATCATTCCGTGTTCGAGCAACATTATTGGTAAATTCTTCTAAGCCACACAATCTCCCTCGACACAATATATCACGATATGAAATATCTCACGTTTAATATATCACGCCTCAAAATCTCTCGCACCGCAAAATACTCCTCAATATCTCGCCCACGTGATGTCTCACGCCACAAAATCTTCCACGACACAAGATCTCTCGCCACAAATTCCCTTATATTAGTAAATACAATATGCACGTGACGTCATCACAAGGTGTTGTTATAACTTAGATAGTGTTACCCTTATGTCGATCCGGATATCTTTAGCGGTATTTCTCTACCAGTTACTGTCAACCTGATATTTAATTAATTTTTGATAGATAGGAAATTGATGGATTTCATCGGGCCTTCTATATATAATGCTGATGATCCAAAGTTTGTCATTACACCTCTATGTATGATTATGGTTAGAGAAAACACCGTAACTGCCTACCAAATGTTTGGGAAGCTGGTAGGGATCAGTTGACGGTCCAGTGGACACAACCGATTACTTAATGCAGCTTCTTATACTTTTTACAGCACAGAAATACGACTCTTCGAGTATCAACAACTCGACCTTTTATGAAGATCTGACAAAGGAAAACATGGCGGGTAAGTGATTATTCTGGTAAGCAATACATTACGTATTTTATTAATATACTGAAACTTCAAATATCATCTTCATCGCTTTGTTTAGTAATACTTGAAATAACATACCAGTTAGAAAAGAAAAATCCAGCAAACCATCAAATAGCAAGAGCCATTTCATGACAGCCTCCCGATGTATGCAAGGTGTAAGATATATAGTGCTACCACACTGATGCAAACTGCTGAAAACACTCGACAGGACATATTATACTGTCAAGGATCGTTAATCAAGGAGTAAAAACTACCATTTTAGTGACTCTCATTCAAAAGCAAGGGCGAAGGCTCAATTTAAAATTCAAAAATAAGTCTTAATTAGAAGATCGATTGTTAAGAAAAAAAAGGTCTCGTGTGAATCATGCCATAGTGACAACAAGCACAATTAATGCGCCCTACCTGCAGGAAAGCAATAGTAATGTAAACGTTCTCAATTTGGTGCAATGAAATTTGAATTTGATATTTTCGCTGCAAATACTGTAATCTGATTGGTCAGATAGTGGAACCGTTAAAAATGTTACTTTCACTAAAGAACATATTCTTTCACCGTAAAACCGCCCGTCTTATAATTAACTTGTTATCCAATGAATTCGTACATGTAATATTTTTGCATATGTCACGAGCGTGATAAGAAACGTTTTTCATTGGTTGCGCCAGTCATAAATCAAGTGTGACGTCATAATATGAACAATGACATTAACTAATGAATTAAAAATCCTACAATAAAATAGCTACACCCGTTTGATTTTGTCCGGCAAATTTTTATTTTCAAACCCATGGAAATGTGACTTTTTTAATTTTTAAGATAAGAAGTATCTTTAATTTTTTTCATTTGAGGTTTTATGCCACTCGGAGTTTAAATTTTGTCCAAGGCGCACAAAATAATAACTTCAAAGATTCGCCTGATACAACCTTATATGAAATGAAAATTCGATTAAGATCCTATATAATTCACCGAAAAAATGTTATCTTAGCCACATTTTCTTTTCCTGGCGCCACATTATGTTTCTACTGATCGTTACTCCTTGTTTTTCTGTACTTGTCTGGTTCCCGCAGGCTATCTTACCGTCAGCAACATCGATAGTCTTAACCTGTTCTCCGATAAGTTGGGAAAAGTAACGCATTTCGGAGGGCGTGGCTTCTCTATCTGGGATACCCAGGATATGAGCCTCGTTTGGGACAGTAGGGACGAGATCGAGAAAAGTATGGAGCTGCTAATGTACAACGTTTTCAATACCGATATTGTGTCGTCCACTATCACATATACATCGCCCGAAAATCTACGAGATACGACGTCTGATCTCCAGGTAATTGTCATGAGTGTCATAAGGGTATCTTATCTATAGACAATACGTCTGATATCCAGGTAAGTATCATAAGGATATCCTATCTACAGACACTACGTCTAATCTCCAGGTAAAAAACACTAGAATATTCTGTCTAAAGACAGTCTAACGTCTGATCTCCAGGTAAAACACTTTCGTCATATGACTTCGACTTTTTTTCTTCCAATTTCCTCAGTGGACACTTTCGTCATGTGACACTGTCTTCTGTTTCTTCCGATTTCCTCAGTGGACACTTTCGTCATGTGACACTGTCTCCTGTTTCTTCCAATTTCCTCAGTGGACACTTTCGTCATATGACACTGTCATCTGTTTCTTCCAATTTCCTCTGTGGACACTTTCGTCATGTGACACTGTCTTCTGTTTCTTCCAATTTCCTATGTTGGCACTTTCGTCATATGACGCCGACTTCTCTTTTATCCAATGTCCTCTGTTTACACTTTCGTCATATCACATTGTCTTCTGTTTCTTCCAATTTGCTCAATGAGCAGCTATTCACAGTGCCATTTAATATAATCATTATTATTACATTCTTAACGGTCCTTCAACACATATTATGTCATTAGGACCACCCAACGGTAAAACACACTGCGATCATAAACGGAAATAATATCAAACTAAAAGGTGAAAGACAAATGCTAAAAATCTGAGATAGTTATATCATCACACAAGATTAAAATGGTATGTCATAGTCTATAATATAGAACAACGTCTTTCAGATATCCTAGAATTTTATTAATCTAAACAGTTTCAGAGGGTCTTTAGGCGTGTAATGTTACGATAAAAAATTCTCGAGTTGACAGAAGGTCAGTGCAGTACAATAAAAAATGTTTAATGGTGAATGGCTCGTCACATTCTATGCACCGAGGATTGTTTTCACCTTTCAACATATATTGATGCGTAAGGTATGTATGGTCCATCCGAAGACAAGGGCAGCTTCGTCAGTACCATTTAAATCTTTCATGTATGACACTATACTTGTCAGTATCATTTTTGGCGATGATGACCGACACAAAATGATTCAGTCCCTGCAATATATTTCCACCAAAGTTTTACGAACATTGAATCCAGTTTTCTGTCAGATTGCAACTTTATGGTTCCAGGAGTCTTGATTTGCCCCACCATGGCATTGGGCGGCTTATCCAAAGAACCTTTTCTTAGCGACAGTCGCTGAAAAAACTGAATGAGCCGCTTCCTCGTAGACAACGAATTACTAAATACATGAACTAGAAATAATTTCACTTATATCACTATCATAGCTCAGCTAAACAGATGTATCCGAACAAACTAAATTATCAATATCATGTAGTCGTTGCGACCTTGTTTTAATGTAAAGATGTGATTTTATTGTGCTTCACAGGGTGCAAAACTGAATGGGATGGATATTCTGGTACAGAAAAATGGTTCTGACTTCCTGCTGGTTGGAAGCGAGACTGTAGGCGCCCTCTTCCTCTACACAATCAATTCAACTAGTGGCAAACCTGTTCCGAGATTTGAGAGCGCTCATCGCGCGGGTCGAACCGATTTTGTGTGGAAGGAATTATATGATATGGATGAGGCTGGGGACGCCTATATATCTGCAATAGGGTATGATTGACATTGATCATGACTGAGTTTCAGGTAGATTAAATGTTTCCATAATATCGTTGGAACTCCTGCAATATTTCGCGATATTTTTATCAAAACTACAGAAATTTTCAAAGAAGATGAAAAATCATTGCCAATAAAACTGTGTTTGTGTCTTTGATGACCGCCACAGAACATCAAATACATTTTAATATGATTTAAAAATAGTTTTGATATTAATAACATTGTAAAATGTCTTTTTCCTTGTGTTTAATAGATTGATTTCCGCTGAGGACAGCCCAAACAACAACGTAATGGCATACGTGATCAGTGACGTTTCCGGAAGTGTGTCGCTCTACAGCGTGGAGAAACACCCAAATCCTGACTTCATTTTCGGATAACGACTGGAAATAGCAACCGTTACAAATAAATAACGTTATTCTTCTTGTTCGTTTCATATACGTTAATTTATTCAAATAAATACTTACATCCGGTCACGTGTTTAGCGTCACAGTACCTTCATTGATTTCTGCTGTAAAAAAGGAAAAGGTGCAGAAAATGCTTTCGTTTATCGGTTAATTGTCGTATATCTGTTACAAGTATTTAACTATGAAATTTTGATACTAAATATAAACGGGGCATACCTTTACAAAGAGGACAGTTTGTAGCGAGTTTCTGTAGCTCTATGTCCGGTATTATGGCGCTGACATGCATGTGACCTTTATTTGCGTGACAGTTTCGGTCGATACTTTGCTCTGGTACTTTTCTTGACATCACTTCCTGTTCCTTGTCCGTGGTTGACGAATTAGATTCTGTTTCGCAAGATGACGATACAGAAAGACTGTCCTTGCTCGAGCTGTCCGTGTCGGATTCTAGTTTACGATAACTTTGTTGTGAAGTATACCCCACTGTAAAATAAAAGTAAAATGCAACTTTACTTATGAAAACAAAGAGGAAAACAACAAAAAATATATAAATAGGTTAATAAAGGATTGAGCGATAACAACACCTTTAATGATACAGGTCTGTTGACCTTAACTTCCACACATTAGAAACTCGACTACCGGAAATGACTTAGAAAGTTCAGCTGCAGCTGTAGTGATAATAGGCTTGAAGATACGCATCCGGTCGCGATTTAGACAGAAGATTGAAACAAACAAATGGACGAAGTCCTCACCAAACATTTTCATTCCGTTTTTCCTCCGAAATGGTGGAAATGTACAACGCTTCTGAGCTGCTGATAAGCAATCGTCTATATCCTCATCCTTGTCTACTTGTAACGGGTCAAAAAGGTTCGTCATACTCAACGACGACCGTCGGCAGTAAACCACACGTCGATGCTTGAAGCACAAATCTTCGTCTGACATTGGGGAACGGAAATGGAGAAGTTAAGTAATACATCTATTCTGACAATAGGGGATGGGAATCGAAAAGATAACCAGTTAAACATCTATTCTAATACGGGGGTGTGTGTGTGTGTGTGTGTGTGTGTGTGTGTGTGCGTGTGCGTGTGCGTGTGTGTGCTTTCATCGTCCACTTAGGGAAAACTCCGGCATTTTACACTTGTCTAGATCCGCACATAGTAGTATTAAAATGTGTTAAAACTGTATTTACATTAAGCTAAATATCTCTAGATTTCTTTCAGCTGTTCCCAGTTATCCCCTCTGAAAGGCAATACTTTACAAAATCACTCATTACGATAAAGATTAAATTCGTAGGAAACCGTACCTCAACGTAAGTCCTGTGTATATAAGACTACTTTGTAGCCCGTATTGTCTTATTGAGAATTATCCCCTTTTAAACTAGCAATAAACTCCTGTGATAAATAAATATGTAATTACAAACAGATTCGCTTTTCCAAGTAAAGGACGAGGTTTCATCGCAGGCCATTGATTTTTCACATAATTGAATTCTATACGAGTCATAATAATCAATTGTATAAATCACTTGATACGTAATGGTGACATCGATTTCCATGGCGAACTGGGAATGCTTTACATAGAACAATTTATATTGATGAAGTTGGTTTGTGATAGTCAAACGTTGTGAATTAATCTGTGAGCAAAATACATGTCAATTGAAATGTGCATGTGAAAGTGTATAAACATGCTGAAAACCTGGTATTTCATATCGAATTCCCTCAATATCTTATCCAACTGCACTTCGTTCAATCAGTTGTAACGGACTTGATGAATCAATCAAACTGGTGACAATACATAAACCATCCGTTCGTACCTCGCCATGTCAGACCGTCCTCCTTGTTCGTTCGTCCGTCTTTCTGTCTATGGCTGGATTTTAGTCCATGGTTCTCATGTCGTAATGTTGAAAGCTCAATCTACAGGAAATACCATTACAATCGATCAGTAATCAGAGTGGGGCGTATACTATGGCGACTCGTATTTAGACACCAAAACAGGCTATGTTATCATATCATGCTGACCCTGTGGAAACTTGTCAGCGGTACTTATTTCTGAACAAATACTAGTATACCAAAGGAAACGTTTTTCTATAGCCACGTGATGGTAGAGAGACAGACTAACAGTCCTGGAGATTTTGTAAAGAACTGCTCCTCTAAATTCTCACATTATCTTATGTCCCCCTAGTTTGAACCAAGAGGTCAAAATTATAATCCTCGATTTCATTTATAATTATAACATTCTATAGACAGGGGCCAGTTTAGATAGAAATGTATAACTCGTGGACATATTCAGCATTTCAAAGTGATCTGGCCCGGGTAGCAGATACCCTTACAATACATTTTTTGATTGAATAGAAACTTTTTTTTTTAGAAATTTAGCGAATACATTTTTTTAAAGTTACAGATATTTTGTGAGTATGAACTAGAATCCTTTGAAAAGGAAATCAAAACTAAACAACATCACACCGTTTCCCCCACCACGGGAGTGGGTATCTAAATTACAATGCCTCAAATTGGTAGATGTGTTTTGGGATTGAGACGAAGCTGTATGTGTTTCTGTTTACCGTCTCGGTGTCTTTCCTGTTGTGATGGTCGAGCGGCTCGTTGGTAAATGGTTGGTAGTTGACGTAGGGTGGGCTGTAATTATCGTCATTTTCGTCCGTAATACGGCAGCAACACAGCACATACCAACGAACAGACATCTCCAAATAGAAACAGTCGTATCTCAGTTGGCATTAGGACTTAAAAAACATCTTACTTAAACATGCTTGTTGAAATTTAGTGTTGGTTTCGTCGATTTCAGAAAATGAAAAAATAAAAATTCGTTTACAAATGAGGTCTTAACTTCTGTAAATTAGAGAATGTGAGTTTGTATGTTTAGAAAAAGGATATATTATGACATATATTCAACTGAGCTAAATGTTGAAAATATCACTTAAATGGAATTCAAATAAAAATTCAGATGTACTTTAGTTCTGATTGGTTAAAATCTTATCTCTTTCACATTTCATTTAAAGGAAGGTATATGACAGGAATCGGACGTTATATGTGAAGTATAGCTATCATACTACTGTAATAGCACGGACGCCCGATTCCTGCACGTACACAGAAGGGATATGGACGTGTTTTATCCGATAAATCTTTAATGTTCTACTAAAAAATTGTTACAAGATTGTGCTGATACTACAAATATGGACCAAAATGTAACGAACTGCTTTCTATCTTGAATTTAGAATTAAAACGTGGGTAATTTGTGGATCAGTGTCTATAGCACCGGAAGACTTTAGTCGTGTTGTTACAGTCCTACGTCCCCGAAACCTGTCTATTGTGTATAGAATGACAGGTGACAGTAAAAGTCCCACTAAATAGTGTTAGAGACAGTAAAATATCATCCCAATGTTCGGTGTATCTTTATGGTTACAAAATATAACATATTAAGTGGTCATTGGATTAATTACTTTTATCCTTTGTGGAATATTTGCTGGTTTTATCTTAATATCGCCAGCAGCTTACACTGTAAAAAAAGTACATATATTTAGACACGGCGTCTCAAAATGCAGACATATTTTAAGGTCTACCAACGTGATGAATTGGATTAAATATGCCCGATATTAAGCTTAACGCCCTATATCTTTTATTAAAGCTCTACATGTTATCAATTTCATTTTGATAGTCACCATACACTACTAATACAAAATATAATTCCTGCATCAAAGAATGAAAAAATCACTTATGTAGGTTGTGTACCAAGTATGGAATTGGCTATTATTCCGTATGTATAGTTACAGCTTCTACATGCGATATATCATACATGTAAAAAACTTCAGAATTATGCACAAGTCATAAAACGATGTGAGAGTTTGTAGTATAACAACAAACTTCATGAAATACTCACTGGGGTCTACTGCAACAGCAGAAAGCAGAATTCGATGAAACCGGAAATGAATAAACGAAAACAAACCAAACACGTGACAAAACGTCATAATCTATGACGTCATAAGTTGACAACGATGTTATCTCCCTTGATGAGCACGACATATCCACTTCTAGCTAAACTTAAATGCATTTTTGGCAGATACAAACGTTATCTACACCTTCTTGACCGCAATAACTTAAAAGGATCTTTGCAGCATCTTCAAATCAATGTACATGTAGATTGGACGCTAATATCATATCAGTGCAAAAATATTTCACCTCAGATGGGCACCACGATGATCGGGGTTCGATTCTAGTCGCGACGTGCAAATAAATATCGTTAATATAATTTCTAAAATAGAAGATGAAGCTAACTCCAATAACAGATAGATACAAACACTCAAAGTATGTTGATTATCGTGGTTTATGATAAATTGGGTGCACGATTTCTGGCTTGTAACCCATTGTATTAAAGCTATGACACAGAGTCTGCTACCTTTCCCACACATCGGTTACCATAAGTCAGAGTACCAGAGACTGGAACACACAACAAGAACTCAGTTGCCGATCGCAATGGTGTCTTGTAGGATATGACAAGAATGCTTTGTATATATACATCGAAAGTTTGTGCTGTGCAATGATCATAACCCTGAAGTATGTGTTATCTCTTTCGAACTCGGCTAACCAGACGTGTTGCAGTGTTCAGAACCTTTTGCGTACAACAATGTAATACATTTCCATCCGTGGTGGTAAACTGCCTGAGATAAGGCACTTTGGAAAAAGTCGACTTTCTTTTCCAGGTTCAGTATGTTTATAATAGAGTTCATCCCGCTACTGATATCTGGTAATCAGGCTTCTAGAACGTGGTTTGATAACAATGCATGTTTGGGTAATAAGAAAATGAAATATGAAAAGGATTGTTTTTGACATATTTTATTTTGGATTTTTTACTTTAATTACGATTAATAAAACTACACTACAATGTATTACTCATTTATTTCCAAATGTTTGCTAGTCAACAAAGGACGATGAAGTACCTGGTGGGACGACCCATGCCATCATTCTTCATTCTACCATCTTGTACAGCAATGTTGTTTTACTGTAGTCATGTAGTTGTTTCATATGAATGTCAAAAAACCCAAGCCTTCATTGATGATAATAACGTATGCTATATCCGATGTCAGTGTGGTATTATCAACCAAGTACGATATGCGGTGTTAGTGTGGTCCCATCGACCAAGTATAATATCCGGTGTTAGTGTGGCCTTATCAACAAAATACAATAGCCGGTGTTAGATACAATATCCGGTGTTAGTTTGATCCTATCAACCAAGTACAAAATCCGGTGTTAGTGTGGTCTTATCGACCAAGTATAATATCCGGTGTTAGTGTGGCCTTATCAACAAAATACAATATCCGGTGTTAGTTTGATCCCATCGTCCAAGTACAACATCCGGTGTTAGTTTGATCCTATCAACCAAGTAAAATATCCGGTGTTAGTTTGATCCCATCGTCCAAGTACAACATCCGGTGTTAGTTTGGTCCCATCGACCAAGTACAATTTCAAGACATCTTCTACATATAGGCCTATTGTCCTGGATCCGCTTTCTGATTTTTGTTTTTACGTTACAGAGTATATTTTACTAAGGTTCGTTTTACGTGCATTTTCCTGAAATATGTTTAAAGTTTAACTGTAACATCATCATCTTCCGAGATGTTATGAATCCATGACGTCATTCAGTCTCGACCCCGACAGAAGAGTTCCATCAGACTCAATGTAGGGTCCACAAAGTAGAAGCCCCACTGTTTCCCCGCCTTCCTGTTAGGTTTGTAATATCCGAACGCCACATCTTCCTCATCACCGCAAGCGGTCTGCTTAATTTCAATTCCTGAAACATGAGATAAAATGAGAAAATTGTTACGATCAAACGTTTACTGTTTCCAAAAATGCTGGATGGTAATTGTGTGATAGAACCAGCATTCAAAATAAAAAATGGCATGGGAAATGACATAGATTTGTCTGAGGAAAATTTTACGGCCGAATTCGTCTGAAGTCCATATTTTGTGATAAAATCACTAAAAACAACCCGACTTCCGTGTTTTTTCAATAATAATTAGACTTGTGTGTAAAGAGATACAAATTTAAATGTACAATTGACCATAGTGTACATCACTTTAAGGACATACCCACCTCTTTTGATGTTTAAAAATCCGGGTAGCCACCTGTCCGGCTCCGTCTTGACATTTACTCTGACCTTTTTCAGGTCACGTTCCGCGAAACCTGAATATTGAATCGTTAGTTAATTAAATTGCGCGTGTTAATGAACAATATATCGTTACATATGTGTCCTGTGTGTTTGGAATCTTCGACATAAACGTGACCAGTTCATATCCTTTTTTATTCCATTTCATTATCAGTTATTCTAAACTTTTTAAAAACAATCTTAATATCAAGATCACAAAGGAAACGATGTTAATTGTTTAAACCTACCCATCACGTATTTGTTCCAGTCATCGCCAGTACAGTATCCGGTGTCATGGCTGATTTCACCTGAACTAGTTCCGCTACATGCCGGAAGCGTTACATTTATTTCCCCAGTGGATGGGTCAAGTTTAATCTCCTCCACAATAGTCGACTCTCCAACACTTTCGGCACTGCTAGAGATGTCTGTCACACACAGATCGCTATTGACTTTCTCCTGCAAGTATTAGAAACAGTAGTAACAGTTAAAAGAGAAACAAGCCACACACTTGTATTCAATAAAAACGAATCAAAGAAGTAGGACATTTTGTCTTAAACGACCAGCAAATATGGTCGGATTACTTCAATAAAAATACCGAGTTGTATAGACAGAATAAGCTTTTTGGATTTGTGATAGAAATGATCAAATTGTGCTTTGAATCCGTTATATAATAAAAAAAAATGTTTCGTTTGTACACATGATCAAAATAGTCTGTTATTTTGTCTGTAGTTAAACAAAGAAACCTGATATCGTCATGAAAACAGAACTTACCGGGTGAACATTGACCCTCATGACGTAAGTTTCTGAACACTGTCTGACCAGCCGGTCAGCCATGTCATTCTTGTTCATGTGTGCTGTCAGTTTGATCATTCTCTCTTTACTATAAAACAAACAATGTTGTAAATGTGCTACCATATAAAGTAATGACTATTCCAAGAAACTAAAACAGAGAGATGGAAGGCAAATATATATCTCCGTCCAAATAAATAAAACCAGCCATCATTGATCACAATGTTCTCAAGGATATACCGTCAGTGTAACATATTAACGTGATATTGAAAGTCGTAATTTATTCTCAACCTCAGAAAGTAGCATGTATCTTCACAAAACACGAAGTCATAGTGTTATTGTTCTTAAGAAGACAAAATAATTGGTCAGTGTGACGATGCTTGTACAAAGGACACACATGTGAATATCACCTTGTATTTGAGAGTTATAGTAAAGACAAACAATGGACTAATCTGCATCGTACATCTGTTTCGTCCTTTTAGGACTCATCATTAATGCTAAGGGCCTAAGGCTTGAAACCTAGGAGGCTACTGATGAAATTCCAAAGTGATTAAAAGAAAAGTCAATATCGAGATGAAAGTAACCAAAGGTCATTTGATTCCATTAAAATTCATCTAATATTTGACTAATATGACGTTGATAACTGTTCATTTGATATTTTCTGTTTCGATACCCTCACATTATCAGGCTACATTTATCACAAAACTTTAGGCGTTTTCTATCCTCAGAAGAAGACAAGGAAAGAGTGGTATGTTTTTTATAGCTTTTTATCTGCTTCGGTTCGTTTGGGCACTTTGCCAAATTCCGCATTTGTGACATAATACATGATTTTCTATTGTGATACATTGCGATTTAAAACATTCGATACTTCAGACTTATTGTTTCGGCGTCTCAAGAATTTTGAAATCTTTAATATACTTCAGATTATATTTTCATATTTTGCAGCGCTTTGTGCAAAATTTTCCAAAATTGACTTCGATAATGGACAAAAAAGAAATCAAAAGAAAAAAGACAAAAACATTTTTGAGTTATTACGAAACGTTTTAACTTTGTTTTAAGCCGTGAGTTCCTAATCAAGTTGATATTGTTTGTGGTGTCATAAATTGATGTGAATCAAATTGCGTAAATATTTCGGTGTTATAAAAAATAGTTACGTCATAAAAAGCAACACACGGATATTCACAACAAGGATATACAAAAAAAAGGTGTTTGGAGGGAAATATGACAATGCATCCTTGATGTGTATCAATATTTTTGACCGTTAGATTGTTATCGTGCAGGTTAGTAATACTTCAACAGGAAATATCAAAATAAAGACAAATATAACACAAAAAAACAAGAGAAAAAAAGAGATATCGATACATCATAAGTTCACGCACTTATTGACAAATTTAACATGAAGAACTCAGATGATACTACAACTTACACATCCTCTTGTTTTATTTTGTCTATGATGTCATACAGGCAGTGCTCGATGCCGTAGTCAAGTCGATCTACAATCTGATTGGTGATGTATGACACGACGTCATCACTGGTCTGAAATCATTCCAACAATATTTTATTAAGTGTAACAGCATTTTGCAAACGTAATGAATACCTCATATTTATCTTTTTCTTTTTCAATTTCCATTGAGTGAAAGCGTCACTCTATCCCTGAATTAATGCATTGTCCACACGTATACAGAGGAGTGGGGTTGAAAAGCCCCGGTTTAATTGGGTTAGTGACATTTCCTTCTTTAGATCTCATCTGTTCATTGCTCTTGTTTGGAGTTTACGGCTTTTTATTGTTTAAAAGAACAATATTTGCACCGATAAAGTGTAATGGACATGCAGTCGACTGCGCATGTCAGAGAATTAATGAAAATGGTCGATAGCATAAAAAGCACCTACCATTTTGATTTTGTCTTTAACCTTTTTCTCCAGACCGCCGTTGATAAGACGAGCACTCCTGATCCTGGTGAACTCTTTTTGTGTCTGATCACGCTTCCTCTGTATGGACGACATCACTCTGGGCTTGATAGATGGACCATGAAGACGATACATTATGGCCGTCAATTTCTTCTCGTACTTAATGCTTGCCTGTGCAAAATAGATTGTTGTTACACAGAATATTTTCAAAGAGCGGTCATTTCGTAGAATGTTTGTTTACATGCAGAGACAGGATCATTTTGAGGCGGGTCTCCTTGTAGAAGATGGTGGCGACCTCTTTGAACAACATAAGAGAGTAGTTAGATAGCGTGGTTATGTTGTAGCAACTTATTTCCATTGACCTATGAAATATCGTCTCGAACATACCGTATTATCCCCCCAAACGGCCTGCTCCATTACTTTTGTCAAATATATTTCGATGATTCTTTTAACAATATGAATCATTGCCCATATCTTTATATGTCCAAAACAAGGATAGCATGGACGCAAACATTTCATTGGTCGTCCATAACACCATGCCGCAGTGATACAACAGTTTCTCTATGTTTGCACAGTTTGCATAAAAGACGTGAGATCCTTGTAAACCCACTTAATACTTATTATTTCGTATGTATCCAACGCATGCTCTTCAGGAACCTGTTTAATAATGCTTGCGCTTTTAAAGCTGTCTCTTCAAATTCCACCCGATCCAAAGATGAGGTCATGTTGTACGCATGTTCAAAGACTATATATAAAACTGAAACAATAGATGCATTATGTGCAGTTGAATCTTATTCCAGACTGGCAGATAGAAGTAAGTCAGAAACTTTCTGGATTAGCGCTTTATCTAATCGTGAGTATAAATAAACAGAACCCCCAACGTCACGGATAGGTTTTAGTCAGAAACAGATGTTACCTGTCTGTATATCTCATCAGCTGCTAAAATTTGCTTGTGTTTCTTGATCAAATGTTTCAGCAATGTCACCTTGGTCTTCATTTCCTTTACTGTGACTTTGTTGAACCTTGAATTGAGAACAGAACAGTGCGTATAACTCTGAGGCACCAACAAAGACCAACGCCTGGTCGACATCGACTTATGTAACCTCACCAGTGATAACGACTTCGCACAGTCTAATAAGTATCCGAGAAAGTATTCCGAATGGATATCTCATTAAAATAACAAATAATATAAAGTAGAATGAGTGTCCAAAAAAGGAGATATGGTCGGAAATCGGAAGCATGATATTACATTAGAAACGACGTCAAAAATAAATTCTTACACACTAGGACTTAATCGTGCCTGTATAATATGTGGTTCCCTCCTTTACATGTAGAATTCAATGTAAAAAACATTTCATTATGTCTATCCTAATTTAAGTACTGTTAGCAGTGACTAGGAGCCCCTATGGTGTGAGAGGGGTCCGACTCTCCTGTCACGACATTAATCACATAGTATTGATTTCACTGTCAAAATGTACTCTTTATTATGTCATACATATGCTCACTTAAATGTGTTTGTCCAAGAAATGTTTGTAAACATTCGTAAACCTTGTCAATCATAGCGCTTACTGATTATTGGTCCGGGAATTCTTATTACTTGCTTATAGCCGAGTTCAATATTTCCTTTTGAATAGGTAATTATAAAAACTGAGCTGTAAATTACAATTAGGTCCGTGCACAGATTTATAACGTATGGCGATCATTGTATAAATTTAACCTCATGTTTCAGATGATTTGATCAGGTTACAACTCACGTTTCAAACTTCAGAAGATCTTCTTTCTGTAGTCGGGTAAGTTTTGGTAACTCGTCTGTTCGGCAAGGGCATGACAGACCGTCGGATACAAGTGCCAAAGTTACTTTCTCCAATATGTCAAATAGGCCATCAAAATCTATAGAAAGATGAGACAGACCAACAAAATCTAATAAAATGTGAAACAAGCTGTCAAATTCCAAAAGTAATGTGATAGAGATCATTAAAAATCTAAAGAAATTTTAAATAGACCATCAAAATATAGAGAAATATGAAGCCAACCATCAAAATATAGAGAAATGTGAAACCAACCATCAAAAGATAGAGAAACGTGAAACCAACCATAAAAATAAAGAGAATTGTGAAACCAACCATCAAAATTAGAGAAACGTGAAACCAGCCATCAAAATATAGAGAAATGTGAAACCAGCCATCAAAACATAGAGAAATGTGAAACCAACCATCAAAATATAGAGAATTGTGAAACCAATCATCAAAATATAGAGAAATGTGAAACCAATCATCAAAATATAGAGAAATGTGAAACAAGCCATCAAAATATAGAGAAATGTGAAACAAGCCATCAAAATATAGAGAATTGTGAAACCAACCATCAGACTATAGAGAAACGTGAAACCAACCATCAAACTATAGAGAAATGTGAAATCAACCATCAAAATATAGAGAATTGTGAAACCAGCCATCAAAGTATAGAGAAATGTGAAACCAACCATCAAACTATTGAGAAATGTGAAACCAACCATCAAACTATTGAGAAATGTGAAACCAACCATCAAACTATTGAGAAATGTGAAACCAACCATCAAAATATAGGGAAGTGTCAAAATGGGCAAAAATGTGCAGAAAATGTTCAGTATTAAAAGCAAATGTGAAACAGACCTTCAAAATATCTAGAACTGTGAAGGTGGCCGTGAAAGTTTTACACGTCTAAATCAAGAGAAAACGCGTAAAAGATCGTCCAGGTTCACAGGTTTCAAGTTTCTTTCACGGATGGCCGAATCAGTAGATTTGTACATCGTAGATATACATTGATAATACAGTTACATTGTATATATATCATTTAAGAAACTACAATACAGATTGGCTCATCAATAATTGATAATAAATACACATTGATAATACAGTTGCATTGTATATATATCATTAAAGAAACTACAATACAGATTGGCTCATCAATAATTGATACTATATATACTTTGGTAGTAACAATGCAGTTACATTGTATATATATATATATATATATATATATATATCATTAAAGAAATTACAATTTCCCGTTGGCGGACCCCGATATTACATACAAAGAAATCTGATTAGTCTTGAGAGTGTTTGACACAAGATTTTGCATCATAATATAAATTATACATAACATTGAATATTTTCTTATGGTTTTGTTTTACTGTATTTTCCTCCAAAGTCCAATTCTCCAAACAATATCAAAAGCTTGAAAATGTGACTGATATCATCCAAATTATCATTTAAATGTGGATAATACCGTCCAAATCAAAAGCGATGTCAAAAGATCGTCCAAATTTACAAAAAAAAAAAAAAAAGTGCAAAGATTGTTTACAGAAATATAACTAATACCGTCCAAACTTTTTAGAAACGTGATTAAGAACGTGCAGACCAAGTGAAAAGTGAAAATGATCGTTATTATCTATAGTAAATGAGGTAGAATGAACAGAGCCTGATGCAGGATATCTGCAAATATAATCTACAGAATGAACACTTGTATATTGATAACAAAGTTCGATTTTGATTTATTGTAAATGTTTAAAGAACAGTAAAATGGCTAATGTCCACAACATACAATTCATACAAGATGTCTTACCGAGTGTTTTAGTAGCCATCTCCATCATGACAGTACGACAAACAGCCAACATCGAAGTATTTACAAAGCATCTGAAACCCTCATCTGTGTCAGAAATGGCTTCGGTCAAGGAAACGAACCTATCGATGCTGAAAATATCAAAGAAATGCATAATTAAAACTTTAAATGAAACAGAGAACAGGAAACTGGGAAACGCCTGCTGAAGTGAAAAGGCATCAAAGTCTTAAATAAAATTGGCCTCATCTTAATCCTGATTAGGCGTCTCTTTTCGTTTTGGAGTTTAAGTCTACAGCTTGACAAAAATGAGATGTGGAATTCCACAAGGTTACACGGGGAAAAAAGTTGACAAAGAAAAGGACTTGTTTGGTTTTTTTTTCTATTTTCTTATATATTTCTCATTTATACACACACTGGTAACGGGTCATATCTAGAAGAAAATTTCATTAACCATGCGCCAATACAAAGAGCCAACTGAACGAATATACTCGCACACAACAAAAACAACAAAAAAAAAAAAAAAAAAAAACCAAATTAACGTTGTGACGTTCTGTCAAAATCCCTCATCAAGGAATGGAGCAACCTGGGCGCTAACAAGGATTATTTTATCTTTTTTTTTTCAATAATCGTGTAACCTTGACCTTGATCCTATAACTTTGAAATTCCTTCAAATGAATGTACAGGTTGATCAGAATCCTTCAAGGAATGTAGCCGCTTGAGTGCTGACAATGATTTTTCAAAATATTCGAGATATCACGTCCAGGAACCTCCTTATATCCCAACATCTGTCGCGAGGGGATAAGAGCGTCGACATTTATGATATATGACCTTATATAGAAATGAGAACAAAATTGCAAGACATAACGAAAAAGACTTAGAAGTTCCGCATATCAGATTCTGAGGTGATGTGTAGGAATATTGGCAGAAGAAGGATCTAAAGCTGAAGTGTTAGAGACAGAACTTTCAATTTACACGAGTACTTAATCAGAGACAGAACTTTCACAGTTCACTAGAATACTTAATCAGAGACAGAACTTTCACATTTCACTAGAATACTTGATCAGAGGCAGAACTTTCACAGTTCACTAGAGTATTTAATCAGAGACAGAACTTTCCCAGTTCACTAGAATACTTGATCAGAGACAGAACTTTCACAGTTCACTAGAATACTTGATCAGATCAGTTCACTAGAATACTTGATCAGAGACAGAACTTTCACAGTTCACTAGAATACTTAATCAGAGACAGGACTTCCACAGTTCACTAGAATACTTGATCAGAGACAGAACTTTCACAGTTCACTAGAATACTTGATCAGAGACAGGACTTCCACAGTTCACTAGAATACTTGATCAGAGACAGGACTTTCACAGTTCACTAGAATACTTGATCAGAGACAGAATTTTCCCAGTTCACTAGAATACTTGATCAGAGACAGATACTTTCACAGTTCACTAGAATACTTTACTTTCACATCAGAGACAGAACTTTCACAGTTCACTAGAATACTTGATCAGAGACAGACTTCCACAGTTCACTAGAATACTTGATCAGAGACAGAACTTTCACAGTTCACTAGAATACTTGATCAGAGACAGAACTTTCACAGTTCACTAGAATACTTGATCAGAGACAGAACTTTCACAGTTCACTAGAATACTTGATCAGAGACAGAACTTTCACAGTTCACTAGAATACTTAATCAGAGACAGAACTTTCACAGTTCACTAGAATACTTGATCAGAACTTTCACAGACAGAAACTTGATTTCACAGTTCACTAGAATACTTAATCAGAGACAGAACTTTCACAGTTCACTAGAATACTTGATCAGAGACAGAACTTTCACAGTTCACTAGAATACTTGATCAGAGACAGAACTTTCACAGTTCACTAGAATACTTGATCAGAGACAGAACTTTCACAGTTCACTAGAATACTTGATCAGAGACAGAATTTTCCCAGTTCACTAGAATACTTGATCAGAGACAGAACTTCCACAGTTCACTAGAATACTTGATCAGACTTTCACAGACAGAAACTTGATTTCACAGTTCACTAGAATACTTGATCAGAGACAGAACTTTCACAGTTCACTAGAATACTTGATTTCACAGTTCACTAGAATACTTGATCAGAGACAGAACTTTCACAGTTCACTAGAATACTTGATCAGAGACAGAACTTTCACAGTTCACTAGAAGAACTTTCACAGTTCACTAGAATACTTGATCAGAGACAGGACTTCACAGTTCACTAGAATACAGAACTTTCACATTTCACTAGAATTGATCAGAGACAGGACTTAATCAGAGACCAGTTCACTAGAATACTTAATCAGAGACAGAACTTTCACATTTCACTAGAATACTTGATCAGAGACAGAACTTTCACAGTTCACTAGAGTATTTAATCAGAGACAGAACTTTCACAGTTCACTAGAATACTTAATCAGAGACAGGACTTCCACAGTTCACTAGAATACTTGATCAGAGACAGAACTTTCACAGTTCACTAGAATACTTGATCAGAGACAGAACTTTCACAGTTCACTAGAATACTTGATCAGAGACAGAACTTTCACAGTTCACTAGAATACTTGATCAGAGACAGAACTTTCACAGTTCACTAGAATACTTGAATATCACAGACAGAACTTTCACAGTTCACTAGAGTATTTAATCAGAGACAGAACTTTCACAGTTCACTAGAATACTTGATCAGAGGCAGAACTTTCACAGTTCACTAGAATACTTGATCAGTGACAGAACTTTCCCAGTTCACTAGAATACTTAATCAGAGACAGAACTTTCACATTTCACTAGAATACTTGATCAGAGGCAGAACTTTCACAGTTCACTAGAGTATTTAATCAGAGACAGAACTTTCCCAGTTCACTAGAATACTTGATCAGAGACAGAACTTTCACAGTTCACTAGAATACTTGATCAGAGACAGAACTTTCACAGTTCACTAGAATACTTGATCAGAGACAGAACTTTCACAGTTCACTAGAATACTTGATCAGAGACAGAACTTTCACAGTTCACTAGAATACTTGATCAGAGACAGAACTTCCACAGTTCACTAGAATACTTCATCAGAGACAGAACTTCCACAGTTCACTAGAAAACTTAATCAGAGACAGAACTTCCACAGTTCACTAGAATACTTGATCAGAGACAGAATTTTCCCAGTTCACTAGAATACTTGATCAGAGACAGAACTTTCACAGTTCACTAGAATACTTGATCAGAGACAGAACTTTCACAGTTCACTAGAATACTTGATCAGAGACAGAACTTTCACAGTTCACTAGAATACTTGATCAGAGACAGGACTTCCACAGTTCACTAGAATACTTGATCAGAGACAGAACTTTCACAGTTCACTAGAATACTTGATCAGAGACAGGACTTCCACAGTTCACTAGAATACTTGATCAGAGACAGAACTTTCACAGTTCACTAGAATACTTGATCAGAGACAGAACTTTCACATTTCACTAGAATACTTGATCAGAGACAGAACTTTCACAGTTCACTAGAGTATTTAATCAGAGACAGAACTTTCCCAGTTCACTAGAATACTTAATCAGAGACAGGACTTCCACAGTTCACTAGAATACTTGATCAGAGACAGAACTTTCACAGTTCACTAGAATACTTGATCAGAGACAGAACTTTCACAGTTCACTAGAATACTTGATCAGAGACAGAACTTTCACAGTTCACTAGAATACTTGATCAGAGACAGAACTTTCACAGTTCACTAGAATACTTGATCAGAGACAGAACTTTCACAGTTCACTAGAATACTTGATCAGAGACAGGACTTCCACAGTTCACTAGAATACTTGATCAGTGACAGAACTTTCACAGTTCACTAGAATACTTGATCAGAGACAGAACTTTCACAGTTCACTAGAATACTTAATCAGATGGTGTAATAATAATCGACTGGCAAAAGTTAATAAAACCAGCAAGAGAATATCAACATGTCAACTAAATCATAATCCAAAGTCAAATTCAACACCAGAGGAAAATATTGAAAAGATGTACATGGAGACTCGTGGGAAAGTACAAGGACACTAAGACCAGATGTCATCGACGACACCCGCTTTGTAAACCTTGGTCAATCCAAGTAAGTAATGTCACGACAATGGAACCAACAGGCAAACTAACATCAAACACACATTCATCTCCATACCGCACAAAGAAATAAAATATGTCTCAACGAGATCACTATGGCGACCATAAAACTTCCCCAAAAATGTTCATATAATTCCATACTTTGAAACCCTCTGTTGCGAGTTTGTCCGTCACATGACTACTTTTTGCACGAATGTCGTCATAATGGAAACAGGCCCTTAATATCGAATACATGTTAACAACATAGGTTGGTATGAAGGGATGTTACAATCAAGAAATGTAAACTTCACAATAGAGATAATTAAAGCATCACGTTTATCTTAAAACTTGGTAGAAATGACTTCAAAATAGCCAAAGGAAAAACTATTTGGAGTGTAACCAAAAATTTCAGTATTTACTAAAAACCTAAAATCATACCTATGATGAAATGAAAAGAAAATGATTGGAATTAGTCGGGTAAAATGCAAAAAATCCGGAACGACTTGTTAATTTTGCCCAAGAACCGAGCTATACTTCAATCGTGCATATATGTTGCTTGCTACCAGTTGTGAAAGTATATATTTAAAGCAAACGGACAGACACCACATTTCAAAAAATGAAGATATTTAAGTACAGGAATTATATAGCCTCTGCCTTTAGTAGACAGTACATCGGATTCAATGTTCGTTATGACACACAACCATAACAATAATCATGGGGAAATGCAATATCTCTTTAAATGGAAAACACAAAGACTGATAAAGCTTGTTTTACACTCCGATTAGTGATGAAAAACGCAACTCAGTTAATGATGATGTTTTGCAATAACGTAGTGCCATTTCTAATTTTAAACATGGTATTTTCGATGCGACAATGAAAAAGAAAAACGTATAATGGGCCATCATTGTTTGGAATTAGAGAGACGTACCTGATGGTAATTATTGCCATTTCAGGGAAAGTCACGCCGAGTTACCAGTATCAGGGTTATATTCCTGTTGGTAATTGGTGTCATTTCAGTTGAAGACACGCCAAGTTAATTGGCATCAGCGATGGTCCTGTTTATGATTATTGTCATGTCCAAGTTATCACAAGATGATGTGTGTATACATGATCTACATGGGAAACCCTGTCTATTACCTTCCTGATAAGATATGTGACAATACTTACGTTTTTCTGGTGAGGCGCGCGATTCTGGGGATGTTTGGAATCAATATGTCTTCCATTATTATCAACAAATCGTCAAAACATTAGCAGGTCACGGGCGCTAGATCGCAACTTACACTACTAAGTATGTTGTCGCTAGGAAGATACGAAAAGTGACGTAATAGTTATCATGACGTCATAATACGGTTGAGGTAAATTTATAGAACAAAGCAGAGAGGCAGTCAGCATTCCAGGGCGGTGTCCGAAGGTTTCAATTTTCGGTTTTAAATTCCCTGTATATTTTACATATAGGTTATATAATTATATATGATTATTAAATGGTTCACGACTAATCGTCATGGGGGTCACGTGGTAGTTGAAATAAATGTGTTATATCAACTGTAATCTCATCATACCGTTTTTCAAATTAGTTCGTTGCATACTGTTCATTACGATCTGTTCCGGGTACGATTTCTCCTTATCCTTCCGTGGATCGGGCCTCAATCAGAAACTGAACGTCTCTCAACATGAAGGTCGGTAGTTAGACCTAAGAACGTGACTTAAAGAGTTTGACTTAATAAATCAATAACTTGAACTCCTTTATCGCGAGCTTGAATCAATATGCCAGGAACCCGGCCACATTTACCAGGAGCCTGACTTAATTTACCAGGAGCCCGGCCACATTTACCAGGAGCCTGACTTAATTTACCAAGAACTCAGCCACATTTACCAGGAACCTGACTTAATTTACCAGGAACTCGGCCACATTTACCAGGAACCTGACTTAATTTACCAGGAACTCGGCCACATTTACCAGGAGCCTAACTTAATTTACCAGGAACCCGTCCACATTTACCAGGAGCATGACTTAATTTACCAGGAACCCGGCCACATTTACCATGACCTTGATTTTATTTACCAGGAACTCAGCCACATTTACTAGGAACCTGACTTAATTTACCAGGAACTCGGCCACACTTACCAGGAGCCTGACTTAATTTACCAGGAACTCGGCCACATTTACCCGGAACCTGACTTAATTTACCAGGAACCCGGCCACATTTACTATCACATCATACTTAAGAACTTGACTTAAGGAGTTTGACTAAATAAATCCAGAACTTAGACTCCTTTATACTTAGTTTTCCTGGCACCCGGCCACATTTACCAGGAGCCTGACTTTATTTACCAGGAATTCCCCTCATTTTCCAGGAGTTTGACTTATTTTTCCTGGCACCTGGCCACATTTACCAGGAGACTGACTTAATTTACCAGGAACTCGGCCACGTTTACCAGGGACCTGACTTAATTTACCTGGAACTCAACCACATTTACCAGGAACCTGACTTAATTTACCAGGAACCCGGCCACATTTACTATCACATCATACTTAAGAACTTGACTTAAGGAGTTTGACTAAATAAATCCAGAACTTAGACTCCTTTATACTTAGTTTTCCTGGCACCCGGCCACATTTACCAGGAACCTGACTTAATTTACCAGGAACTCGGCCACATTTACCAGGAACCTGACTTAATTTACCAGGAACTCGGCCACATTTACCCGGAACCTGACTTAATTCACCAGGAATTCGGCCACATTTACCCGGAACCTGACTTAATTTACCAGGAACTCGGCCACATTTACCAGGAACCTGACTTAATTTACCAGGAACTCGGCCACATTTACCCGGAACCTGACTTAATTTACCAGGAACTCGGCCACATTTACCCGGAACCTGACTTAATTTACCAGGAATTCGGCCACATTTACCAGGGACCTGACTTAATTTACCAGGAATTCGGCCTAATTTACAAAGAGCTTGGCCATATTTCGTAATAACGGATTATACCTCACTTCTTGTACATTTTTTCCAACTGTATTGAACTCGTTGCCATGTTATGGCTACTACTGTCGTATTTTTCGAAAAATCCAAGTTAATTGGCATCAGCGATGGTCCTGTTTATGATTATTGTCATGTCCAAGTTATCACAAGATGATGTGTGTATACATGATCTTCATGGGAAACCCTGTCTATTACCTTCCTGATAAGATATGTAACAATACTTACGTTTTTCTGGTGAGGCGCGCGATTCTGGGGATGTTTGGAATCAATATGTCTTCCATTATTATCAACAAATCGTCAAAACATTAGCAGGTCACGGGCGCTAGATCGCAACTTACACTACTAAGTATGCTGTCGCTAGGAAGATACGAAAAGTGACGTAATAATTATCATGACGTCATAATACGGTTGAGGTAAATTTATAGAACAAAGCAGAGAGGCAGTCAGCATTCCGGGGCGGTGTCCGAGGGTTTCAATTTTCGGTTTTAAATTCCCTGTATATTTTACATATAGGTTATATAATTATATATGATTATTAAATGGTTCACGACTAATCGTCATGGTGATCACGTGGTAGTTGAAATAAATGTGTTATATAAACTGTAATCTCATCATACCGTTTTTCAAATTAGTTCGTTGCATACTGTTCATTACGATCTGTTCCGGGTACGATTTCTCCTTATCCTTCCGTGGATTGGGCCTCAATCAGAAACTAAACGTCTCTCAACATGAAGGTCGGTAGTTAGACCTAAGAAATTGACTTAAGGAGTTTGACTTAATAAATCAATAACTTGAACTCCTTTACCGCGAGCTTGAATCAATATGCCAGGAACCCGGCCACATTTACCAGGAGCCTGACTGAATTTACCAGGAACCCGGCCACATTTACCAGGAGCCTGACTTAATTTACCAGGATACCGGCCACATTTACCAGGATCCTCACTTAATTTACCAGGAAACCGGCCACATTTACCAGGAGCCTGACTTAATTTACCAGGAAAACCGGCCACATTTACCAGGAGCATGACTTAATTTACCAGGAACTCAGCCATATTTACCAGGAGCCTGACATAATTTACCAGGATCCCGGCCACATTTACCAGGATCCTCACTTAATTTACCAGGAAACCGGCAACATTTACCAGGAGCCTGACTTAATTTACCAGGAAACCGGCCACATTTACCAGGAGCCTGACTTAATTTACCAGGAAACCGGCCACATTTACCAGGAACCTGACTTAATTTACCAGGAACTCAGTCACATTTACCAGGAACCTGACTTAATTTACCAGGAACTCAGCCACATTTACTAGGAACCTGACTTAATTTACCAGGAACTCGGCCACACTTACCAGGAGCCTGACTTAATTTACCAGGAACTCGGCCACACTTACCAGGAGCCTGACTTAATTTACCAGGAACTCGGCCACATTTACCAGGAGCCTGACTTAATTTACCAGGAAGCTGGCCACATTTACCATGACCTTGATTTTTTTTACCACGAACGCAGCCATATTTACTAGGAACCTGACTTAATTTACCAGGAACTCGGCCACATTTAACAGGAACCTGACTTAATTTACCAGGAACTCGGCCACACTTACCAAGACCTTGACTTAATTTACCAGGAACTCAGCCACATTTACCAGGACCTTGACTTAATTTACCAGGAACTCAGCCACATTTACTAGGAACCTGACTTAATTTACAAGGAATTCAGCCACATTTACCAGGAACCTGACTTAATTTACCAGGAACTCGGCCACATTTAATTTACCAGGAATTCGGCCACATTTACCAGGGACCTGACTTAATTTACCAGGAACTAATTTACAAAGAGCTTGGCCATATTTCGTAATAACGGATTATACCCACTTCTTGTACATTTTTTCCAACTGTATTGAACTCGTTGCCATGTTATGGCTACTACCGTATTTTTGAAAAATCCAAGTTAATTGGCATCAGCGATGGTCCTGATTATGATTATTGTCATGTCCAAGTTATCACAAGATGATGTGTGTATACATGATCTTCATGGGAAACCCTCTATTACCTTCCAGATATGTAACAATACTTACGTTTTTTGGTGACTGGAATCAATATGCATTATTATCAACAAATTTACGGGCGCTAGATCGCAACTTACACTACTAAGTATGCTGTCGCTAGGAAGATACCGTAATAATTATCATGTCATAATACGGTTGAGGTAAATTTTACAAAGCAGAGAGGACCTCAATTTTCGGCCATATTTTACAGGAACCTGACATGAAGGTCGGTAGTTAGACCTAAGAAATTGACTTAAGGAGTTTGACTTAATAAATCAATAACTTGAACTCCTTTACCGCGAGCTTGAATCAATATGCCAGGAACCCGGCCACATTTACCAGGAGCCTGACTGAATTTACCAGGAACCCGGCCACATTTACCCTACCGGCCACATTTACCAGGATCCTCACTTAATTTACCAGGAAACCGGCCACATTTACCAGGAGCCTGACTTAATTTACCAGGAAAACCGGCCAATTTGACATTTACCAGGCCACATTTACCAGGAGCCTGACTTAATTTAACTCGGCCACATTTCGGCCACATTTACCAGGAGCCTGACTTAATTTACCAGGAACTCAGCCACATTTACCAGGACCTTGACTTAATTTACCAGGAACTCAGCCACATTTACTAGGAACCTGACTTAATTTACAAGGAATTCAGCCACATTTACCAGGAACGTGACTTAATTTACCAGGAACTCAGCCATATTTACCAGGATCCTCACTTAATTTACCAGGAACTCGGCCACATTTACCCGGAACCTGACTTAATTTACCAGGAACCCGGCCACATTTACCAGGAGCCTGACTTAATTTACCAGGAACTCGGCCACATTTACCCGGAACCTGACTTAATTTACCAGGAACTCGGCCACATTTACCAAGACCTTGACTTAATTTACCAGGAACTCAGCCATATTTACCAGGAGCCTTACTTAATTTACCAGGAACTCGGCCACATTTACCAGGAGCCTGACTTAATTTACCAGGAAGCTGGCCACATTTACCATGACCTTGATTTTTTTACCAGGAACTCAGCCATATTTACTAGGAACCTGACTTAATTTACCAGGAACTCGGCCACATTTAACAGGAACCTGACTTAATTTACCAGGAACTCGGCCACATTTACCAGGATCCTCACTTAATTTACCAGGAACTCGGCCATATTTACCCGGAACCTGACTTAATTTACCAGGAACTCGGCCACATTTACCAGGAGCCTGACTTAATTTACCAGGAACTTGGCCACATTTACCCGGAACCTGACTTAATTTACCAGGAACCCGGCCACATTTACTATCACATCATACCTAAGAACTTGACTTAAGGAGTTTGACTAAATAAATCCAGAACTTAGACTCCTTTATACTTAGTTTTCCTGGCACCCGGCCACATTTACCAGGAGCCTGACTTAATTTACCAGGAATTCCCCTCATTTTCCAGGAGTTTGACATAATTTATCAGGAAATCGGCCTGATTTTACAGGACTTGACTTAATTTTCCAGCGTACTAGGACTCGTTTACCAGGAACCCTTATCTATGGTTTAATTTAACAGTATATCGCCCTCATTTACCAGGATCCTGATTTAATTCAAAAGTAACTCGGCTTCAATTTCCATGAGCTTGACTTAATTTACCATGGTATATTCTGCCTAATATACCATTCAGGCATTTCGTAATAACGGATTATACCCTCACTTCTTGTACATTTTTTCCAACTGTATTGAACTCGTTGCCATGTTATGGCTACTTATGTCTGATCTTTCCAACATGTGCTCATTGCGGTATTATTAATGGGTATGTAAGACTATGTGAGAAAAAAAAATGTATTCGTAGCAGAGCGAGGTTTCGATCCTCGGACCTCTGGGTTATGGGCCCAGCACGCTTCCACTGCGCCACTCTGCTGTACATCCCACTCAAAGAAATATGTCCCCTATAGCGATTAACGAGTGATTGCATCAGAAAACATAGATAAGAGTTGTCTCCCTTAGCCCAGGAAGAAAAAGGGCCTTAAATAAATTGCTGACAAGTCCAAGGAGGACGATTTACACAGCTGTACAATGCAGTTTATTTGATTTAAACATATTTTATTGCAACACATATTGCGATGGGATTGGGCACAAGTTTTAACAATTTCTATAAAGCCCTTGTCATTACACAGAAATTTCGATAGTATTAAGAGACCTGCAAGAATAACTCATAGTTGCAATTTAATTGATTATTTAGACCAATTGTATCTAATTGTTAATTTGTATCGAAATGTGATTTTCTAGTGTCTTTTGTACAATTTTAAAATATAAGGGTTGAACTGAAATAATATAATATTCGTATTTTGAACTAAAATAAAATAAAATAAAATACGTAAAATATACGAATTATTGTTCTTTCCCTTCCTCCATCTTTGCTTCCAAAATCAAATATTCAATATCATTGTCGACGGATTTCATGGGGGTTGTGCTTTGTTTATTTGTTTATCTTTTATTATTGTAGTAGGAATAGTAGTATTTTGTGTGGAAGGTATTTGTATTTGCCCCAACAACATTTTAGTGATTGTTTAAAAGAAGAATGTACAAAAAATAGTATATGGTAGCAGAGCGAGGTTTCGATCCTCGGACCTCTGGGTTATGGGCCCAGCACGCTTCCACTGCGCCACTCTGCTATATGTCCTTATATGGTAAATTTGCTTTTCCAATTCTTAGCCGATTTATTCCCCTTAGCCCATGTGAAAAACTAAAAGACGGAATGCACTATTCATCGTCAACACACTTTATCCAACCTCCAATACCGTATCCCTACACTCACACAACACCTCATCCTCCCTCACACACACACACAAACAGACACACACACAGAGATAACTCTGCAGTATTGTGGTAATTTGTAATATTTGTATGTGGGAGTAGAGACATTTGGAATAAACTGAGTTTGCTCTTAATTATCTTTCTGACACATGTTTATCTCTGAGTATTACATGATTTTTTTTCGCGTTAACCTTTCATCTGGAGCAAATATTGCATATTTTCTCGTCTTTTCCTCCAGGATGGAAAAAAATATGCAATGGTTAGCAGAGCGAGGTTTCGATCCTCGGACCTCTGGGTTATGGGCCCAGCACGCTTCCACTGCGCCACTCTGCTATACGTTGTCCTTTGAAATATCCAATATATGTATCGAACTCATCGACTGATTGCATCAGAAAATAATTATGTGACTGGAATATTGTGCGAGTTATTTCCCTTTACACAAAACTGTCAATCATTGATAACCTGTATTATTTATTCACATGTACTGTTATAATTGACATATTTGGTTTTGGTTTGTTACATTGAAAAAAATGCTTAGGAAATAGATACCAACATATCTCGTTTTAGTTCAATTATAATATAAATTAATTAATATAAACTGCATTAGTCCGAAACATCGATTAGGCATTTAACAGCTAATTATACTACAATCAAATCAAGTTGTTATCTTTTACATTTCATTTTTAAAGACTCCATTTTATCATCCGGTCCTTGGAGTAAAGAAACTTTATTTCGTGGTATTTAACTACTGAACATTGAATGGTGAGTTCAGAACTCCTATCGATGAAATTTAAGAATTACATTTTGAGATCTGTCTGTCTGTTTTCTATATTAGAATCTTTGGTTTTAGGGCCCAGGACGCCATTACTGTACCAAATATAGGACATTTAACTAACTAAATATATAGATGACTAATCCTTGCTAACAATGAGACGACCAGCACTCTTGTTCGAAGTCAGTGCTTATTACAGGACGCTAATGAACACTGCACAACAATAGATACATGTGAGATGGCCAGCACATTTTTGCGGCTTAGTGAAAATGGTTGGCTAATATTATGGATTGAAAAGTAAACGAAAAACTAGTGTAGTTATGACTAAATGACATGCGCATTAAAATTGATCGATGATCGAAATAACACTGGACCCTGCATTATTAGTCTTTCCACGGACTTATATACATGTATATAAGTCCGTGGTCTTTCTATCTTTGTACCTCGGTTAGAAGAAAATACCTGTATAACGGTATATACAAGTGACAAGTCCGAATGTTATCGGCTATAAGCTCAATGTAAGATTTTACCCAAGTACATATTATGTATTTACTAAAGGACAGAAAAATAAGAGTAATACAAGGTAATGACGATAAAATTTCCTTTCTAACGGCACGAGATTTAAAACAATTCATTGCCGAGACAAAAAGATATGTCCACTTAATGTTTACATATCTATTGAGTGTCTACTCCAAGTCTGGTCACGAGTGCATGACCGTTACTTTGTAAACAACACGATTGAAAATACAATTTTATATAGCAATTCAATATGTATTTGGTAGATCTCCACGTGTCCAACTTGTATATTTATGGTTTGATTAGGAAATACACTTAGCTGTACTCATACATTTATGGTTTGATTAGGAAATACACTTAGCTGTACTCATACATTTATAAAATAAACCATATTTCACATTTATCTACAAGTCATTTCTAAATCTGTATCAGCCACGATAGAATTATACTTCAGTGCGATAGAACACACTACGTGAACTCAAATGTACGATAGCATATTGTGTCCAATTATCGTATCGTGTGCACATCGTACATGGCCTCATGGTGAAACGTTGTGCTATCCAGCAAATGTAGTTACAAAGATATAAACTACTATCAGAAAAAAGGTCTTTCTATTTCCAAACAATATCAAATTGTATTAAATCTTTATTCCACTTTTAACATGATGCAGGATGTACAGAATCGAATTTTTGAAGCATTAAAACAAAGGTGTAACACTTCTGTGCTATCCCATTCTTTGAAACAGCGTGCTTGTTTCCTTCTGGCCTAGTCCCCTCTGTGAAAACAGTGTGTATGTTTCCCGCTATCCCGGTCCCCTCCGTTAAAATCCTGGTTTCCATCTGTCATGTTCCCTCTGTTAAACCTTATGTCTGCTTCTTTCTGCCTCGTTCCCCTGCGGTAAAATAACTGTTGTCATTCTGCGTGATGTCTAGCATGCCAAAGGGCTAATTTCCTTATAACTATTTTTAGACAACTTATACAAACGGCCGTGACTCAGTGCAATACTACCATGAATCGATTTTGCAATCAGAGTTACCTCCCCTCAAACATGACAGCTGACGATGACATCATAGAAAAACATGGACGACGGCTGCACAAACTGATACTCAGTCGAGGTAAGGATGGACATAGCGTATTCCTGGGGTGTAGATTTTCTCGCTAATAATCATAATTGAAACATTTTATACTTCACCAGATTAAAGACGATTTCATAGTTGAAATTTAGTTTCATGGGGCAAAACTTGACATGTAAACAAAGGTTCAAAAACGAAACTTGATGTTATTGTAAGGTCCATTTACCTTTCCGATATCTGACACTTACTGTGAAATATAATGTTTTCCTTCTTTTGTAGACTGTTAGGGATACCTATATAATGCTTCTATTTTTATGTATAAGTATATGGCATTACGATATTTAAGATACAATGTCTGAACATATAGATCTACATTGTATGTGGAATGAAAAAAACCACTAACGTACTCGTGTAGTAGTTGGTCCAGTAATTTTCGTTTGATTTTTAAGGCGAGCCAAGAACTCATAATTCCAGATATCCCACTCTGTCCCCTTCTAACACAGATAGATAATCAGAACTCTTCTGACTAGTTGAAAGGCTGTAATAGTGAATTGAAAGTATGTTAGTTAAATACATATGTAAATGAGATGATAGATGTGTATGATTTTCCAGTTTAGTGACCTGCCTAACATACAACTGTACATTTCATTAACAACAATTGTGAACCAACTTCTGATTATCACTCATGATTGCTCTGATAGACATGTATGGAGGATGTTCAGTCAGATCTAGAAGACTGCTGAGTAAAACTTGTTGGTTGGACTTGCAGATGACCCAATATATTGTACCTGTTCATGTCTGAATGAAGGATCCTAGGTGTCAGAAAGGTCAAGAGTTAAATGCTGGACTAGGCTACTACCAAGACAGTTATAGATGGTCTAGATCAACCCAGAAAAACCCAACTGTTATATTAAATTATGAACAGCTATTTTGGTACTGTATTATTAATGGAATGATAAATTTTATTTTGTTATCAATTTGATAATACATACATAAATGTACATCATTTAATGTTTTTCTTTATTAATGCCAATTTTTTTCTTGCAGTTCATGTCACAAGTAATTGCATTTTTATTTTTGTAATTTCCCATATGATTTCAGACGTATCCGCCATGGCATACAGGGACTATAACCGAGAAAATAGCGAAGGTCAGTATGATTAATGGAGAAATTATTGATTATTTGTATTATTGTTATGAGGAACCTAGAAAATAGCAATGGTCATTATGATGTTCGTTGATGAAGTTGACAGAAATTAATATTCAAATTTTTGTCTGATTCAAAATTCAGATATTAGTTTTCATGTCAATTTTCATATGTTAAGCAGCTTGCACTTTAATAGGGTAGTTGTTGCACGCATGGGGCCTACAGTACTGTATCGGTAACATTTTGAAGAAGAGTGCCTACAGTAACTTGATGTTTTAGGGTGATGAACAGCTTTCATAGTGTTGTATTAACTTGTGTCTCATCCTGTTTCTAACATTAACACAAGAGGATTCAGTCAGACTAATTTTTTGTTTTTCAGTGTATGGTTCCTCAATATCATATCTAGATGGCGTGCCATTCAAGATCAGTTCAGCATTTAAACCACCGACAAAGGTATCACACATCAAATTTATGTATTTTTGCACCAGAGATTTACACTGGAATATTAAGTCAGATCTTGACACTGTAATACAGAATTTAAGTACACAGTAATATAATTTCATAGCCTTGGCAGGTATAATCGTTTAATAAAGATTTTTAATTAAACATTGTAACAAGTCCAATTATTCGTGATGTACAGAAGGCTGAGTGTGAGTTTTTATGTTAATATATCCTGTGAAACACATAACAGAGGATATTAAGGTGTATATCAGTGAAGGAGATTTTCTGGGCAACAACTTGAAAACCATTCAACTACCATGCATAATCTATTTACATTTTCTCTGTTGGAAACACAAAATTCACTGTTTGCATGCATTTCCAGGCTACATCTCTTCAAATGATATTTTACAATTATGTAACGCATAAAAAATGGCATTTCATAGTTTATTGATTTTTAAATGAATATGTTTATATATATAAGATCAACATATATGTCCATTTTTATATATACATATAAGGTCAACATGTCACTGAGTAAAGGTCATCAGGTCAAAGGTCAATCATTAAAGGGAAATATTTACTTGTGATATATAAATAAAATGAAATGGGAAATCGCTCAACTACATTTCAAGTTGGTGAAAGAAGGTCAGATTTTGAAATGTTTATTTATATTTCACAGGCAAATTATTTATGTAAACCTATAAAGCAATAAACAAAATTTCAGTATCAGTGTAACACTTAGGTTTAAAATCTGACACAATGTTGAGTATTTTCTGATTTGTTTCATTACTCTAGTTTGGATCCTGCTTTCTTCATGTAAAATCAAAAATCGAAAATATGAACATCTTTACTTTATTGTTTGCAGGTTCAGTTACCATCAACACTTATGAGGAAGACGAGAGTGTCTGCTACCAGACATGAAGAGGTAAGCACACTGTACAGATATTGCTCTATATGTCACCTTATTTAGCCCATGCCTGAAAATAGGCCCTCTTTTAACAATTGTATTATGTAGAATGGTAATCAAATACTATTTTTTGTCCTGTAATAGTCTGTGATTCTTTGATGTCCTTACTTTGTTTGGTGAGATAGAATAATGAAGGAATTCGTAGTAACAGATACTATTAACCTGAAATATTCTTACCTTTTGTTTCAATCATTGTCTCATTTCTGTGATTCCAGTACTCATTTGAGATAGAGGAAGGTGTTCTTCAATGGGCTCATGAAAGAGAGAGACAGCTGGAAGCTCAAAAACGGGAAGAGGAAGAACGTCAGAAAATAGCCAATCAGATCAGAGAGCAGGAGAACCAGAGGTCAAGTTCAGAGGACTCTGAGCCGGAAGATGAATGGTTGGCATCCCACCAGAGTTCTGGTCCCTCACTCTCCGGTGTAAAGCCCCCAGAGAGAGGTGCAGGCCAGGTTGTTACCGGTTCAGTGCCACTACACCCTGTGACAGCAGGACTGTCAGGAAGTGACATTCTGACTCCAACACCAATCCACACAGATGAAAACAACAGGCAATCTTATACAGCAAGTCAAAATGTTGATGTATCACAGTTTGAAAATGTGGATGATCCTTTTGACATGTTTGAACGCCAAACACTAAATGATATTGAGGAACTGAAGAGTGTGTTTTCTACCACAGACACTAACGCTAAGACAACAAATACAAATTCATTTACTGTTACAAATCAGTCCGAGGCTGAGAGTATATATGAAAATGTTAATTCAAACAATTCCGATAAAATTGATGTGTGCCGCCCACCCAATGGGTTGGTAGGTGGTTCACATGAATGTTCATCAGAGGCTGGGGAGTATGTGCAAGTAGATATAAAACAAGCAGAATGTGAAGGGAGAACAGCAACCTCAAAAATTGATCGTGGCAATCTGCCACCTTTGTCACAAACTAAAGAGTTTCTTTCAGGAAAAATTCCCCTACCGCCTATTGGAAGCAATGGTAAGCTGTCATTAGGACATGAAAGAGTGCATTCAGAATGTGAAGCTAGTTCAGTTGGTCATTCTAGCCAAGATGTTCCTCTGTATGAAAATGTTGACTCTACACAACTATATGAAAATGTGCAGATTTTGCAGGACAACAGAGTTAGTTTTAATCCCAACAAATACAGTAGGAATAATCTGGATTCAACAGCACCGTCTAACTATCGAAACCGACCTAATTATGTAAATGTGATGCCCCATGGATTAGGTACTGCTGGGACAATGACAGGACCTGGAGAAAATCCCTCAGGGATGCGTAATGCTCTGAGCTCACCAGACATTTCAGGCATCAACAATATAGGCCTTCATGACTATGATAACACAAGGAATATATCGCCAGTATTTTCTCGATCTCCACCTCCTAGACCATCATCACATCAGGTAAGTAAGGTCATTAAAGATTGTTGGTATTCTACATTGTTGCTACATATTGAGACAACTAACATATACATGCCCCTTGGCTTGCTGGTCATTAGACAAGGGAGATAACTGGTGAAGTTATGCCCATCACACAATCTAACCAAAGAATGAGTTTTTAGTCTGATCTAAATCAGCATCTGTTCAGAATGGTTTTCTTATCTGAAAGGACAAGAGACTATAAAAGTGGATATAAAGCCCATGAAAGAAATAGATAAACTCTCTCTTGGTTTGTTTAAGCCTTAACAAGGTCAGGTATCCAAATATTTTAGGCTACCTAGGGCACAAAACCCACACTAAATATTACTAGTTCAGTCTCCACCAAAGAGGGCTTCTCTCTAGCAGAGTCAGTAACACTTCCTAATAGGCTACCATAATGATAATCAACATGTACAAAATGAAATTTAACCAGATGTTATGTAATGTAACATAAAGATGTTGATGTGTACTGTGACTGGTGTAATCCTTAGGACCTGCCTGCTGCCGTGTGTGAGGTAAAACCAGCAGTAAGTAAATCTATGCTGATCAGGTGTCACACGCCGTACATACTCTAGCCTGCAGGATTCTGACCTTCCACGATTCTGTTCTTGTCCTGCAAGGGTCAGCACTCAAGCATTGTTCTGAAAAATCTACAATACCATGATAGTTATTAATAATAAAGCAATGTAAAGATAAATTAAGCAGGTATTAACAAATTATATGTTGTAAACAAGAGTATTTCCACTCAATTTTTCTAACAGCTTCACTTTCCAGCATATTTTTCTAATGGTCGCCCCTATGGCATTCCTCTAGTCTTTATGGTTGTAAAATGTATTTAAAAGTATCAGAAGATTAGGGACTAAGGCAAAAATTAAAACAGGAAAGGAAAGTCAGAACCCTGCGGACTAGGTACACTTATTCCTCCCTCTCACCTCATCTACTTGTATTACATAACGGATGTCATTGGAACAAGATAGCGCATGTACAATAATGTACTGTTGTGACTTCGATGAACATGTACAATAATGTACTGTTGTGACATCACTGTACAGGAGAATATTGATTTGAAATAAAACCCAAATTCAGCACATTTGTATTACAAGAACAGTCTATGGTAAATCTGAATCCTATATTGTAGTAATGTTGACATTGTTATACAGGTACAATGTATGAAACAATTACAATAATATTGGTTGTCTACCTTCCTGAATAAATTTGAGTTTCCTTTTTTGTTACCTTGTCAATAAATTAATGATAATAAATATTTGTTTTCTGGCTCCACGGGAGACTCCACAGTAGACCTGAAACCTATGTTTTGAGGACAGAATCACATGGTTCTGAATAATGTAGTTATTTTCTGCAATTTATTACGAATATTTGGAAACTTTGTCATTCATCTATTTATTCTCTGCAATTGTTGTCTATTGGGGAAACTTGGCATTTAATCCAGTTGGTTATCATCAAAAATTAAAAAATGCTTATCGATTGAATATCAAATATTTGGCTAAAATGTCAAAGAGATGTTTTCTTTTGCAGGCTCAGATACAAATACTCATCACAGATATTAGTCAGAAATGTTGAAAATAATAAATATCTTAATGTATATGTTACTGTGCCATTTGTAGAAGTAATGAAAGCACAACACAACTAACACAAAATTGTACACAGCTTATGAGGTATAATTAACACTAGTTCTGCTTTACTGGTGGTGGGCGTGGTTTATCCTAAATTATTGTACTCAATTACATGCTGAGCCTTGTTAGCTCAGCCGTGATGATTGGATGGAAAATATGTATGTCCAATTTGGCCTCATCAGCTAAAATCACCAAAAACAACGACTGGAACTTTGAAGAGAAAACTGCTATATATATGTGTGTTAAGTTTTCACATCAGTCACTAGTGAGACCTCTGATCATGTGATCTAGAGGGGGCTGGGCTAACAAGGCTGTGATGGATGATTATACATCTTTAATTCATTGACAGAGAAAAGGAACAAAAAAATGTCTGAAATTCTCATCAATGCAGTAAATAGATGTCCACCCAAATCAGCAACAATTACCTGTATAGAAATTTGAGGTTTTTTAATGTAAAACCAATTTTCATGAGGTAATACTTACCATAACTTTAGTATGCAAATATGGTACCTACACCCATCTTTGTATCCCAAAAACAAAAGATTCAAAAATCCCGCCCTCCCTACGACCATGAGCCTTCACGTCATGAACATAGAGTTATTTCCCTTCCTCTTAGCCTTTATGTAGCACCCGTAGAGGGGCAGTCAGGCAGATAGGAAGAGGGGAGGAAAGGGTGGGACTCCATAAAGTTATGGTAAGTATTACCTCATGAAAATTGGTTTTACATTAAAAAACCTCAATTTCATTTCAGTAATAATTACCATAACTTTAGTATGCGAATTCGTCTTACCGTAGTGGTGACTAGCAGCCAGGCAGCCCATCTAGCACACTAAACTTAGTAGGGAGGGGGGACAGAGTGCATAGAATAAGAAGGGGCAACCTCCCCGTGACCGAGCAGGTAAACCACGTGCCGCCGAACGGAAAAGACGAGCCCCGGGGCTAACGGGGGGGCACAGCCACAGACTGCGCAACCACCAGAGGTCCCAAAGAATACAAACCTTCTGAGTGGGAAGCCAGGGATCTCAGATAAAAATCTGTAAATGTATCCCTGCCCCGCCAGAAGGCAGCAGACATGACCTCCTGAAAGGAGGACCCATTAAGAAGGGCCCAGGATGCAGCGAGGGCCCTTACCTCATGAGCCCGCACTCTCACCCTCGCCCGAGCCTGGTCATCAGAATGCTCATAAGCATACTTAATGACCTGGCATACCCACCTAGACACCGACTGGGAGGAGATGTCTCGCTGTCCCTGTTTGATAGGCAAAAATAGACGGGATCTGGAGCCCCGCCCCCCCCTGGTTTTATCGAGATAAAACCTAAGAGCCCTACAGGGACAAAGCAATCTATCCCTCTCCTCCGAGCTAGTCAAAGCCGGAATCTTGATGGGATCGGGCGAGAACCCCGGGACTTGATTCTTCGCAAGGAAGGAAGGATCAGTTAAAAGAGTAACGGCAGCGTAGCCTCTGGACCAGCGAAGGCAGGAAGGAAGTGACGACAGGGCGTGCACTTCACTCCTCCTACGTCCAGAGGCCAGAGCCAAAAGGAAGACTGTCTTAAAAGTTAGAAACTTTAAAGAGGCAGACTCCATAGGCTCGTAAGGTGACCTCGTCAGGGAATCTAGCACCAAGGCTAAATTCCACTGCGGGGCCAGCTGCCGAACTCTGGGTCTATCCAAAGCGAAGCCTCTGATTAGGGCAGAAAGAGATGAGGAAGAACCTATCTCCTTCCTGCCGTAAAAAGCCAAGACACTGGCAATTGCTGTCCTATAGCCAGCAATAGTGCCAGGTGCCAGATTGCGGTCCCTAAACAGAGAGAGTAGGAAATCCGCAATCAGCTGAACAGAGGCTTCGAATGGATCAACCTCCCTGCCGACACACCAATCACAGAAGATCTTCCATCTGGACTGGTAGACGGCAGAAGAGGAAGCCCTGATAGATCGCGCGATGCGATCTGACACCTCTCGAGAAAAGCCTGCCTTGGCGAGGCTTCCAGAGATAGCCTCCACGCGTGAAGGTGGAGGATCTCTGGTCGAGAGTGTGTCGTCCTGGACCGAGGCTGACGCAGGAGATTCGGTCTGGTGGGGAGAGCCAGTGGCTCCTCCACCAGAAACGACAAGAGCTCCGGAAACCAAGGCTGCCTCGGCCACAGGGGGGCTATCAGAAGTAAGGAGCAGTGATGCTCCCT